GCCATCATTTAAATGACCACATGTAAGATTTCTCATTGATCCATCTGCAGGGCTTAGTTATTGGAATCTGATGGATGCCATTTTTTTCCACTCCATTGTGCTGAGGTTTGGTATTGGTGCATTCCTAAAGGAACATAATGCTCGATATCGGGGCATGTTGCTGCAGGAACTAGGTTACAAAACCATGTTTGAAGGCAATGCCTGTAACTAAGATGTGTGGGAATACATATATATATATATATATATATATATATATATATATATATATATATATACACACACACACACACACACACACACACACACACACACACACACACACACATTATTGTTTTATTACTTTTCCTAATTTAACTGTAAGGCCACTTTAAGAAATGGAACACTAGTCACTTTAATAATGTTTACATATCTTGCACTACTCATCTCATATGTATATACTGCATTCTATTCTATAATATTCTACTGTATCTTAGTCCATGCCGCTCTGTCATTGCTTGTCCATATATGTATATATTCTTCAATTCCATTCCTTACTAGATGTGTGTGTATTGGGTATATGTTGTGAAATTGTTAGATATTACTTGTTAGATATTACTGCACTGTCGGAGCTAGAAGCACAAGCATTTCGCTACACCCGCAATAACATCAGCTAAACACGTGTATGTAACAAATAACATTTGATTTGTAAATATATATTTTTTTTTTTGTTCCTGGAGGCTATTGCCATAGTGATAACCAAAATATACCTGTATATACACAATATATAAAATATACTAACAGTTATTGATCTTCAGAAATCAAGTGAACTCAGTGAAGTCATTTATCATGATGAGTAGGCCTCTTCCCATAGGAGCCTCTTCAACACTGCAGCTGAGAAGGGGTGTCAGAACCCTGCGCTAAACCTCCCTCTCCCCTTAATATAGAGTAGGGATTGAGCCCGTGGAATGCTGCCAGCCGGCCTGTCCCACCTCACACGGCCGTGCCAGTGCCAAGAGACCGAGACGGACCACACCGGGAGACCGGGGAGAAAGCACAACAGAATGAGCTTCCTGACTGGCAAATGAGATCATGGGGGACCGATAATACTGTATCTACTATTGCTAGATTCACACAATAGTACCGACCCCCAACTGTACTGTGCTGGCTTGGATATCTTCTTTTCACATCGTCCTTTCCAGCACGGTTACAGCGCAATACAGCTCGGTTTGGCTCTGCTTTGCTCAGTAGTGTGAAAAGGGTAACTGTGTGTGTTTGGGGATTTAAAGCACTTACTCAGAGCGTAACCTCAATCTTCACAGTTTGGATACCATTTTGATAAAACTGAGTGGAATTCGCCTCAGCTCACAGTGGGGGGGATGGGAGTGTGAGGTGTGAATTGCTTCCAGCTTCGTGCTTGTGTAACATAAATTGGATGGCAGGAAGCTTGGTTGGTTAAAAATATAAATAAATGCATGGTTGGTTAAGGGCTGGAGGTAAGCATTTCACGGTAATGTCTACACCTGTTGTATTCGGCGCATGTGGCAAATAAAATTTGATTTGATTTGAAGTTCAGTTCAACATTCTCAGCATTTTGCCAGATCCGAATATCATCAGTCACATGAATCATATTTTGACCTTCTTATCACACAATTTGAACACCTACATGAATATTGATCTATCTAACAACATGAGTTTTCATGAATAATTTCGGTTGAGTCCCAGACCTATTCCCTCTATAATTCACTACTTTTGACCAGGGCCCACAGGCCCATTGATGTGATTTAACTCATGATGTGTGTTGCTATTGTCTCATTTACATTTCTACATTTTTGTCATTTAGCAGATACTCTTATCCAAAGCCACTTACAGGAGCAATTCGGGTTAAGTACCTTGCTCAAGGGCACATCGACAGATTTTTCACCTAGTCGGCTCAGAGATTCGAAACGGCAACCGTTCGATTTTACTGGCCCAAACGCTCTTAACCACTAGGCTACCTTCCGCTCCTGACAGTCGGACGGTCATTGTTAAAATGGTTGCTCCTCACCCACGCCAACAGTCAACATAATATGACTCGCATGCTGTTACTCTTTCTGTCGGTGCCATGACTGCGACACTAGCTACTGTTCCTATCTGTGCTGTCATCACTGACCGGTTATAAATAAGTGGCTCCAGAGCTCAGTCCAGAGTCTAGGCCGAGGGTCAAATCACTCTTGCTACACACTTATTTTTATATAATCGTTCAGCTGAGGTGTTCTCGGGAAATGCTTCAAAAGTTCATTTAACTGGTCAAATGCGAGACAGACGCTGATGCGAGGACTTGCAGTATGTCTGTCTGTGTCTCTGTCTGTTCGTCTGTCAGTCTTTGTGTCCATTTTAAGTATCTGTATGTCTGTCTAAGTGGCAATAGTACTGTTTGTCGATTTTTGAGAAGCCGTAGCCAGTATACACTTCCTCAAAATAGTCCAAATTTATCTAAGATAACTCAAGAAGTCTGTTATTTTTTTTGACGTTTTTGCTGAGGAGATCTTAGTCACTCAATTTTCCATTAACTACGATGTCTGGTGCAGTATTTCTCAATGAAACAATATGCAAGAAAATGAGTCTTCTCTCGTTGAATGACAACAAAGACTTTATTGAAGAATCCCTACTGTTGACCAATCACCGACGAAGGGTAGTGTGTAGTGTGCCTGAACATCTGATAAAACCCTAACCGAAGTCCAAAACGAACAAAAACGTCACAAAATGTTATCATAATATATGTCCGAACTGTTTTCGGCTGGGAAGCATGCGGACGCCTCTAGGGACCAGGTTACCAGGGAATAGAGTCAGTTGTCCCGGTCAGCCAATCGGTGGCCTAGCCTGGTGTTGGAGACCCCAGTCTGCCCCTGAACTCTTTAGTTGTCTCCAGGAAGTGGGCAGGTTGAGACAACCTCTAGAAACTCCTGTCCGCCTCAACTCACATCTGGGCCCTTTCCTTCTGCTGGACTCCCTGACTGGTGTGTCTTTTGACCATAACCCACTACGAAACTTACACTAAAACCTTTAACCGATTTCTATTCCTCTTCCTGTTTGCTGTGTGTGTGTATGTTTGCTGTGTGTGTGTCTGTTTGCTGTGTGTGTGTGTCTGTTTGCTGTGTGTGTCTGTTTGCTGTGTGTGTCTGTTTGCTGTGTGTGTCTGTTTGCTGTGTGTGTCTGTTTGCTGTGTGTGTCTGTTTGGTGTGTGTGTGTGTCTGTTTGGTGTGTGTGTGTGTGTCTGTTTGCTGTGTGTGTCTGTTTGGTGTGTGTGTGTCTGTTTGCTGTGTGTGTCTGTTTGCTGTGTGTGTCTGTTTGGTGTGTGTGTGTGTGTGTGTGTGTGTGTGTCTGTTTGGTGTGTGTGGTGTGTGTGTGTGTCTGTTTGGTGTGTGTGTGTCTGTTTGGTGTGTGTGTGTGTGTGTGTGTTTGGTGTGTGTGTGTGTGTCTGTTTGGTGTGTGTGTGTTGTGTGTCTGTTTGGTGTGTTTGTGTGTGTGTGTGTTTGTGTGTTTGGTGTGTGTGTTTGGTGTGTGTGTTTGGTCATCTCTGTCCTCTAACCGGGACACCGGGACAGTTGCATCTTTACCTGAACTGGCACCTTTTTCGGAGACCACCACATGGTGGCGCTCTTTTTCAGTATGTCTGTCTGTGTTTGTTCTCTCCTCTATGTCTAGAGGAGGGCATTGCTGTTGAGCTGATTAAATGTGGTGTAGAGAAGTGATACTAGTGATGGCGTGAATAGGACAGGAGAAGTCTGGTCACATAGTCGTCCTCCCCTGTGTATTAGGAAAGCCCTCTTTAGCTACAGGCGCTATCGCATCACTGCACATTGCTAGGCAACCCAAATAGATTTACCCTCGGAACTTAAACTTTCAACACCTTCCCCTGAATTCTGAAATTGTTTTGAGGGATATTTTTCACAGCAAATGTAGTTGTTTTTCTCTATTGAAATGAAATGTCTTCTTTCATTTAGTATGGTACTGCTTTTGATTCCTCAATCGACGTAATAATCAGTCAAGCCACTTGAAAATGTTCTGTTGATGCTATTTTCAGAGGTCCCACTTCCACATTCAGCGTTCACCAGATATTTCCATTTACTGTTATCTGTCCCCGAGACAGTTATTTTCTACCATGGCCCCTTTTACACGTGAACTGGAACTACTGTAAAGTCCCATCAGGGAGGAGGGAACTACTGTAAAGTCCCATCAGGGAGGAGGGAACTACTGTAAAGTCCCATCAGGGAGGAGGGAACTACTGTAAAGTCCCATCAGGGAGGAGGGAACTACTGTAAAGTCCCATCAGGGAGGAGGGAACTACTGTAAAGTCCCATCAGGGAGGAGGGAACTACTGTCTTACTAGATTACAGGAAGAGAGTTCATGGTGAAATGAGAGCTCACTAGTTAACAGGAGAATGGTTAATGGTGAAATTAGAGTTTACTAGTTAACAGGAGGATGGTTAATGGTGAAATGAGAGCTCACTAGTTAACATGAGGATGGTTCATGGTGAAATGAGAGCTCACTAGTTAACAGGAGAATGGTTAATGGTGAAATTAGAGTTTACTAGTTAACAGGAGGATGGTTAATGGTGAAATGAGAGCTCACTAGTTAACAGGAGAATGGTTAATGGTGAAATTAGAGTTTACTAGTTAACAGGAGGATGGTTAATGGTGAAATGAGAGCTCACTAGTTAACATGAGGATGGTTAATGGTGAAATTAGAGTTTACTAGTTAACAGGAGGATGGTTAATGGTGAAATTAGAGTTTACTAGTTAACAGGAGGATGGTTAATGGTGAAATGAGAGCTCACTAGTTAACAGGAGGATGGTTAATGGTGAATTGAGAGCTCACTAGTTAACAGGAGGATGGTTAATGGTGAAATTAGAGTTTACTAGTTAACAGGAGGATGGTTAATGGTGAAATGAGAGTTTACTAGTTAACAGGAGGATGGTTAATGGTGAAATGAGAGTTTACTAGTTAACAGGAGGATGGTTAATGGTGAAATGAGAGTTTACTAGTTAACAGGAGGATGGTTAATGGTGAAATGAGAGCTCAGTCTTTTGTTTCCCAAAGTTATAAACAGTATAATGTAATGCTCCGTGTATGGTGTTGTCTTTAACCTTTGACCCCCTGTCCTGTGTGTGTCCCCTGCTGTCCCTGCAGGTGTAACGGTGGTGGAAACAGAGAGCGGCAGTCATGGTGGCCCTGTCACTGAAGATTGGCGTGGGGAACGTGGTGAAGACCATGCAGTTTGAGCCCTCCACGATGGTGTACGATGCCTGCCGTATGATCAGGGAAAGAGTCCCCGAGGCACAGCTGGGCCAGCGTGAGTACACACACACACACACACACACACACACACACACACACACCTCGGACACAAACTCACCCATGGACTTCGGACACACACACACCACGCCGATACACACTCTTATACACATATAGTTTTGATCGCCACACACACACCACAGATACTCCTATACAAACACACACACGTATAGTTTTAGTCATGTCTACGCCTACACCACGTTCTAGCTCTTCTTCTTCTCTAAAGGTCATTTAGAGTTCACCAAGAATAGTTCTGTCTATGAAGAACTAAACATTTTGTTTAATTAATATCGATTAAACTATGATTACGTGGCCATTATGTGTGACTCAAACTTAAATTGAAGTTTAATTAAAATCCAGGAATAATTTCACTCTTGTCTAAAACGTTATCTTCACTGTCAAATGCTAATTTGTGCAGGAGTATGCATCAACAGTCTGAAACGGGCCGATGGTGTATAACCCAATGCGGAGCTGTTAAGCTATTCAGTTTATCAGTCCAGTGCAGCTTCCTGGGATGTTGACAAACTAGAGCCGCTGTCTTTCAAAATCACTCATTTGACAACAGGAGATTAGATAGGAATGATTTATGCTTGTTTCTGGATCCCTTTTGCAATCTGCTGTGGCACAGGCCAACAGACTCCTATAAATGCTAGCGCTTCTCACTAAACCAATACTGACAGTGAACTATCTACTACAGACTTGAGCAGCTGTCTTTAATAACAACCAATATGACAACAGGAAATTCAAAGAGATGGTGAATGGGTCTCTTGTAGGGCTGGGAATTGCCAGGGACCTCATGATATTATCACAATACGATATCTTTTGTCTATATGTATTGCGTTTCGATACTGTGATTTTATTGCGATTCGATGTTCCAAACATATTGCTCGACATACACTGCCGTTCAAAAGTTTGGGGTCACTTAGAAATGTCCTTGTTTTCCATGAAAACATACATTAAATGAGTTTGAATAGGAAATATAGCAAAATGAATAGGACATGTAGTCATTGACAAGGTTAGAAATAATGATTTTTAATTGAAATAATAATTGTCCTTCAAACTGCTTTCGTCAAAGAATCCTCCATTTGCAGCAATTACAGCCTTGCAGACCTTTGGCATTCTAGTTGTCAAATTGTTGAGGTAATCTGAAGAGATGTCACCGCATGCTTCCTGAAGCACCTCCCACAAGTTGGATTGATGGGCACTTCTTACGTACCATACGGTCAAGCTGCTCCCACAACAGCTCAGTAGGGTTGAGATCCGGTGACTGTGCTGGCCACTCCATTATAGACAGAATACCAGCTGACTGTTTCTTCCCTAAATAGTTATTGCATAGTTTGGAGCTGTGCTTTGGGTCATTGTCCTGTTGTAGGAATTTGGCTCGAATTTGGCTCGAATCAAGCGCCGTCCACAGGGTATGGCATGGCGTTGCAAAATGGAGTGATAGCTTTCCTTCTTCAAGATCCCTTTTACCCTGTACAAATCTCCCACTTTACCACCACCAAAGCACCCCCAGACCATCACATTGCCTCCACCATGCTTGACAGATGGCATCAAGCACTCCTCCAGCATCTTTTCATTTGGTCTGCGTCTCACAAATGTTCTTCTTTGTGATCCGAATACCTCAAACTTCGATTAGTCTGTTTTTCCAATCTTCCTCTGTCCAGTGTCTGTTCTTTTGCCCATCTTAATCTTTTCTTTTTATTGGCCAGTCTGAGATATGGCTTTTTCTTTGCTACTCTGCCTAGAAGGTCAACATCCCGGAGTAGCTTCTTCACTGTTGACGTTGAGACTGGTGTTTTGCAGGTACTATTTAATGAAGCTGCCAGTTGAGGACCTGTGAGGCGTCTGTTTCTCAAACTAGACATTCTAATGTATTTGTCCTCTTGCTCAGTTGTGCACCGGGGCCTCCCACTCTTCTTTCTATTCTGGTTAGAGACAGTTTGTGCTGTTCTGTGAAGGGAGTAGTACACAGCGTTGTACGAGATCTTCAGTTTCTTGGCAATTTCTCGCAGGGAATAGCCTTCATTTCTCAGAACAAGAATAGACTGACAAGTTTCAGAATAAAGTTATTTGTTTCTGGCCATTTTGAGCATGTAATCAAACCCACAATTGCTGATGCTCCAGATACTCAACTAGTCTCAAGAAGGCCAGTTTTATTGCTTCTTTAATCAGCACAACAGTTTTCAGCTGTGCTAACATAATTGCAAAAGGGTTTTCTAATGATAAATTAGCCTTTTAAAATGATAAACTGGGATTAGCAAACACAACATGCCGTTGGAACACAGGACTGATGGTTGCTGATAATGGGCCTCTGTACGCCTATGTAGATATTCCATTAAAGATCAGCCGTTTCCAGCTACAATAGCCATTTACAACATTAACAATGTCTTCACTGTATTTCTAATCAATTTGATGTTATTTTAATGGACAAAAAAATTGCTTTTCTTTCGAAAAGGACATTGAACGGTAGTGTATGTCTGCTGCAGAGAGACAAGAGAGCCATGAGAAAACGAGTTTTGAAATAAAAGTGCTATACATGTTGAAAACAAATTGGCTCCCTCTTAAAAAGAAGATGGAGAACAAGCGGTAAAGGAAAAATGCTGGAATTTTCGTGCAGGTACAGAAAACGAGCGCAAAAATAATATTGTCACATTGCCAAAATGATACGATATTTCGTCAAAAATAATATCCCGACATGCAACTGTATCGATTTCATCCCCCGTCTCTTGAAACTCTGCAGTAATCCAAAGGGATGCGTCCCAAATGACACCCTATTCCCCATATAGTGCACTACTTTTTGACCAGAGCTCTGTGGGACCTGGTCAAAAGTAGTGCACTACATAGGGAATAGGGTGTCATTTGGGACACACCCAAGCTCTTGCAACAAACATTACGCAAAGAATTGTGAAAGCAAACAATTTCATGCCTCCACACCCATCTTTCCTCATACAGACATTTCTGTGTTCACGGACTTCATCGTCTTCTCATTGAATACTTGCCGTGCAGTTGATTTCCCTGAGGCCTTGAAGGGTTGATGACTTATACCGAGGGTCATATGGCCTGCTCAACCTTTCCATGTTAAAATGTCCATGAATGACTGCTGAGCAGATGCAGTGTTGATATGTGAAGGAGGATATTTCAGTGATCCAGGGTCTGGATACTCGAGAATTCACCCTTTTTGCATCTTTAATGTTCGAAGATTTTGTCAGTCTCCCTCCCCTATTTCAAGATTCCTTAATCCCCATCTCATCATCTCATTGCCATAACAGCTCAATGATGCAGACTGGTTGGAATTCAAAAATACGATCACTGTCTGTTTTTATACTTCCTTGTTGACATCAGGTCCTGCCAAAAAATACCTATTGGTCCAGCGAAAAATAACTGGAGTGAGAAAAAAATATCTTCAGGAAGCCCAGAAATGTCTCAAGTTGAATATAACAAAGACAACTGTGTCCCTTATCGAAAGGAACCTCTCCGTCTCTGCTTTCCAATGTGCCTCGGTTAGGGGTTACGTATGAAGCTGTGTGCTGTTACATAAGTGATTCTCCCTTCCTTACTTGTCCCAACCTGTGAGTAATTTTCCACTTTGAGAGCAAGAGAGAGCGAGAGAGAGAGAAAAGAAAGAGGGAGGATGCGTCTTGGCCAACATCAACAGCTAATATGGAATGTTCAGCGTCTGAAATGGCCAGATTCCTTCAGTCCTGGCAGGCTGTGCTGGCTAGGCACCTTTCAGGGCCTAGAGGGACAAGAAGTACCATTTTGAAACTTGGATTTAATCCACTTAGTGCTGAGCAATTTTTGCTTTTTGAGGTTGGTTCGGTTTTGGTTCGATTTATTAAAAGATTATCACGTTTTTGGTTTCCATATTATTATTTTTTACATGATGGTAGTGACTGCTCATTACTGCTTATCATTTTTACATTTTACATTTTAGTCATTTAGCAGACGCTCTTTTCCAGAGCGACTTACAGTTAGTTAGTGCATACATTATTGTAAATCTAAAATGTAAATGTAAAATTATTTATTTTTCATACCCCCTGTGGGAATCGAACCCACAACCCTGGCGTTGCAAACGCCATGCTCTATCAACTGAGCTACATCCCTGCCGGCCATTCCCTCCCCTACCCTGGACGACGCTGGGCCAATTGCGCGCCGCCCCATGGGTCTCCCGGTCGCGGACCAGGATCTCTAGTGGCACAGCTAGCACTGCGATGCAGTGCCTTAGACCACTGAGCCACTCGGGAGACTATCATTATCCCTTATTACTGATCATTTATTCACATTAATTTACTTTAATAAAATATTTCAGTTGTTGTCTGCTGAATACCAACTATCAATCACTTAGATCATGTATTTATATGTATGTATGTATTTGTGTACATATATACATACAGTGCATTCAGAAAGTATTCAGACCCCTTGACTTTTTCCACATTTTGTTACGTTACAGCCTTATTCTAAAATGCATTAAATTGTTTTTTTCCCCCCTCATCAATCTACACACAATACCCCATAATGACAAAGCAAAAACAGGTTTTTAGACATTTTTGCGAAAAATGAAATAAAACTGAAATATTACATTTACGTAAGTATTCAGACCCTTTACTAAGTACTTTGTTGAAGCACCTTTGGCAGTGATTACAGCGTTGAGACTTCTTGGGTATGACGCTACAAGATTGGTACACCTGTATTTGGGGAGTTTCTCCCATTCTTCTCTGCAGATCCTCTCAAGCTCTATCAGGTTGGATGGGGAGCGTCGCTGCACAGCTATTTTCAAGTCTGTCAGAGTGGCCAATCGGGTTCTTGGTCACCTCCCTGACCAAGGCCCTTCTCCCCCGATTGCTCAGTTTGGCCGGGCGGCCAGCTCTAGGAAGAGTCTTGGTGGTTCTAAACTTCTTCCATTTAAGAATGATGGAGGCCACTGTGTTCTTGGGGACCTTCAATGCTGCAGAAATGTTTTGGTACCCTTCCCCAGATCTGTGCCTTGACACAATCCTGTCTCGGAGCTCTACGGACAATTCCTTTGACCTCATGGCTTGGTTTTTGCTCTGACATGCACTGTCAACTGTGGGACCTTTATATAGACAAGTGTGTGTCTTTCCAAGTCATGTCCAATCAATTGAATTTACCACAGGTGGACTCCAATCAAGTTGTAGAAACATCTCAAGGATGATAATTGGAAACAGGATGCACCTCAGCTCAATTTCAAGTCTAATAGCAAAGGATCTGAATACTTATGTAAATAAGGTATTTCTGTTTTTTATTTTTTTTAATACATTTGGTCAAATTTCTAAAAACCTGTTTTCACTTTGTCATTATGGGGTATTGTGTGTAGATTGATGAGGGGGAAAAAAGAATTTAATCAATTTTAGAATAAGGCTGTAACGTAACAAAATGTGGAAAAAGTCAAGGGGTCTGAATACTTTCCGATCATGTATTTTCAGGTAGAGATACCTCGCCAAGTAACTACCAGGACATCCATCTCAAGCCCCCTCATCAATCTCTAATACCCTTTCTCTCATTTCTCTTCCAGCCACTGACTACGGTCTGTTCCTGTCCGATGAGGACCCCAAGAAAGGCATCTGGCTGGAGGCAGGCAAAGCCCTGGACTACTACATGCTGAGGAATGGGGTGAGTCAGTCAGTCACAGCTGACTGCTATGGGACCCAATTCACTTCAAGGCTGTCCTTTCCGCATCTCCTTCCATTCATGACCACTGATAGATGAAAGCACTGGATAGGCTTCAGCCATGTTGCTCTCCCTCCTGAAGGTGAGGTGGTCAGGAAAGAGCTATTGGGGTCTTTTGAGAAATATCGGCAGTATATTCCACAACACCTACAGAGACGACACCGACAACTGTTGTCAGCGATAGATGTACGACAAAATGATCCGTTTATTTTCTGTTACCTATTGGTTGTAGACTCACAACACTGAACTGGCGACCAACAAACGTCAGTGGTAAGCTGCACCAGTGACGACTGGGTTTAGAAAGCCTGAAACCTAAACCTGTCTGGACATGCTGTATTTGACACTACAATGCAAATCAATCACAAAAATACCCATATATTTTTATAAGAACATTTGAGACATACTGTATAGTCAGTCAGTTTGAGACATACTGTATAGTCAGTCAGTTTGAGACATACTGTATAGTCAGTCAGTTTGAGACATACTGTATAGTCAGTCAGTTTGAGACATACTGTATAGTCAGTCAGTTTGAGACATACTGTATAGTCAGTCAGTTTGAGACATACTGTATAGTCAGTCAGTTTGAGACATACTGTATAGTCAGTCAGTTTGAGACATACTGTATAGTCAGTCAGTTTGAGACATACTGTATAGTCAGTCAGTTTGAGACATACTGTATAGTCAGTCAGTTTGAGACATACTGTATAGTCAGTCAGTTTGAACGTTGGTACTATGATACTGATGATAGTACCCACATGGTGGTCCTCTGTAGCTCAGTTGGTAGAGCATGACAATTGCAACGCCAGGATAGTGGGTTCGATTCCTGGGACCACCCAAGCTTAAACAATTTATACACGCATGACTGTAGGTTGCTTTGGATAAAAGCGTCTGCTAAATGCCATATTATAATGTTTTATTATGATGCTAACAGTTCTACGAGGGATCTATCTAGCTAGCTAGCTAGCTGAAGTATTGTCTAATGGATGTGGTTTATAAATAATTGTGGTTTATAATTAACAAATGTGATCTAGTAAATGTGAATGTGCCCTCTGAGCGGAACACTTAGAAAATATGTATTTTCAACATATTGTGCTCACTGGGTGGTTTATCAGGAAAAACATGTGAATGTGGTTTATCAGGACAAACATGTGAATGTGGTTTATCAGGACAAACATGTGAATGTGGTTTATCAGGACAAACATGTGAATGTGGTTTATCAGGACAAACGTGAATGTGGTTTATCAGGACAAACATATGGATGTGGTTTATCAGGACAAACATGTGAATGTGGTTTATCAGGACAAACGTGAATGTGGTTTATCAGGACAAACATATGAATGTGGTTTATCAGGACAAACATGTGAATGTGGTTTATCAGGACAAACATGTGAATGTGGTTTATCAGGACACTCTGGAGTACAAGAAGAAGCAGAGGCCCTTGAAGATCCGCATGCTGGACGGGACGGTGAAAACCGTCATGGTGGACGACTCCAAGATCGTCAGCGACATGCTCATGACCATCTGTGCCAGGATAGGTCAGTTTAATGAATTAGAGATGGGCACATTCATTATAATGTGTAACACAGTCATGGCACAAAATGTTATGTAAGTTAGTTGGCTAGCGGTAATTAGTGAATTGGCTGCAAAGTAAGTTGATGTAAGCTCACGTTAACAGTTCATTACTTATCTGTTATGTCATTATAATGGTAGTGTTATCTAGTCATTATGACTAAAGTGTATGTCTATTGTTACTGCTTGATGATCAGCCACTTTTTCAACTAGTCAGATTTCCAGCTAAAACAAAGGCTCTTTCCTTGATTCCCCACATCCTCTCTCCTCGCCGCCTCAAAACACAATGGAGGATAATTGTATTTTATATTTAACCCTTATTTTAACGGGTGAGTTGACTGAGAGCACGTTCTCATTTACAGCAACGACCTGGGGAATAGTTACAGGGGAGAGGAGGGGGGATGAATGAGCCAATTGTAAGCTGGGGATGATTAGGTGACCATGATGGTATGAGGGCCATATTGTGAATTTAGCCAGGACACCAGTGTTAACACACCTACTCTTAAGATAAGTGCCATGGGATCTTTAGTGACCACAGAGTCAGGACACCCGTTTAACGTCCCATTCGAAAGACTGCACCTTACACAGGGCAATGTCCCCAATCACTGAAGATCCAACGTCCCTCCCTTCTGACCTTCTCCTGCAATAAATGTATAGGAAAGATAATTTGAGTTAGAGCCAAAAAGTAAATTTTTCTTGCAACACTCTTTGGGCAGGTATCACAAACTATGACGAGTACTCATTGGTGCACGACATCGTGGAGGAGAAGAAGGAGGAAATGACAGGCACTCTGACAAGACGGGACAAGACGCTGATGAGAGACGACAAGAAGATGGAGAAGCTGAAGCAGAAACTCCACACAGACGACGAGTGTAAGACACACGCACACACACAGACACACACACACACACACACACACACACACACAACACACACACACACACACACACACAGACACACACACGCACACACACACACACACAGACACACACACACACACACACACACACACACACACACACACACACACACACACACACACACACACACGCACAGACACACACACACACGCACAGACACACACACGCACAGACACACACACCCACCCACCCAGACACACACACACGCACACAAACACACACCACACACACACACACACGCACAGACACAACACACACGCACACACACACACACACACACAACCAACACACAAACACCACACACACACACACAGCAACACCAACACACACACACACGCACAACACACACACACGCACAGACACAACACACACACAACACCACACACACACAACACAACACAACACACACAGACACACACACACACACACACAACACACACCACACAGACACAGACACACACACACACGCCACAGACACACACGCCACACAGACACACACACACACACAGCACACACACACACACACACACACAACACACACACACACAGACACAGACACACACACGCACACACACACACACACAGACAACACACACGCACACGCACACACACACAACACACACAACACACACGACAACACACACACACACGCACAGACACACACACGCACATCACAACACGCACACCACAACACACGCACAGACACACACACACACACACACGCACGCACGCACGCACACACACACACGCACAGACACACACACACGCGCACAGACACACGCACGCAAAAGTGTCTATGGTGCCAGTTGTCATGTAAAAATCTATTTCACGCTGGGAACATTTTGACATGACACCAGTATCTGTATTGATGACAGTATTTACTTGTGCTTCATTTTGAATGTCCATTAGGACACCACTGATTTTAATTTGATTGACTGGCATCAAGTTGTGTTTTCTCACATAGATTTTACATTTAGTTTCATAAAAGTTGTAATTTCTTGGTATTTACTGCATTTTATTGACATGGTTTGCATAGATAAACATACATTCCCCTTGAGTTGTGCTGACTGGCATTGAGTTGTATTGATTCCCATTGAGTTGTATTGACTGACATTGATTTACATTGTGATTGACAGTGAACTGGCTGGACCACGGGCGGACGCTGAGGGAGCAGGGTGTGGAGGAGACAGAGATGCTGCTGCTCAGGAGGAAGTTCTTCTACTCAGACCAGAACGTGGACTCACGAGACCCCGTCCAGCTCAACCTGCTCTACGTCCAGGTACTGACCACTACCCAGGCTGCGTCCAAAATGAAAAGTAGTACTCTTCAAAAGTAGTACACTATATAGAAATATGGTGTTATTTCAGATACAGCCCCAGAATGACCTCTGTTCACTGTTGGCCAAATCCTGCCTTGAGTTTTGAAAGAAACCACGGCAGGAATACGGTTTGGGTGTTGAATGTTTGGGAAGAAGGTTATCCTTGGAGAGGTTCATGTAGACCTGTCGGTGTTAATGATTGATCAGACTCTCAGTCCTTTAGTCTGAGAGTCACAGCTGGAGGGCAGCAGGCGCAAGGTGCCCATTGAAGTGTCAGCCATATTTAATGTTCTGAGGTGACAGATGGCATAGTGGTGGTGGGTGGGATTTCTTCTCCCAAGATCACCTCCCAAGTTTTAGGATAAAATGTTGTTCAGTGTGTGATCATCTCATATAGTCATACACACACACACACACACACACACACACACACACACACACACACACACACACACACACACACACACAGTGAAGGAGTGAACCTTTGTCTTTGAGACTTTTGCAGTCTTCCTCTCACAGAAGCATCTTCTTCTTCTTTCATAAGACTTCTAGTCTTTGTGTTCCTGCCAAAGACAGTAGTTCTGGGAGCTCTCCTTTCCCTGTTGAAACACAGCTGGACATGGGGGCCCAGGCCAATGCAAACACTGCCCATGTGGCCTGCCTGCCTTTACCGGTTTTTGCCAGAGTACATCACAAAATGTTCCCAATAGTTCATGCTCCCGGTAATATGAAAACAATTAAACATTTGGACCAACATTAAAGTTAATTTATGGATACATTTTCTCGTCATTCATTTTGATGCTAGAAAGGCATTAGATTGTCCCAGAAAGATGATATTTGATGATATTTTCCTTCAGGGAAATATTAGCCTAGTCCCAGATCTGTTTGTGCCCCACAACAGAGTTAAGACCATTGATCACAGGAGTCACAGGAGTTCCCTAGGCTAGTCCAAGTGAAATATGCAAAACAGCAGAGGAGCCTCTGTTTATTTACAGTGCCTGCGGAAAGTATTCAGATCCCTTGACTTTTTCCACATTTTGTTACGTTACAGCCTTATTCGAAAATTGATTTTTTTAAAATCTCCTCAGCAATCTACACACAATACCCTATGATGACAAAGCGAAAACAGGTTTTTAGAAATCTTTGCACATTTATTAAAAATAAAAAACAGATACCTTATTTACATAAGTATTCAGACCCTTTGCTATGAGACTCGAAATTGAGTTCATGTGCATCCTGTTTCCATTGATAATTTTTTAGATGTTTCTACAACTTACTTGGAGTCCACCTGTGGTAAATTCAATTGATTGGACATGATTTGGAAAGGCACACACCTGTTTATATAAGGTCCCACAGTTGACAGTTCATGTCAGAGCAAAAACCAAGCCATGAGGTCGAAGGAATTGTCTGTAGAGCTCAGAGACAGGATTGTGTCGAGGCACAGATCTCGGGAAGGGTACAAAAACATTTCTGCAGCATTGAAGGTCCCCAAGAATACAGTGGCCTCCATTTTTAAATGGAAGAAGTTTGCAACCACCAAGACTCTTCGTAGAGCTGGCCGCCTGGTCAAACTGAGTAATCGGGGGAGAAGGGCCTTGGTCAGGGAGGTGACAAAGAACCCGATGGTCACTCTGACAGAGCTCCAGAGTTCCTCTGTGAAGATGGGAGAACCTTCCAGAAGGACAACCATCTCTGCAGCACTCCACCAATCAGGCCTTTATGGTAGAATGGCCAGACGGAAGCCACTCCTCAGTAAAAGGCACGTGACAGCCCGCTTGGAGTTTGCCAAAAGGCACCTAAAGACTCTCAGACCATGAGAAACAAGATTCTCTGGTCTGATGAAACCAAGATTGAACTCTTTGGCCTGAATGCCAAGCGTCACGTCTGGAGGAAACCTGGCACCATCCCTATGACGAAGCATGGTGGTGGCAGCATCATGCTGTGGGGATGTTTTTCAGCGGCAGGGACTGGGAGACTAGTCAGGATTGAGGCAAAGTTGAACGGAGCAAAGTACAGAGAGATCCTTGATGAAAACCTGCTCCAAAGCGCTCAGGACCTCAGACTGGGGAGAAGGTTCACCTTCCAACAGGACAACGACCCTAAGCACACAGCCAAGACAACGCAGGAGTGGCTTCGGGACAAGTCTCCGAATGTCCTTGCGTGGCCCAGCCAGAGCCCGGACATGAACGTGATTGAACATCTCATGAGAGACCTGCAAATAGCTGTGCAGCAACGCTCCCCATCCAACCTGACAAATACAGGTGTGCCAAGCTTGTAGCGTCATACCCAAGAAGACGCAAGGCTGTAATTGCTGCCAAAGGTGCTTCAACAAAGTACTGAGGAAAGGGTCTGAATACTTATGTAAATGTGATATTTCATTTTATTTTTTATTTTTTATAAATTAGCAATCATTTATAAACTGTTTTTGCTTTGTCATTATGGGGTATTGTGTGTAGATTGATGAGGGGGGGAAAAGTTTTTTCAATTTTAGAATAAGGCTGTAACATAACAAAATGTGGAAAAAGTCAGTCTGAATATCTTCCGAAGGAACTGTATCTATTTGCCTGATCTCGGATTACTCCTGGCTCTGTTTGAGATCTTCCTTAATTTATTATCCATGGAATATTGAAATGTCAGGAGATGATCCTGGGAATAATGTCCTTGGGGATAATGTCTGTGGGGATAATGTAATTGGGATGTTCCTCTCCCTGTGCAGGCCCGTGATGACATTTTGAACGGCTCCCATCCCGTATCTTTCGAGAAGGCCTGCGACTTTGCCGGATACCAGTGTCAGATCCAGTTTGGTGACCACAACGAGACCAAGCACAAACCAGGCTTCCTAGAGTGAGCCCTGTTTATTGCATAATTATTAAATATATAATGCTATGTATATGAATGGCTCAAATATTTTCGATATATAACAAAGATACATTTGCCTTTTAGTAGTGCGTGTATACATACATACAGTACATTTTGATGTAGTATCACTTGAATCACAAGTCAGAACTGCTGGATAATATTGCCTGCCTTAGTGATTTCACTGTCTTCATCAATAAAGTTTGTTTCCATTTAATTATTTCTGATTTCCTTTCTCTAGTATGAAAGAGTTCCTCCCTAAAGAGTACATCAAGAACAAAGGGGAGAAAAGAATCTTCCAGGTAAGAACCCGAGCGTGTGTGTGTGTGTGTTGTTTTCTTGTGTGTGCTTGCGTGCGTGTGTGGGTGCATGCGTGTGTTTGTGTGTGTGTGTGTGTGTGTGTGTGTGTGTGTGAGTGTGTGGGGGGTCATTGTAAGGCCAGTCATATTTGGGCTGCTCGCTCTTTGTGGTGGGGACATTATTTTTCTCACAGACTGAAAACGCATGATCTGATTTTTTTTTCTCCCACTCTGGTTTGTAATAATAGTCTTTGTCTCCATCTGTGTAGAGTTGAATGTTTTCAAAGTATGATTAACAACAAAGTCTGATCAAGCCAACTAGATGAATTGTTGCTATGGCTGTAACTGTATTGATTTAAAAGTGTCCCGACTTGCTCCGTTTAGATGTTTTCTACTGTGACACTATAGTATCGCTGGCTGAGATGTTCAATAAGTCTTATTTTTCTTTCCTACACAGGCTCACAAAAACTACCAAAACATGACAGAAATCGAGGCCAAAGTCAGCTACGTCAAACTGGCTAGGTCTCTGAAAACCTACGGAGTGTCATTCTTCCTAGTAAAGGTAAAATGGCACTGACAAAATAACATTCAACCATAACACTTAAACTCCTTAAACAAGTCTTAAACAACATTGAAGATCTTCTCTTCTTTCTAACCAATCAAAGCTCTAACATTTCAAAGCTTTTGAAGTTCCACTCACTGCCTTTGACGGTTGAATGGAATGTGCAATACCTTTTAACTGGAGTTCTTTTAACCATGTGTGTTTGTGTTGGTGCGTGCGTGTGTCCCCGCAGGAGAAAATGAAGGGTAAGAACAAACTGGTCCCTCGTCTGCTGGGAATCACCAAGGAGTGTGTGATGCGGGTGGACGAGAAGACCAAGGAGGTGATCCAGGAGTGGAACCTCACCAACATCAAACGCTGGGCTGCCTCGCCCAAGAGCTTCACCCTGGTGGGTCCCCTGACCTCTGACCTCCTGGTCACCTTTGACCTTCTGGTCGCCTGGTCAGCATTGGACCAGTGACATTCAGGGTCGTGTTCATTAGGCACCAAACAAGGAAAAAACGGACTGAAACAAGGGAGGGTCTACCTGGATAAGAAATGTTCATTGACCACTTTTAAAACATTTTCTGTTGTGTGCCCTAATGAACATGACCCAGCACTCAACTAGAGCTAATGTCAAGGGGAACATATTGTCTGGCTATTTAGAATTAGGTTGTTTTGTGATCAGTTGCAGTTATTTTTGACTACACCACAGTGTTCATTGTCTTGAGTTTGTCTAGAGTGGAATATGAACACGGGGTTGTCTATTGCTATTAGAAAAAATGGATACAACCCCTTTAAAAGAATACACACTGCAAGGATTGGTGCTGTGTGTTTTTAAAATAAGTTATTATAGAACATAGAAAATAAGTTGTTTGCACTTAAAAGAACATTGAAAGGATGTCATTTGATAGCCCCGGGTCCTGTGTGGCTCAGTTGGAAGAAGCCAGGGTTGTGGGTTTGATTCCCGCGAAAAAGTAAAAGAAAATTGTATGCACTCAGAAAAAGAGCATCTGCTAAATGACTAAAATGTAAATGTAAGCCATACATACCCATCACCTTATGACTCTACATCAGCAACATTCAACAGTGTTGAATTTTGGTCATGTGCTGGAGAATACAGGTCCAAGCTGCACATTGCATGTTTTCAACTAACGCTGCTTATTTTGCCCACAAATGAACAAAAATGAACCACACTTCCAGCCCCTGAAGGATTTTCTGCCTGTAAACAAACAGGACTATTTTCAAACATTAACATACCACAAGGCTCCATTTTCTTTGTCTGTTCTTTTGTCGGTTGTAAACCATAACAGGAAAGAAGACTGGCCGTTTTGTCCGACTTATTATTATTATTATTATTTTCTGGGGAGTATTTCCTGGCAGCTCACCAGATAAATAAAGTTGAGCTCCATAAGGAGTTTTTGACGGTTGGAAAGGCGTGTGCAGCGATACGCCATCCCATCTGGTTTGGGCTTAGTGGGACTATCATTTGTTTATCAAAAGGACAATGACCCAAAACACACCTCCAGGCTGTGTATGGGCTATTTTACTAAGAAGGAGAGTGATGGAGTGCTGCATCAGATGACCTGGCCTCCACAATCACCCGACCTCAACCCAATTGAGATGGTTTGGGATGAGTTGGACGGCAGAGTGAAGGAAAAGCAGCCAATAAGTGCTCAGCATATGTGGGAACTCCTTCAAGACTGTTGGAAAAGCATTCCAGGTGACTACCTCATGAAGCTGGTTGAGAGAATGCCAAGAGTTTGCAAAGCTGTCATCAAGGCAAAGGATGGCTATTTGAAGAATCTCAAATATAAAATATATTTTCATTTGTTTAACACTTTTTTTGGTTACTACATTGTTGTGATGTCTTCACTATTATTCTACAATGTAAAAAATAAAGAAAAACCCTTGAATGAGTAGGTGTGTCCAAAATTTGACTGGTACTGTGTAAATATATATATTTTTTTTTATTCCAGGACTTTGGCGATTATCAAGACGGTTACTACTCTGTCCAGACGACTGAGGGAGAGCAGATTGCCCAACTGATCGCTGGTTACATTGACATCATTCTGAAAAAGGTACTGCAGTGCCATTGCTGTTTCACAATATAGATGCATCGGAGTAGGGTGAAGTTGCCCTTAGACACTGATCTAGGGTCAGTTTCCCCATTTAATGTTTAAGGTTAGGATTGAGGGAGGGGAAGCTGATCCTAGATCTCTACATAGGGGAAACTTCACTGCGGCGCGGATGCATTGCCCAACACTAACACATAATCCCGGTTGCCGGCAGAGATTGTAATCATTCAAGATAGTGAATCAAGAGTGCTGTATGACCAGGTCACCATGGAAATCATATTGACAAAAAGTCAGGGTACACTAGAGTTGCCTCTTCAATGTGTCTGTGCACTGCAGTACAGTAGGGATAGGGTATTGCCGTTTAGAGATTACGGCCATAAGCAAACTGTATACGGCCATAAGCAAACAGGAAAACGCTCATCCAGAGGTGGCGCTCCTAGTGGCCGGGGACTTTAATCCAGGTAAACGTAAATCTGTTTTACCTCATTTCTACCAGCATGTTAAATGTGCAACCAGAGGGGAAAAAACTCTAGACCACCTTTACTCCACACACAGAGACGCGTACAAAGCTCTCCCTCACCCTCCATTTGGCAAATCTGACCATAATTCTATCCTCCTGATTCCTGCTTACAAGCAAAAACAAAAGCAGGAAGCACCAGTGACTCGGTCAATATAAAAGTGGTCAGATGAAGCAGATGCTAAGCTACAGGACTGTTTTGCTAGCACAGACTGGAATATGTTCCGGGATTCTTCCGATGGCATTGAAGAGTACACCACATCAGTCACTGGCTTCATCAATAAGTGCATTGATGACATCGTCCGCACAGTGACTGTACTTACATACCCCAACCAGAAGCCATGGATTACAGGCAACATCCGCACTGAGCTAAAGGGTAGAGCTGCCGCTTTCAAGGAGCGGGACTCTAACCCGGAAGCTTATAAGAAATCCCGCTCTACCCTCCGACTAACCATCAAACAGGCAAAGTGTCAATACAGGACTAAGGTCGAATCGTACTACACAGGCTCCGACGCTCGTCGGATGTGGCAGGGCTTGCAAACTATTACAGACTACAAAGGGAAGCACAGACGCAAGCTGCCCAGTGACACGAGCCTACCAGATGAGCTAAATTACTTCTATGCTCGCTTCGAGGCAAGTAACACTGAAACATGCATGAGAGCATCAGCTGTTCCGGACAACTGTGTGATCCCACTCTCCGTAGCCGATGTGAGTAAAACCTTTAAACAGGTCAACATTCACAAGGCCGCAGGGCCAGACGGATTGCCAGGACGTGTACTCCGAGCATGCGCTGACCAACTGGCAAGTGTCTTCACTGACATTTTCACCCTCTCCCTGTCTGAGTCTGTAATACCAACATGTTTCAAGCAGACCACCATAGTCCCTGTGCCCAAGAACACTAAGGTAACCTGCCTAAATGACTACCGACCCGTTGCACTCAAATCTGTAGCCACGAAGTGCTTTGAAAGGCTAATCATGGCTCACATCAACACCATTATCCCAGAAACCCTATACACACTCCAATTTGCATACCGCCCCAACAGATCCACAGATGATGCAATCTCTATTGCGCTCCATAATTCCCTTTCATACCTGGACAAAAAGAACACCTATGTGAGAATGCTATTCATTGGCTACGGCTCAGCGTTCAACACCATAGTGCCCTCAAAGCTCATCACTAAGCTAAGGACCCTGGGACTAAACACCTCCCTCTGCAACTGGATCCTGGACTTCCTGACGGGCCGCCCCCCAGGTGGGAAGGGTAGGTAACAACACATCCGCCACGCTGATCCTCAACACGGGGGCCCCTCAGGGGTGCGTGCTTAGTCCCCTCCTGTACTCCCTGTTCACCCATGACTGCATGGCCAGGCACGACTCCAACACCATCATTAAGTTTGCCGATGACACAACAGTTACCCAGTAATGGTGCGATTACAGTTGTTTACAGACAGTAGAGTAAAACTAGCTTATATTATGGGTTCTGATGAGGTGCGACAGTTGAACTGCGCTAGTGAGGCATTTAGAAGTGATATACTTCAAGAATCAATGGCCATATATCGTTACTTTAAAAGTCATAAAATGGATGTACCTTTATTTATTTATTTTAATTTATTATGTACCAATCCCGGATTGCCCCTTTAATTCAGTGAGTAGAGCTATATGAACCCTATAACCATAATAAAGAACCTATAATATACCCAATAACCTCTCTTGTCTCCTTCCGACAGAAAAAGAGCAAAGACCACTTTGGATTAGAGGGAGATGAGGAGTCCACCATGTTGGAAGATTCTGTGTCACCCAAAAAGTGAGTCCAGTGCAGCTGTTTCCTGCAATGTGTGTCAGTGATATGTCACAGCATGCATGTCAATGACGGCTCACTTTGTGTGTGTGTGTGTGTGTGTTTTGATGTAAGAAGATTCTATACTGTACTGTACCAAAAAAACAAAAAACACTGTAGTGCTTTCCCTCAGTCTTTATCCATAACTCCCCTATAGATTTGCATGTATGGGTCCTGTGTAGGTGCTCCATCCAGCCTATGGTTCCTGTGTAGTGGTTCCATCTAGCCTATGGGTGCCATCTTTCTGATTCTGATGAGGATGAAGAGCCTTACTGTATACAGCACTGCAATATAGTATTTATTCTGACATACCTCTATCCATCCCTCTCACTCCTCCATCTCTCCCCTCCCTCCATCTCTTCCTTTCACTCCCTCCATCTGTCCCTCCACTCCCTCCATCTGTCCCTCCACTCCCTCCATCTGTCCCTCCACTCCCCCAGGTCTACGGTGCTGCAGCAGCAGTTCAACAAGGTGGGGAAGGTGGAGACTGGCTCTGTGGCCCTGCCGGCCATCATGCGTTCAGGGGCCGGGGGCCCCGAGAGCTTCCAGATGGGCTCCATGCCCCAGGCCAAGCAGCACATCACCAGCGGACAGATGCACAGGGGCCATATGCCCCCGCTGGTGAGGCTGGGGGGCCACGGGGGGCCACATTGATCTCTAGCAGGGTTGGGGTCAATTCAGTTTTAAGTTCAGGAAGTGAAATTCAGTTCAATTAAAGATTTGGAAAAGCCCTAATAGGAAATAGTAGTTAATTTTCAATTCACTTCCTCAATTGACTGTTAATTGAAACACTGAACGGACCCCAAAACGATATTTATATCTGAAGAAAGTATATGCCTTTTTAGAGTCTATACACCATAACGTTCTCAGTTGGAAAATAAATAAATACAAACATGAAGTGTATTGGCCTATTTTGTTAACAGTACAGAATGAAAACTAAGAGTGTATCTCTGTATGTTCCCCTGTGTGCAGACATCCGCCCAGCAGGCCCTGACTGGCACCATCAACTCCAGCATGCAGGCGGTGCAGGCTGCCCAGGCCTCGCTGGGGGAGTTTGACACCCTGCCTCCCCTCGGGACAGACGCGGTGAGACACCTGGACTTAAACTGACCCACTCTTCACCTGTACAACCTCCAACCTGTAGCTATAAGTAGCTTCTGGATCATCTCATCTATCATGTTGTCCTCTCGGTTAAGGGTTTAAAGTGAATTATTTCAGATGGATACGATTCAAGCATAGTTGTTCAATGTGTTGTGCTGTACCAGATCAAGGGAGAGAACATGCTCCACTCTATCCTATTGGGTAAAACAGTGAATTGGTGCTCGAAGCCAACAGTAATTTTCATGTAAGTGTTGTATGAAATGGTTTAATGTGATCTGTGTCTTCCCGTGATCCAGGCCTCCCAAGCCTGGCGTAAGAACAAGATGGATGAGTCCAAACACGAGATCCACTCCCAGGTTGACGCCATCACAGCCGGGACAGCCTCCATGGTCAACCTCACCGCAGGTACCGTCTCCTCACTGGATACCAAGAATTTATGTTGTGGTAACTTCTTATATCTGTCTCGAAGGACCGGTATATATGGAACTGCCTTTTTCACCGGCGTGCTTAATTCAATACAGGTCTCTCTTGTAAAATAGATTTGATCTCAATGACAATAACATGTATAAATAAAGTTTAAATGAAAAGGTGGTATAAAAAGGTGGTTAGATACTGCGTTGTAATGTCTTTTAACTAGAAAGGTGAAGGCTTTTGTAGCTGAAATATTGACTCTGTGGGTGGATGAATAAAGCAAAGCAGCAGCATGAAGTTCCCCTCAACATCTGTCTAGGGCCTGTCCACCGAGTGCACTAGGGCCTGTCCACCGAGTGCACTAGGGCCTGTCCACCGAGTGCACTAGGCCCTGTCCACCGAGTGCACTAGGGCCTGTCCACCGAGTGCACTAGGGCCTGTCCACCGAGTGCACTAGGGCCTGTCCACCGAGTGCACTAGGGCCTGTCCACAAAGTGTTGGAACCTAAACATGTCTGTCTGTCTGTCTGCCCCTCAACAATAGGCGACCCAGCAGAGACCGACTACACGGCGGTGGGCTGTGCCGTGACCACCATCTCCTCCAACCTGACGGAGATGTCCAAGGGGGTCAAGCTGCTTGCCGCCCTCATGGAGGATGAGGGAAGCAATGGAAACCAGCTGTTGGGGGCTGCCAAGAACCTGGCGTGCGCCGTGTCCGACATGCTGAAGACCGCCCAGCCAGCCAACACTGAGGTAACACACGCGCATGCACTGAGTACTGAAGTAACACACTGAATGCTTAGCCATTTTTTTGTACTTACTGTTTCTGTGTCGCACAATGATAATGTTCAGAAAGGCGCACGGTGGAAAAAGATTTTGCACCGAAAAATTGAAAATCTGTGTCCTTATTAAAGTGTTTTCTCCCATATTGTGCTTACTGGACACGACCCATGTCACCTGTAAGTTAACGACCCATGTCACCTGTAAGTTAACGTGAAACCAACTTCATGCATAAGATATACACTGTTAAAGAATCCCTTCATGATGGCTTTTCTTCAGTCATGTGACCTGTGCTCTTCGGGCGTCTTTTTTTTCACCCATCAGCCCCGTCAGAATCTTCTGCAGGCTGCAGGCAACGTGGGCCAGGCCAGTGGCGAGCTGCTGTCTCACATCGGAGAGACGGACGCCGACCCCCGCTTTCAGGTAGGCCAACCGTGACCCAGTCCAGAGTGAACTGAACTGACACTCTGAAAGTGGGACTACGCCACAAGAAAATAAGTCTCAACTAAGGCTATAAACGGCCGTTTTCACACTTGGGGGCAAATTCTAACTTCCACTTAAGTACAATTTTCACTTTGTCTCCCGTTGACATCAATAAATGGCTGAGTGAAAATACCTGGAACTTAGGGTTCTGCCCTTCATAGACTTTAGTCTGAATCTTCTGCGCAAATCGTCCAATGCTTTCAGCACTCTGATTTGCACAACGTTTGAGTTGCCTTAGTATCTTAGGACAGAACACGGTATTGATCAGTTCCCTATGTAGAGTTTGTTGACTTAATTTGTGCAATACTGTGTGACATTACTATAACCCCCGTCTTTTTTTCCACCTGCATTGGTCAGTTTCTAGGTAAAGGATCTTTCAGGGGTGCCACGCGGAGCGTCCACACTTATAGTCACAAGCTGGTAACAAACGTGTCCTCGAAAGATGAGCCTATCCGAATCACTGTCACTCCCAAAATGGCCAATCATGCTAATGGTTCTTGGATCGTTCACTGTAATTGACCACACTGGTGTAATGTAATCTAGTAGTCTCTCCTTGTAATTTCTAGCAGTTTCGTTCGGTTTCTCTTGCATATCTTCAGGTACTCAAATGCTCTCTGTTTTCTTATAGGTTTTGATTATTGATACACAGGAAAAAAGTGCAAGTAGCTCTCAAAAGCATTTGATTATGAAGTATGCAACAGCTCAATGCACTGAGATAAGCTCAGAGTTTCAGATGAGCAACTTCACCCGAGGTATTAAAAGGTTAACTGCATTTACATGACCATCTTTCTGCCCCTGTCTAAACAGAGTCGTTTCCATTTGTAGGGTACTGGGTTGATTATTAACCCTTGCTGTGGCTGCATTGAGCTCTAGGAGAACACTGCTGTACCTGAAGATATACAGGGAATGTCTGTTTTAACAATGGTGTCCAATATTAAATGAAGGGTTTAACAATAGCAGTAGTAGGGTTTCTGTTTCGATAAGTGGGAAGGAAGCCTGTTAAGAATTGTTTTCTCTTAAGAGAATTTCTGAATTCCTCATGACTGAGCTAAGACCTATTGGCAACCGATTTAGAATACAGTACTTAACCTTAAAATGGGACAAAACTACAGCTCTTTGGTGACTGTATTGGAGTTCTTGGTTATGTGGTGATATTTATAATAGCCTATACATGTATTGAGGGAATGCGCTTCAACTGAAAACGTGATGATGTAGCTTTAATGTTACACCTAAATTATGATATAGCCTGAAAATGTCTGAGCGAGCGCAGACAACATATCGTGGAGAAATAAGTAGGCCGGCTAATGGCTGTTCATAAGTGCTTGTGGAATGCAGCCTGACCGCAGCTCCCACAAATTACAGAAATCCTCAGTTTTTCTCCTCCTCCCTTATTCCGCCTCCTTCTTTTACGACTCTTCACTCACAAAACGACATCCAGGGAGCTGCCCAACTCTTCTCAATCGTGAAGTCGATAATCCCACTCTAAACACTTTCCAAACTGCATAATTTTGATGAGTGTTTGATTAGCTTTTGGATAAAGGAAAGTGAAGTTTTGTTTAGTTTTTTTATTACAGCGACCCTGTTGCAGCATGCTACTGGTGATATCCTGTCTCTCCTCAATGACCACCGTGTGTTAGCCCACCGTGTGTTAGCCCACCGTGTGTTAGCCCACCGTGTGTTAGACTACCGTGTGTTAGACTACTGTGTGTTAGCCCACTGTGTGTTAGACTACTGTGTGTTAGCCCACCGTGTGTTAGCCCACCGTGTGTTAGCCCACCGTGTGTTAGCCCACCGTGTGTTAGACTACTGTGTGTTAGCCCACCGTGTGTTAGACTACCGTGTGTTAGCCCACCGTGTGTTAGACTACTGTGTGTTAGCCCACCGTGTGTTAGCCCACCGTGTGTTAGACTACTGTGTGTTAGCCCACCGTGTGTTAGACTACCGCGTGTTAGACTACCGTGTGTTAGCCCACCGTGTGTTAGCCCACCGTGTGTTAGCCCACCGTGTGTTAGACTACTGTGTGTTAGCCCACCGTGTGTTAGACTACCGTGTGTTAGACTACTGTGTGTTAGCCCACCGTGTGTTAGCCCACCGTGTGTTAGCCCACCGCGTGTTAGACTACCGTGTGTTAGCCCACCGTGTGTTAGCCCACCGTGTGTTAGACTACTGTGTGTTAGCCCACTGTGTGTTAGCCCACCGTGTGTTAGACTACTGTGTGTTAGCCCACCGTGTGTTAGCCCACCGTGTGTTAGCCCACTGTGTGTTAGCCCACCGTGTGTTAGCCCACCGTGTGTTAGCCCACCGTGTGTTAGCCTACTGTGTGTTAGCCTACAATGTGTTAGCCTACTGTGTGTTAGCCCACCGTGTGTTAGCCTACTGTGTGTGTGTCTAGCACTTCAGAGGTCACAGCTGGAGTCCCTCCGCTTCCATGTATCATCTTTTGACACACCTAGAGAGCCCCTAGTCACCGTCCCCCCGTCACTTTTCTCTTCCCCCCCAGTCACTTTTCTCTTCCCCCCCAGTCACTTTTCTCTTCCCCCCAGTCACTTTTCTCTCCCCCCCAGTCACTTTTCTCTCCCCCACCAGTCACCTTTCTCTCCCCCCCAGTCACTTTCCTCCCCCCCAAGTCACTTCCTCCCCCCAAGTCACTTTTCTATTCCCCCCCAGTCACTTTTCTCTCTCCCCCCAGTCACTTTTCTCTCTCCCCCCCAGTCACTTTTCTCTCTCCCCCACCAGTACCTTTTCTCTCCCCCCCAGTCACTTTCCTCCCCCCCAAGTCACTTTCCTCCCCCCAAGTCACTTTTCTATTCCCCCCCAGTCACTTTTCTCTCTCCCCCCCAGTCACTTTTCTCTCTCCCCCCCCAGTCACTTTTCTCTCTCCCCCCAGTCACTTTCTCTCCCCCCCAGTCACTTTTCTCTCCCCCCCAGTCACTTTTCTCTCCCCCACCAGTCACCTTTCTCTCCCCCCCAGTCACTTTCCTCCCCCCCAAGTCACTTTCCTCCCCCCCAGTTACTTTTCTCTTCCCCCCCCAGTCACTTTTCTCTCACCCCCAGACACATTTCTCCCTCCTAGTTACTCCCCCGCCTCCCTTAGTCACTCTGTTTTTGTGCTTCCAAACGTGAAGTAACAGGTTTTGGAAGCACAAAAATGCACATTCTTTAGTTTTAAATATATCTGATATCATGAGACACAATTTAAACTGTTGCACATGTTTGTACAATGTCAGCCCTCTTAATAATATCCAAGACCCAAAACAAGTGTCGATGTCAAACCCAGTCTCTGACTAAATCAGCTAGTTGACAAAATACACATGAATATGTCATTGTTAGTCATTCGGTACTGTAGCTGCATTAGCTAGCCCGCTACATAACCTTGTAGAATAACCTTATATTACTTTTGGGCAGTAGAGAAGGTCAGTATGTTCCTAAAGTCTCCACTTGTGGGGTAGAGACTCAAACACCAACAACTAAAGGCAAGATAAAGTTGATCGTTGTCTTTGGAGCAACCAGGCTTTGAGTCTCCCCTTCTCCCCAGCCTGGATGGGTTATGCTATAGTATATTTAGGTTTAATGAATGTGAAGGAATGCGTCACAAATGGCACCCTATTCCCTACAGAGTGTACTAAGGCTCTGGTCAAAAGTAGTGCACTATGTAGGGAATAGGGTGTCATTTGGGACGTACGCTTAGCTTGGCTTCCCCTATGGAAATAATCCTCTGAGGTCATATGGAGGGTTATAGATAGTAGGGTCATCAATAGGACCTTCTATTCACCTTTGTGCTAAAACTGGCGGCACTGAATTCAGGTCAGACTGTAAGCTGTGGTGTGTTTCGCAGGACAGATTTTAAAACTGGAAAAATCTCATTTTCTCCTTTGTAGAGGCCATTTCTCTAATCTCTTTACTTCATTTAATTTCGCAAAATGGACGTTAACATTTGAGTACTCTTCCCGAAGAGGACAATTCTCTTCAGAATAATTCAATTGATCCTAATTCTTACCAAAATAATGAAATTAGTCCATCGTTTCATAGTTGACCCACAATCTTTTCACCCCATTTAACCTAGGTGTCACACTGTTTCTATTCTCAACAATGCTACGCTGTCGTCTTCTTTGCTACGACAACAACAACAAGTTAACTAAAGCAGAAACAGTCTGGCACTCAGGCTAAAGATACTCACAATGAACACAGTCTCAATCAAAACAGAGCCTCGTTTATGGGCCTGGTATGGAATCGTTAAAATGATATTTTCTCCTTCCATTGTGCCTTGATTTACTATATGCTACATGCTAACTAGCATGCTAACTAGCCTGTGTCATCCCTGCCGTTCTCAGGACATGCTTATGCAGCTGGCTAAAGCCGTGGCTAACGCTGCCGCCGCTCTGGTGCTCAAAGCAAAGAACGTGGCCCAGAAGACAGAGGACTCTGCACTCCAGAACCGCGTCATCGCCGCAGCGACCCAATGTGCCCTATCCACCTCCCAACTGGTGGCCTGCACCCGGGTAAGAAACAAGAACCCCAACATCTTTACCACACACTGACCATCTATTATCCCATGTTTGTAATTTGGGCGGTATACCGTATATATACCGTTTACAGGGGTATTTTTAAAATACCGACGGTATGATTTATAATAGCGTAAATTGGGGACCCTCTAAAGCTCGGGTGCACCCCTGCATCACGGGAGCTGCGGGGATTCGTTCTATGCCACTGCTTATAACTAGAAGTTGTGTCAAATAAATGATATCCAGCTCAGGGCTCCAGCTAGGCATTTCGTTTGCTAACTTGCTATCTAAGCGGCTAGATGGCAAGATCAAGCTTCTTGGTTACAGCAGAGACAAACAATTCCCTCCTGGATCAAGATCCCTACTGCCTAAATTTGTTTGTGTGTTCAAAAAAACAAACATTTGGAAATAAATATTGCACTGACAGTATAACCGTATACCCCGGGATGGTACAGGAAAGGTATTAATGGATGAAAATCTGGAGACCGCCCAACGCTATTGTCAATATAGTGACTTTTTATTGATTTGCAAATCTTATTTTTTTTATTACTTTTTTTACACATTTGGTGATTTGTTAATTCAAATTAATTTGTGTTTTTCCATTTGTGAATTTGTAAATGTAGTTTACGTAAGAAGAGACAATTGGTTGTTTCCCCTCTCTAGTTTAGTTTAGTGTTGACACCAAGAGGTGGTTCAGAGGGCTTGATTAGATCATGTGTTGTCCTCCCAACTGATCTGTTTCTCTCCTCTTCCTTTACCCATCTATTTATCTCTCTATCATCCCCATTTCTCCTCTCCTCCTATCTCTCCCTCCCCTTTTTTACCTTACCCCTATCTCTCCCTCCCCTTTTTTTTTTTACCTTACCCCTATCTCTCCCTCCCCTTTTTTTACCCTACCCCTTACCAGGTGGTCGCTCCCACCATCAGCTCCCCGGTGTGCCAGGAGCAGCTGGTCGAAGCAGGCAAGCTGGTTGCCAAGTCGGTGGACGGCTGCGTGGATGCGTCGCAGGGCGCCACCAGCGACGAGGGGCTCCTCAAGCAGGTGGGCGCTGCCGCCACAGGCGTCACCCACGCCCTCAACGAGCTGCTGCAGCACATCAAGCAGTACGCCCATGGGGGGCAGCCCATAGGGCGCCACGGAGAGGCCACAGACCGCATCCTGGACGTCACCGAGAACATCTTCAGCTCCATGGGAGACGCTGGTAGGCTGGGGGATGGGAGGGGCGAGGCTAAAGTGGTCAAGGTTCAGCGGTCATATTGGAGTGTGATAGCATAGATGGTGGATAAAAGAAGATGTCCCACTCATGCCGTTTACCATTGAAGAAAATGGTCACGGTTCAGTTCTGCTTAAGGGGGTGACTCTCCCATAGGCACCAATGTGATAGCAGCTGGGTCTGGTCTGCTGAGTTTGACTGTATATGAACCTGAAAAAAGGAGTGAATGAGATGTCTCGCTTCTTCCTCCGTCTCTGGAGTCTGCATCTCAAAATGGCATCCTATTTGCAAAAAGCAATTTCAAATTGATGTCTTATTTCCAAAAAGCAGTACAGAAAAGTATAATTTGAGAGGTTTTAATATGACAATATGGTGAGAAAGTGGATTGTTGTGTAACCTTTTGTTGGTAAAATACTCCCTGACTTTTAACAGGTTTATTAAAGGAAATGCCTCCTGTAGCTCAGTTGGTAGAGCATGGCGCTTGCAACACCAGGGTTGTGGGTTCGATTCCCACGGGGGGACAGTATGAAAAATGTATGCACTCACTTAACTGTAAGTCGCTCTGGATAAGAGCGTCTGCTAAATGATTAAAATGTTATTAAAGGAAAGATCAAAATGCTACCTTTGCCCTTTTATCTAGGGCCAGATTCAGTAAAGGCTGGATGAATAAATCAGTACTTCAACTGTATTCAGTGCTGTTTGTCTCCCTCCTCTCCAGGTGAGATGGTGCGTCAGGCCCGCATCCTTGCCCAGGCCACCTCGGACCTGGTCAACGCCATCAAGATGGACGCAGAGGGCGAGTCGGACCTGGAGAATTCCCGCAAGCTGCTGTCAGCCGCCAAGCTCCTGGCGGACGCCACGGCCAAAATGGTGGAGGCTGCCAAGGTCTGTCCCCCATTCCGACATGGTCTGTCCCACATGAGCAACTGCTCCCGTCCCGTCCCCCATTCCAACATGGTCTGTCCCACATGAGCAACTGCTCCCGTCCCGTCCCCCATTCCAACATGGTCTGTCCCACATGAGCAACTGCTCCCGTCGCGTCCCCCATTCCAACATGGTCTGTCCCACATGAGCAACTGCTCCCGTCCCGTCCCCCATTCCAACATGGTCTGTCCCACATTCCACCGTTGAGGATTTATGAGCGTGGCTGGAGGAATGGCGAGGCCTCCGTTTAGGAGCTGTGTGTGTGTGTGTGTGTGTGTACGCGCATGCATAGTGTGTGTGTGTGTGTGTGTGTGTGTGTGTGTGTTTGTGTAAAAGCATTTTTGTTTAGTAGAATAGTTGTTTAGTCTTTTTGGGGTTTAAGTGTACTGTATTGAGGATTTTGTTTGCAACTTCCTCAGTGTGTGCGTGGTGCAATATCATCTTGGTCTAATGAGTAAGATGCTGGTTTCCCCAGCGGGAGACCGGGGTTCAGGTCCCACTCGTGACGTTAACATGCTGATGTGTGTGTGTGTGCAGGGCGCAGCTGCCAACCCGGACAGCGAGGAGCAGCAGCAGAGGCTGCGTGAGGCAGCAGAGGGTCTACGTATGGCTACCAATGCTGCTGCCCAGAACGCCATCAAGAAGAGGCTGGTCAACAAGCTGGAGGTGATATTCCTGGACCTCAACCAGTGTTTCCCCCCGCCATTATATAGATTGGGTTGGGTGGGCCCCCCTCCTACCTTTGTTACACCCCCCTGCTTAAAAGAGTTTGGTACTTTCCGCCTGGAAATTAAACTAGGGGAAATGCTGACTTTCAAACTGTATGGCCATTTATACATTTTAACATTACACATTACTACTAGGGCCAGGAGTTTTTCAAGACCACATGACCTGACAAGGACAAACAGGCTCTAGTTAAAGGTACACATGGGCACTTCTTTGGAGTGAAAAATGCCTCTTACCCAAGAGCTGGAGAATGAAAGCTTATCTTAGTCTCTGAATATTATCCTAATTGTTTTCATGGAAGTTAAAACAAACAGCCTTGACTTCCCATAGCAACCACATGAGTGGCTTCCCATAGCAACCAAATAAGTAAGAAGCCCTCATATCAGATGCATGTTCAATCACCTCTCTCTGCCATACAATCACCTCTGCTGGTGCCCAGCGGCTAGTTCTAGGTTATGTCCAAAATAGCACCCTATTCCCTATATAGTGCACTACTTTTGACCAAGGCCCATAGGGCTCTGGTGAAACGTAGTGCACTATGTAAGGAAATAGGGTGCTATTTTGGACGCTACCCTAGTGTTAAGTGATATCGTAGGCCCACAAAAGAACTTTGTGACTGCGAGGAGAGGTTTGCAGAACTTATGACTGGCCGTGACTTGTCTAAGCATAACTTATGACTGGCCGTGACTTGTCTAAGCATAACTTATGACTGGCGGTGAATCTGTCAGTAAACAGCATGCAGACAAAACAGGCCTTTTGCAATATTTCAAATGCAATCGCGGGAAATCACAGGTTGGAAAGCAAATGGCTCCTGCTGAAAAGAGAAGTCTAATCCATATGCTGTAGGCTACCAAAATATTTGATCAACTTCCAAATATTGTTTTACAAAGTAAAACAAGAGAGAGGCTTTTGGCACGAACGCATCAGCCATCACTGGCGAGTGAGCTGCGCATCATTGGGTGAGTCAGTGAAACTGGAAAGCATTTTTAGGACTAGAATTTCCTCCTCATATTGTAGCCTACAATATGTGCATCTCCACACACACTTAGGCCTGGCTATTGATGGATTCAAGACAAGGTTATTTTTATTGATCTCCGATTCTCAGTTTGTCAGTGTCAAAGTAGCCTGTCATTTCGATAAGTTGCATTATGATTGCTAAGTATTATTTGTTTCATCGAAACATAGTTTTTGACAAAAAACCTTCCCTAATGTATGCATTGCTGAAATTAACCAACCCTGATGTCAGTTAGCCAGCACGTAGGTTTGGAAACCTAAGTCGAAACTAAACTGACAGTATTTTTTCACACTGCGTTTCCTGCCAGAACGCATCCAAGCAGGCCGCCGCGGCTGCCACTCAGACCATAGCCGCCGCCCAGCACGCCGCCTCGTCCAATAAGAACCCAGCAGCCCAGCAGCAGCTCGTCCAGAGCTGCAAGGTGAGAGCTCCGCTGCCATGACAACCCAACCATCACTCTCTTCCTGGTTTCTGGTCCTGTGGGGTCAGGCATAGGTTACTGAGTACTAGTATCATGCCTTCTCTCTTTTTCCTTCTCTCTCTCTCTCTCTCTCTCTCTCTCTCTCTCTCTCTCTCTGTCTCTCTCTCTCTGTCTCTCTCCTCTCTCTCTGTCTGTCTCTCTCTTCTCTGTCTCTCTCTGTCTCTCTGTCTCTCTCTCTCTCTGTTTCTCTCTCTGTCTCTCTCTCTCTCTCTCTCTCTCTCTCTCTGTTTCTCTCTCTGTCTCTCTCTCTCTCTCTCTCTCTCTCTCTCTCTGTCTCTCTCTCTTTCTCTCTCTTTTTTTTCTTCTCTCTCTCTTTTCTCTCTCTCTCTCTCGGGGTACAATTACTGTAGTAAATCTCAAATAAAATATTTTTGACTTTGACATTCTGAATTAGATTGTAGTTCAGGTGTCCTTCATTGTACACTGATCTTGTGATTGGTCATGTATGCAGTCATGTGAGCAGTGATTGCTTCATTGCACTGTAAGAGTGAGAGTAGAGCATTGTGCTTAAGTGTGTGTTATTGTTTCTACCCTACATATCTTCCATTTGGTTGGTTGATTGTTTAATTCATTGGCCGACCTGTTTGTTTGTGTCAGGTGGTGGCAGACCAGATTCCTCAGCTGGTCCAGGGGGTACGTGGCAGCCAGTCCCAGCCCGACAGCCCCAGTGCCCAGCTCACCCTCATCGGGGCCGGCCAGAACTTCCTCCTGGTGAGACCCTCTTCTCTACCCTGCCCCCTATAACGTGTTTTTTTTTCCTGATTCTTATATAACTTCGCAAAGAAGCATGCTCACCTAAAATAAATATGACACAAAACAAGGAAGCTTGTCCTCTGAAGTCTCCTGGAGTCAATTTGATTTATTACAAACTACACAGGACCAATGTTTTAGTAGCATGCAACTTCTCTCTCCTTTGTAAAAAATAAACAAGTTTACACTTTCCTTCCTCCATCCACTCCCATGCCCTCAGCCTGGTGCCAAGATGGTGACAGCTGCCAAGGCCACAGTACCCACCATTGGCGACCAGTCCTCTGCCATGCAACTCAGCCAGTGTGCCAAGAACCTGGCCACTGCCCTTGCCGAGCTCCGCACGGCCGCACAGAAGGTACCAAACACCCCCCAAATGCACTCAACAAGGACCTGTTGTTTGACCTTGTTAGCGGTTTCGTTAGTGGAATTAGCTAGCTAGCTTGCTCCATTTAGCTGAAACACTGTATTAGTGGTTTAGCTAGTGGAATTAGCTAGCTACAGTAGCTTACGCCATAACTAGCTGAAACACTGTATTAGCTCACTCCATAGCTAACTTGAGTAACACCACTGTATTATAGCACTGTAGTTAGAGGTTTCGCTAGCAGGCCCTGTCTTGCCCAATATGGGATCCCTATTCTGTTCGGTCTTCCCTTTCCCCACTTCCTGTGTTGACTTCCTGTCATGTCACTTCCTGTCATGTGATCCAGGCACAGGAAGCATGTGGTCCTCTGGAGATCGACAATGCTCTGACAGTGGTCCGAGGCCTGGAGAAAGACATGGCGGAGGCCAAGGCCTCCGCCGGCGACGGCAAACTCAAACCCCTGCCCGGAGAAACGGTGAGAGTCTCACACACATACATACACACATTCATGCACACACACACACACGATACACCTCGCATATGCCGTATGCATACTGTACTTGTAGGCTAGCAGGAAGTTTGACACACCACACACACACCACACACCCCTGCCCTGGTAGATGGCAAGCACATGCACAAATACACATATTTCCACAAACACACAGTACTGTGCATACAAGCTAACCACAACCTGTGCAACAGTATCCAGACTATACAGTACTAAGTGAACACACTCAACCCATCTCTCCCACGCTCTTCCTGTCACATGACTTGTGACAGGAATAACTTGTGACAAGTTAACTACTGACTTTCAGCATGCATATAGAGAAGGGCATTCAACTTGTACTGCACTGACTCAGATGACTGATGATTGGCTAAAGGAAATGGATAATAAGATGATAGTGTTATGAAAATGTAATGTCATGTAATATTTTAAACTGTATATAACTGTCTTAATGTTGCTGGACCCCAGAAGGAGTAGCTGCTGCCTTGGCAGCAGCTAATGGGGCTCCTTAATAAATACAAAATACAAATAGTTGGAGCTGTATTGTTAGATTTCAATGCAGGATTTGATGTTATTGATCATAAATTGTTATTGAAGAAACTCACTTGTTATGGCTTTACATCACCTGCCATCACATGGTTGGAGAGTCATTTATCCAGTAGAATCCAGAGAGTCACATGGTTGGAGAGTCATTTATCCAGTAGAATCCAGAGAGTCACATGGTTGGAGAGTCATTTATCCAGTAGAATCCAGTGAGTCACATGGTTGGAGAGTCATTTATCCAATAGAACCCAGAGAGTCACATGGTTGGAGAGTCATTTATCCAGTAGAATCCAGTGAGTACATGGTTGGAAGTCATTTATCAATAGAACCCAGAGAGTCACATGGTTGGTAGAGTCATGTTATCCAATAGAACCCAGAGTCACAGGTTGAGAGTCATTATCCAGTAGAATCCAGTGAGTCACATGGTTGGAGAGTCATTTATCCAGTAGAACCCAGTGAGTGTTCTTCAATGGAAGCTTCTCTAACATCAGATATGTACAATGTGGTTTCCCTCAGGGCTGTTGCCTTGGGGTGTTACTCTTCCTATTTTACAATGATTTGCCATTTGTCTTACACCAAGCTAAAATGACTATGTATGCTGATGATTGCACACTCTACACATCAGCACCTACAGACAGTGAGCTCACTGAGACGATGCAAGGGGTTACAGTCGGTGTCAGAATGGGTCATTAACAGTAAACAGGTCTTAAATACATCTAAAACCAAAAACATTCTCTTAGACCTAAACCGGAGTTGTACATAAAGGGTGTGACCATTGAACAAGTGGAAGAAGCTGAACTCCTAGGAGTAACATTGGATGGTCAGTTATCATGGCCAAGTCATATTGACAAAATGTGCATGTGCAGTAGCTAATGGGGATCCTAATAAACTCAACTAAACTTGTAGCCACATGCACAGCAGTAGATTTCAACACCCACCACAGAATCAGGTAGGTAGGCTGATTACAACACCCACCACAGAATCAGGTAGGTAGGCTGATTACAACACCCACCACAGAATCAGGTAGATAGGCTGATTTCAACACCCACCACAGAATCAGGTAGGTAGGCTGATTACAACACCCACCACAGAATCAGGTAGGTAGGCTGATTACAACACCCACCACAGAATCAGGTAGGTAGGCTGATTACAACACCCACCACAGAATCAGGTAGATAGGCTGATTTCAACACCCACCACAGAATCAGGTAGGTAGGCTGATTTCAACACCAACCACAGAATCAGGTAGGTAGGCTGATTTCAACACCCACCACAGAATCAGGTAGGTAGGCTGATTACAACACCCACCACAGAATCAGGTAGATAGGCTGATTTCAACACCCACCACAGAATCAGGTAGGTAGGCTGATTTCAACACCCACCACAGAATCAGGTAGGTAGGCTGATTTCAACACCCACCACAGAATCAGGTAGGTAGGCTGATTTCAACACCCACCACAGAATCATGAATCATGCCTCAGCACCCGTCTATGTGACTGTGCCCACATGAGGATTACAAGTACTTGACTGTGAGAATTCCAACCACAGTGCAGACACATACGAACCCACACACACTTAACTGGCCCCCAATGCTTTGTATGCCAGAGCAGTCTGTAAAATGAAACCGGATATACTGTACTTTATGCATGTTTATGATTCTTTTAAAAAATCGAATCAACAGTTCACTCCTACTCATGTTACTTTATTGAATTAGTCTGTGTATGAATCTAAGAAATTATACAAGTGAAAGTATGTGTATTGTGGCATATATTGTATCACTAATGTGTGTGTGTGTGTGTGTGTGTGTGTGTGTGTGTGTGTGTGTGTGTGTGTGTGTGTGTGTGTGTGTGTGTGTGTGTGTGTGTGTGTGTGTGATTGCAGCTGGAGAAGTGCTCTCAGGACGTGGGCAACAGCACTAAGGCTGTGAGCTCTGCCATCGCCCAGCTGCTGAGTGAGGCCACCCAGGGCAACGAGAACTACACAGGTAGCTACAGTAGTATACAAACTGGTCACCCAGGGCAACGAGAACTACACAGGTAGCTACAGTAGTATACAAACTGGTCACCCAGGGCAACGAGAACTACACAGGTAGCTACAGTAGTATACAAACTGGTCACCCAGGGCAACGAGAACTACACAGGTAGCTACAGTAGTATACAAACTGGTCACCCAGGGCAACGAGAACTACACAGGTAGCTACAGTAGTATACAAACTGGTCACCCAGGGCAACGAGAACTACACAGGTAGCTACAGTAGTATACAAACTGGTCACCCAGGGCAACGAGAACTACACAGGTAGCTACAGTAGTATACAAACTGGTCACCCAGGGCAACGAGAACTACACCGGTAGCTACATTAGTATACAAACTGGTCACCCAGGGCAACGAGAACTACACAGGTAGCTACAGTAGCATACAAACTGGTCACCCAGGGCAACGAGAACTACACAGGTAGCTACAGTAGTATACAAACTGGTCACCCAGGGCAACGAGAACTACACAGGTAGCTACAGTAGTATACAAACTGGTCACCCAGGGCAGGAGAACCCTGGACTAGAGCAGTACTCTTCAACCCTGTTCCTGGAGAGCTATCGTCCTGTAGGTTTTCACTCCAACCCTAATGTAATGCACCTGATTCTATTAATTAGCTGGTTGATAAGCTGAATTGGGTTAGTTACAACTGGGGTTGGATTGAAAACCTAAAGGAGAGTGGCTCTCCAGCAACAGGGTTGGGAGAGCCCTGGCCTAGAGGTAATTTACTGAAGTATGTCATAATAAAGAATGTAGCTCAGATAATAAGAGGATCATGAAGCCCTCAGCCATGTGCACTCAGTTTAATATACAGTGTGTCTGACAGCATTAAAGCCTAAAGATTTATCTGGTGGGAGGAAAGAAGACGACTCAGGAGCACCCTCTAGTGGAGACAGACAGTACTTACGCTTTGTCCCCTCTCTCTCTATCTCTATTTCTCGATCTCTCTCTCACTCTCGCTCTCGCTCACTCTCTCTCAGGTATGGCAGCCAGAGACGTGGCTCAGGCACTGCGATCTCTGGCCTCGGCCGCCCGTGGGGTTGCTGCGACGACTGCCGACCCTCAGGCCCGCAACGCCATGCTGGACTGCGCTGGTGACGTCATGGACAAGTCGGCCAATCTGATCGAGGAGACCAAGAGAGCCATTGCCAAGCCGGGAGACCCCGACAGCCAACAGAGACTGGCACAGGTCAGTCAGAGACACAGTCTGTCAGGTTTATACACTTGGATATTTGTTGCCAATACGCAAAGAGCTCACTATTAGAATGGAAGCCCGTCAACAGTCACAATCAAGATTGTGCTTCCATGAAAGACCTTAGGAAACATCATATCCACCAAAAAAAATGCTTTTATTGAATGTGTTTGTGTGTGTATATAGGTGGCCAAGGCTGTATCCCAGTCCCTGAACAGGAGCGTGAACTGCCTGCCTGGACAGAGAGATGTGGACAACGCCATTAGAACAGTCGGAGAGGCCAGCAAGAAACTATTGGCCAATTCTGTGAGTAGAAAATCACACCAAAACCAAAATAGTTGGTAACGTCGTTCTGATGTTTTAGGACTACTTTTAGTTTTCTACCATTACTTCTCATTCTCTTAATTTATCCCCCCCCCCCCACTCCCTCTCTTCTCCAGTTCCCGCCCAGTGGGAAGAGTTTCCAGGAGGCGCAGGTCAACCTGAACCAGGCTGCAGCCGGTCTCAACCAGTCAGCCAATGAGCTGGTCCAGTCGTCCAGAGGCACCACCCAGGACCTGGCCAGGGCCACTGGCAAGTTCGGCCATGACTTCGGAGAGTTCCTGGAGGCCGGCGTGGACATGGCCGGCCAGTCACAGGTCAGAGAAGGACACGGAAGAAACACCAGTGTCATGTGACTGGGGTGAAATGATATCTATGTGTTGTTCAGGTTGAGTGATGTTGTGTAGCGAATTTCATTGTGTAGGATGCAGTGGTCATATGTTTTGTTAAGTGTATGTGTAGGAGAGAGGAGGACGGGACGTATCTTCAGATATATGCACGCAATTCACTCTTATCAGCATGAAATACACTATTTTAGGCATGAAATTCACTCTTTAACAGCCAACGTTTGATTAGTGGTAGATATATCGTTTTGCTTTCTATGCTTGTGTGTGTCATATGTTACTAACTTCATATGTGCGTGAATGACTGAGAGAACCTACCCTCAGTGCCACGCAGGTCGTCCTCTGAATGGAACCCTTTACTTCCTCTCTGCTCTCCGTTCAGAACAAGGAGAATCAGACGCAGGTGGTGTCCAACCTCAAGACCATCTCCATGTCGTCCAGTAAGCTGCTGCTCGCCGCCAAAGTCCTGTCCACTGACCCCAACTCCCCCAACCTCAAGAACCAACTTGCAGCTGCCGCTCGGTAAGAACTGCCCCCACTTTTCCACAGCCATCAAAGCATCCACAGTGCAGTTACCTACAGATACCAGGCTTGGGTTCAGTTCTACTTTCAACTGTATTCTAATGAAATCAATTCAGGCATTCATTGAAATTCCAGTTTTGAACTGGAAATGTCCTGTCATTTTCAATGGGGATCTTTTCAATTTCACAATTTAAATAGCGAAATGTGTTACCCTCTCATGGTGCTCCGTGCTAATTGTTAACATGTTCCATTCCACGTTATTCAAGTACTTGTTAGCATACACACTGAATACGCACACACACGCACACACACACAAACTGAGTGACACACACCACCCGCTCTCATATACATTATACACAGCTCTGAGCATTCTCCCTGTCTTTCACACACACACACACGTTACAATAGTCACATTCTTGTATGCACGTCTTCATACACTCGTGTGTCCGTAGGTGCGTTAGAAAGAGCAGGGTTATATAACAAACTGTCAGTAGCGGTTTAGTTTGAATGAAAAGTTAAACGTGACACTCCTCTCCCAGTTGGATGTCATGATGACGGGAGCCACCTCCCTCGATTACAAGAGCTCCGTGGTGAAGTTTCCCCTAGGGTACAGATCTAGGATCAGCTTCCCCTCCCCCAATCCTAACCTTAACCTTTAATGGAGAAAATGAAAAGCTGACCTAAAATCAGCATCTAGGGGGCAACTTCACTCTACTCCGTTATGAGACTCAAGGAAAAGACATGACAGGCTTTGATTGAACACTTCTCTATTTTTCTAAAGGCACCACTTTAGACTTTAGTGTGGGCTGCTACATTCTTTTGTCTGGCTTCTTTCGCTCCTTTGCCTCCCTCATTCTCCCTCCTCCTTCACTCTCTCGTTCCCTGTTCTTCCTCTCCCTCCTCCTTCACGCTCTCGCTTCGGTTCTTTTTATTCACACTGTCCAACTTACTTATTTTTCTCTCTCTCTCTCTCTCTCTGTCTCTCTCTCTCTCTGTCTCTGTCTCTGTCTCTGTCTCTCTCTCTCTCTCTCTCTCTCTCTCTCTCTCTCTGTCTCTGTCTCTCTCTGTCTCTCTCTCTCTGTCTCTCTCTGTCTGTCTCTCTCTGTCTCTCTGTCTGTCTGTCTCTCTGTCTGTCTCTGTCTGTCTCTGTCTCTCTCTGTCTCTCTGTCTCTCTCTGTCTCTCTCTCTCTGTCTCTCCCTCTGTCTCTCCCTCTCTGTCTCTCTCTCTCTCTCTCTCTCTCTTCTCTCTCTCTCTCTTCTCTCTCTCTCTCTGTCTCTGTCTCTGTCTCTGTCTCTCTGTCTCTCTGTCTCTCTCTCTCTCTCTTTCAATGTCTCTACCTTTTCTTTTTCACTCTCTACCTTTCGGTTTCTGATGAGAAAACGGCACACCAGTTCTCTGTAGAGATTCTAAGCACCAAAGCTCTGTAGCGTGTGTGGGCGAACGGCAATTTACAGCGAGCTGCTGGTGCTCTCATTCACACACACACACACACACACACACACACACACACACACACACACACACACACCCTTGCTGCTACTCTTTCGCTAACACACTCCTGCATGTTTTCTCACATGCAATCTCTCCCTCTCTCCGTCCACAGTGCCGTCACTGACAGTATCAACCAGCTCATCACCATGTGTACCCAGCAGGCCCCGGGCCAGAAGGAGTGTGACAACGCTCTCCGGGAGCTCGAGGTACACCCCTTCTTCCCTTCTCTCCTCTTTTTCTGTTATCTGTTTGTTTTTTGTCTTTCAATCTCTGAACAGTTTGTCGGATGACTGATTCAGTTGTTGGTATATGTGAGCGCTGTGGAGTGATGAGCGGTTGCTAAGGCTGGGAGAGTGTGTTATTGTACTACTGGGATGGGACTTGAGGTGATAGGTACACTATGTACTGTATTACTGCATGTTGTATTCTGTAGGTGGATATTATTCTGTAGGTGGATAATTAATAATTAATTAAATAAATTAATAAATAAATAAATTAATAAATATTAAAGATATAGTTCAGTAAAATGGTGTATTTAAATTTACATCTATGATTTAAAATGGCTTATTTATACATATTCATTACAGACTACTGTTCTTCCTCTCACCCCTCCTTCAGTTACCTCATCAAAATATTTTGTTGCTCAGTGACTTGATTTGAAGTTATTTTTAAATGATTTCGGCATGGAATTTGAAACGCGCTAAATGGGGGACATTGACTTGCATAGTTTATCTTTTGAAAAAGCTCATATTGGCTTGTGGCTAGATGAACAAACCAAAGTGTGGATTGTACTCCCTCCTTGTCCATAGACTGTTTGCAAGGTAAGGAAACAAATATATGAATATGTAATATCGCTGAACCATCCCTTCAATGTATTAAAGAGGTGATTGGTCAAGAACACGTTACTATTTTCTACTGTTTTCTACTATTATATATTCATATTAGAAATATATAATATTAATATATATCAACATATTGATTTATCAATATCAATATCTTTATGCATTTCTGATGTTTTTTTATTTATTTGGTCATAGACTTGAAATAATCTCTATTGGCATATATTTTTATTTGTTTAACACTTTTTTGGTTACTACAAGATTCCATATGTGTTATTTCATAGTGTTGATGTCTTCACTATTATTCTACAATGTAGAAGATAGTAACAAATAAAGAAAAACCCTTGAATGAGTAGGTGTGTCCAAACTTTTGACTGGTAGTGTATATGTGGGGCGTGTCTGAGTCCGTGTCCATGTATAGTAGCCTATGTGTTCTGTATGTGACTGTGTGGGTTGTTTGTTTCTAACCTGTGCACCTTGTCTCTCCAGACTGTTCGGGGTTTGCTTGAGAACCCCACGGAGGCTGTCAGTGACCTCTCCTACTTTGACTGCATCGACAGTGTCATGGAGAACTCCAGTAAAAGACAGAGACCCTTGATAATATTAATCTCCATTCGCAGCTTTCTCATGTAACAATAGACTACGCTCCTTCCCTCTGAAATTCCTCTCCCCCCCTAACTTCCCCCTCCTTGCCTCCTCCCCCTTCTTCCCCCCATTCTCCCCGTCCTTCCCACCTACCAATCCCTACCTCCCCCTTCGTCCGACTCGCTCCTCCCTCCCTACTCCCTCCCACCCCGACAGCCACCCACCCTACCCACTCTCCTACAATCATCCCTACTTCAACCCTAACTTATGCTACGAACGCTAAGAGTCTCCTAGACGCCCGCACCGCTAACCCTCCCCTTCAGAAAAACCTACATCCCTCCCTCCTCTCCTTCCCCCAATCCCTCCCTACATCACGCCCTCATTGCACCTCCCTCTTCCACAAATAATCACACCCACCCATCCTACTCCAGACTCTCTCCGTCCCTCCCTACCTTCCTACCTCCTCCCCCAGTCCGGTCCTTACCTGCCCACCTTCCACCCTCTTCCTTCCCTCCCTACGTCCTTCCCTCCCTCCCTTCCTACTATTTTAAATCTATTTGCCTTGTGTCCTGCAGGTCCTGGGGGAAGCCATGGCTGGAATCTCCCACAACGCTAAGAACAGCAATCTGCCTGAGTTTGGGGACTCGGTCAGCTCTGGCTCTAAAGCCCTGTGTGGCCTTACTGAAGCAGCTGCCCAGGTAAACCACCTTCCAGTCCAGCAGACCAGGAGTGTGTCCAAAATTGGACCCTATTCCCTATATACCCTATGGGTCCTGGCCCGAGGTAGTGCACTACATGGAGAATAGGGTGCCATTTGGGACACAGGCTAGCAGCCTAATGCCCACAGGGATGCGTTGCATTGCATAGTTGGATGGTCCACGCTCGAATACATCGGCCTAATTATTCTCTCAGCCAATGAGGCAATTCAATGCTAGCTTAGGAACATCTGGACCTAGGAGTGCATATCAAATGGAGGGATGCATTGGCAGTCACTTCGAACAGTCAATTCCCTGTCAACTCACCAGCGTACATTTATACAGTAGGGCACACATGCGTACTCTCAGATAATGACACAAAAGCGCGCGAGCACACACACACACACACACACACACACACACACACACACACACACACACAGGTGACTAATGGCTGTGAGTGAGGCCTGTCGTGTGTAAATGGTCTCTCAGTATGTGGCTCTCTGACAGCTCCCACACAGTCTACTCATCACAGTAAGCTTATGTTCATTTTGCTCTCTCTCACACAAATTCACAATGGCTCTGCGGTACTGCCCGTTGAAGAGTTGACTGCGCGCGTGTGCGTTTCCGCGCGTGTGCGTGTTTGCGTATGTGCTCATGCATTGATTCTGTGTGTGTTTGTGTGCGTTTTTGAGTGCGTCTGTGTCTGAGTGTTTGTTTCTGTGTGTGAATGCATGTTGTTGCCATGGCAAAGAGTGGCAAGAGGAGCGTAAAGTGAAAGATGGGGAAGATCTTGGAAAACCCAGTTAATAGACCTGTAACATGTTTTGTTGGAATACCGTGTAGCTCAGTTGGTAGAGCATGGCGCTTGCAACGCCAGGGTTGTGGGTTCGATTCCCACGGGGGGCCAGTATGATTTTTTTAAATAATTTTTTTATGTATGCACTCACTAACTGTAAGTCGCTCTGGATAAGAGCGTCTGCTAAATGACTAAAATGTAAATGTGAAAAAATGATATAAACCCTGTTAATAGACCTATAACATGTTTTGTTGGAATACCGTTTGATAAACTCACTGTTATGGCTCTGTGTAGTGCTTCACATGCTAACGTTATCAGTCAACAATAAGAGTTGCTACATTAGTGATCATCGAATAAAAGCAGCCATCGTCGTAGATGTTTTGCTGTAATTTTTTTAGCTCTGTAAAAATGTACGTTTCCCCTTTTGTTCTAACTCCTGTCAGCACTTGTTAAGTTTATCTTGTTTAGTTAATTAAAACCATCCATACATCATTCATTTGCCTGACAAAACCTATTCAAGATTGCCATTGCTAATTCTCTGGCTTTATGTGATACTGACCAATGAGCTGTGTTGACCTTACAGGGTGCCTACCTGGTTGCAGTGTCAGACCCCAAAAGCCACGCGGGCCAGAAAGGGTTGGTGGACCCTGGCCAGTTTGCCCGTGCCAACCAGTCCATCCAGATGGCATGCCAGAACCTGGTGGACCCAGCCTGCACCCAGTCCCAGGTAGATACCACACAGACACAGGTGCCTGCGCACAAACACACACACACACACACACACACACATCGTCAGCGGTCCCTCGCAGTGAAGGATGACTTTGGTGTTTCAATATAATTTGAGTAGCACACGTGCGCATATGATCGTACGAATGAACACTCCTGCATGGATGCACTCACCCGCTTACTCAAGGTACATGGATAAACACACATGCACACACTCATACTGTTGACGTCAGAAGTTTACATACACCTTAGCCAAATACATTTAAACTCAGTTTTTCACAATTCCTGACATTTCATCCTAGTGAAGATTCCCTGTCTTAGGTCAGTTAGGATCCCCATTTTATTTTAAGAATGTGAAATGTCAGAATAATTGTAGAGAGAATGATTTATTTCAGCTTTTATTTATTTCATCACATTCCCATTGCCTTTAAATTGTTTAACTTGGGTCAAACGTTTCGGGTAGCCTTCCACAAGCTCCCCACAATAAGTTGGGTGAATTTTGGCCCATTCCTCCTGACAGAGCTGGTGTAACTGAGTCAGGTTTGTAGGCCTCCTTGCTCGCAAACGCTTTTTCAGTTCTGCCCACAAATGTTCTATAGTATTGAGGTCAGGGCTTTGTGATGGCCACTCCAATACCTTGACTTTGTTGTCCTTAAGCCATTTCGCCACAACTTTGGAAGTATGCTTGGGGTCATTGTCCATTTGGAAGACCCATTTGCGACCAAGCTTTAACTTCCTGACTGATGTCTTGAGATGTTGCTTCAATATATCCACATTATTTTCCTTCCTCATGATGTCATCTATTTTGTGAAGTGCACCAGTCCCTCCTGCAGAGAAGCACCCCCACAGCATGATGCTGCCACCCCCGTGCTTCACGGTTGGGATGGTGTTCTTTGGCTTGCAAGCCACCCTCTTTTTCCTCCAAACATAACGATGGTCATTATGGCCAAACAGTTCTATTTTTGTTTCATCAGACCAGAGGACATTTCTCCAAAAAGTACGATCTTTGTCCCCATGTGCAGTTGCAAACCGTAGTCTGGCTTTTTTTATGGCGGTTTTGGAGCAGTGGCTTCTTCCTTGCTGAGTGGCCTTTCAGGTTATGTCGATATAGGACTCGTTTTACTGTGGATATAGATACTTTTGTACCTGTTTCCTCCAGCATCTTCACAAGGTCATTTGCTGTTGTTCTGGGATTGATTTGCACTTTTTGCACCGAAGTACGTTCATCTCTAGGAGACAGAACACGTCTCCTTCCTGAGCGGTATGACAGCTGCGTGGTCCCATGGTGTTTATACTTGAGTACTATTGTTTGTACAGATGAACGTGGTACATTCAGGCGTTTGGAAATTGCTCCCAAGGATGAACCAGACTTGTGGATGTCTAAAAAAAAAAATCTGAGGCCTTGGCTGATTTCTTCTCATTTTCCCATGATGTCAAGCAAAGAGGCACTGAGTTTGAAGGTAGGCCTTGAAATACATCCACAGGTACACCTCCAATTGACTCAAATGATGTCAATTAGCCTATCAGAAGCTTCTAAATCAATTTTCAGGAATTTTCCAAGCTGTTTAAAGGCACAGTCAACTTAGTGTATGTAAACTTCTGACCCACTGGAATTGTGATACAGTGAATTATAAGTGAAATAATTTGTCTGTAAACAATTGTTGGAAAAAGTACTTGTGTCATGCACAAAGTAGATGTCCTAACCGACTTGCCAAAACTATAGTTTGTTAACAAGAAAATTGTGGAGTGGTTGAAAAACGAGTTTTAAGGACTCCAACCTAAGTGTATGTAAACTTCCGACTTCAACTGTACACTCACTGACAAACTCATTGACTCCCTCACTCACATGCCACACCACACAGACCATGCATCTAACCAACCTAAACTTGCTCTGCATACCATTTTCTATATGTCCACTGTGTACAGAATCAAAGTGAACAAAGACGACCAATATTTCTGAACAGAAGCTGCGTTTCCGTCTTTTAGCCGCCTACTTCAGACACCACCTCTTGTTTCCCAAGGTCCTCTCTGCCGCCACCATCGTTGCCAAGCACACGTCAGCACTGTGCAACGCCTGTCGCCTGGCCTCCTCCAAAACAGCCAACCCTGTTGCCAAGCGACAGTTTGTACAGTCCGCTAAGGAGGTGGCTAACAGCACAGCCAATCTGGTGAAGTCCATCAAAGTGAGTAAATAGTAACTTATTTTTGAGTTGATATGTACCGTTCAATGTACCGTACAGGTTGGGGCTGCGGCAAGGTACATCGTTAATGTGACAAAATCTGGCACGGTGACTCATGCGCCAAGTTCATTAGCAATTATCTAACAATAACCCATGCAATAAATACATTTCTGAAATATGTCCCTGATAGTGCAGTTACATCCACTTTGGATCAAATGTTTTTTTTTACTGCAGTTTAACTTTAGAATGGCATTGTGTCACTAATGAATGTAACCCTGTTGTGTGTGCTTAGGCCCTGGACGGAGCATTCAACCAGCAGAACAGAGAGAAGTGTAGGGCCGCCACCGGCCCCCTGATAGAAGCTGTGGATAACCTTACTGCCTTCGCCTCCAACCCAGAGTTCGCCAGCGTGCCCGCTCAGATCAGCTCTGAGGTACTACACTTGCTTCCCTACTGTCTCTGTGGTTACACTGTCCCCCTGTACTTTTCCTCCTAGTAAGTAGCCAGAAATGCCCAATTTTGGCAGCTTGATGTACAAGTACACCGCCTACCCCACAATTATTCTCCTTAATGCTGAGGCATTGTGTCCCATTTCTAAGTATTTGGTATGACTCGACCAGGGATCGAACCCCCAACCTTCCAGTCTCAGGGTGGAAACTCTAACCACAAGGCCACTGAGCTTGTTGTCCTCCCCTGATGAAAATAAAGCCGGATTCAGACATTCAGATAAAGCCTACATGATGAATGTGACACATCACTTCAATGCCAAGACAACATGATGAATCTACCATAAATGTTTAATGTTAGTTGATTTAATACTGATGACATGAGATACTACGTTGTCCACTTTTTTGTGGGGGAGACAATGGGTATGGGAACATCAGATGTTACACAGTAAACCAGAATGTTGTCTATTGTTCCAACCCCCAGGGCCTGGCAGCGATGGAGCCCATCGTGGCTGCAGCTAAGACCATGCTAGAGAGCTCCACAGGTCTGATCCAGACTGCTCGCTCCCTGGCTGTCAACCCCAAAGACCCCCCCAAGTGGTCAGTGCTGGCCGGACACTCCAGGACCGTTTCCGACTCCATCAAGAAACTTATCACCAACATGAGGTAACCGCTGACATGGTCAGTTACCACAGCAGAGATAGATACTGTGTCAACATGAGGTAACCGCTGACATGGTCAGTTACCGCAGCAGAGATAGATACTGTGTCAACATGAGGTAACCGCTGACATGGTCAGTTACCACAGCAGAGATAGATACTGTGTCAACATGAGGTAACCGCTAACATGGTCAGTTACCGCAGCAGAGATAGATACTGTGTCAACATGAGGTAACCGCTTACATGGTCAGTTACCGCAGCAGAGATAAATACTGTGTCAACATGAGGTAACCGCTAACATGGTCAGTTACCGCAGCAGAGATAGATACTGTGTCAACATGAGGTAACCGCTTACATGGTCAGTTACCGCAGCAGAGATAAATACTGTGTCAACATGAGGTAACCGCTAACATGGTCAGGTTCCACAGCAGAGATAGATACTGTGTCAACATGAGGTAACCGCTAACATGGTCAGTTACCGCAGCAGAGATAGATACTGTGTCAACATGAGGTAACCGCTTACATGGTCAGTTACCGCAGCAGAGATAAATACTGTGTCAACATGAGGTAACCGCTGACATGGTCAGTTACCGCAGCAGAGATGGATAATGTGTCAACATGAGGTAACCGCTAACATGGTCAGTTACCGCAGCAGAGATAGATACTGTGTCAACATGAGGTAACCGCTTACATGGTCAGTTACCGCAGCAGAGATAGATACTGTGTCAACATGAGGTAACCGCTGACATGGTCAGTTACCACAGCAGAGATAGATACTGTGTCAACATGAGGTAACCGCTAACATGGTCAGTTACCACAGCAGAGATAAATACTGTGTCAACATGAGGTAACCGCTAACATGGTCAGTTACCACAGCAGAGATAGATACTGTGTCAACATGAGGTAACCGCTGACATGGTCAGTTACCGCAGCAGAGATAAATACTGTGTCAACATGAGGTAACCGCTAACATGGTCAGTTACCACAGCAGAGATAGATACTGTGTCAACATGAGGTAACCGCTGACATGGTCAGTTACCGCAGCAGAGATAGATACTGTGTCAACATGAGGTAACCGCTAACATGGTCAGTTACCACAGCAGAGATAGATACTGTGTCAACATGAGGTAACCGCTAACATGGTCAGGTACCACAGCAGAGATAGATACTGTGTCAACATGAGGTAACCGCTAACATGGTCAGTTACCGCAGCAGAGATAGATACTGTGTCAACATGAGGTAACCGCTAACATGGTCAGTTACCGCAGCAGAGATAGATACTGTGTCAACATGAGGTAACCGCTGACATGGTCAGTTACCGCAGCAGAGATAGATACTGTGTCAACATGAGGTAACCGCTGACATGGTCAGTTACCGCAGCAGAGATAAATACTGTGTCAACATGAGGTAACCGCTGACATGGTCAGTTACCACAGCAGAGATAGATACTGTGTCAACATGAGGTAACCGCTGACATGGTCAGTTACCGCAGCAGAGATAGATACTGTGTCAACATGAGGTAACCGCTAACATGGTCAGTTACCGCAGCAGAGATAGATACTGTGTCAACATGAGGTAACCGCTGACATGGTCAGTTACCGCAGCAGAGATAGATACTGTGTCAACATGAGGTAACCGCTAACATGGTCAGTTACCGCAGCAGAGATAGATACTGTGTCAACATGAGGTAACCGCTGACATGGTTAGTTACCGCAGCAGAGATAGATACTGTGTCAACATGAGGTAACCGCTGACATGGTCAGTTACCGCAGCAGAGATAGATACTGTGTCAACATGAGGTAACCGCTAACATGGTCAGTTACCACAGCAGAGATAGATACTGTGTCAACATGAGGTAACCGCTGACATGGTCAGTTACCGCAGCAGAGATAGATACTGTGTCAACATGAGGTAACCGCTGACATGGTCAGTTACCGCAGCAGAGATAGATACTGTGTCAACATGAGGTAACCGCTGACATGGTCAGTTACCGCAGCAGAGAAAAATACTGTGTCAACATGAGAAAGCAGTAGAATTATCTTGTGGGTAGAGTTGAGAAATTCTGGAAACTTTTCAAAAATTCCCAGGTTACTGGTGTAAAGCTACTCACTGTGTTGGTGTTTAATTGTTAAATATATTAATGCAGCCAGCCATTGAGCCATATCTCTAAGAGAGAAAAAAGTATCTTAATTCCAAGTTTTCAAGGTTCAAAACACAAAGCGTTAAGAGGTCTGGTCATTTTGGCTTTTCCAAAACCATTTCTCAAGTACTGTGTGTGTCTGTGTGTGTGTACAGAGACAAAGCCCCAGGCCAGAGGGAGTGTGACGAGGCCATCGAGGTGCTCAACAACTGTATTCGGGAGGTGGACCAGGCCTCCCTGGCAGCCATCAGCCAGCAGCTCACCCCAAGAGAGGACATCTCCCAGGAGGTGTGTTTTTCTGTCTGTGTCTTGTCTGTCTGTGTGTGTCTGTCTAATGTTTCCTGTGAAGTGTGTGTGTGTACACTCCCATAAAACCAAGAGCATATAGATATGTACATGGCTATACCCTACTCTACCCTACCCTACCCTACCCTACCCTACCCTACCCTACCCTACCATACCCTACCATACCCTACCCTACCCTACCATACCCTACCATACACCACCTACCATAACCCACCACTACCCACCTACCATACCCACCTCCAGACCTACCCTACCCTACCCCTACCACTAACCTACCCTACCCACCCTACCACCAACCTACCTACCCTACCACCTACCCTACCACCCTACCCGACCAGACCCTACCCTACCGACCACCACCAACCCGACCATACCAACCCGACCTCCCACCCATCACCTACGCTACCACTAACCCGACCACACACCCTACCCCCGACCTACCCCCATACCGAACCTACCACCACACCATCACCCTACCATACCCGACCTACCAACCTCGACTGACCCTACCAACCATACCCCACCTAGCCATACCCGACCTACCCTACCCATACCCAACCTACCTCTACCCTACCTACCTACCTACCCATACCATACCCCTACCCTACCACCTACCCTACCATACCTCCCTACCTACCCTACCCTACCTACCCTACCTACCCTACTACCCTACCCTAAACTACCATACCATACCTATACTTCCTTCTCTATATGCCTACAAACCTAATATTCACCTACCTAACCCATACCCTCCCACCCTACCTACTCCTACCCCCTCTCCATACCATAAATGTAGCTTTTCCTGTTCATCTATTTGTTTGTGTATTTGCTTCTAAAACCAATTTTGGGAAAAAATGGTGTAAAAATGTCATTAGATAAGAACTGTAATGTGTTGTCATTGGGATGTGCTGTTGTCATTACCATGGTGTGTGTGTGTGTCATTACCATGGTGTGTGTGTGTGTGTGTGTGTGTGTGTCATTACCATGGTGTTGTGTGTGTGTGTGTGTCATTACCATGGTGTGTGTGTGGTGTGGTGTGTGTCATTACCATGGGTGTGTGTGTGTGTGGTGGTGTGGTGTGTGTGTGTGTCATTACCATGGTGTGTGTTTGTGTGTGTGTGTGTGTCATTACCATGGTGTGTGTTTGTGTGTGTGTGTGTGTGTGTGTGTGTGTGTGTCATTACCATGGTGTGTGTGTGTGTCATTACCATGGTGTGTGTGTGTGTGTGTGTGTGTCATTACCATGGTGTTTGTGTGTGTCTCAGGCTCTGCATGAGCAGCTTGCAGCTTCGGTCCAGGAGATCAGCAATCTGATAGAGCCGGTGGCCATCGCAGCCCGTTCTGAGGCCTCCCATCTGGGACACAAGGTAAGAGACCCCTCCCCCCCCCCTCTTGGCCTATTCACATTATCCACATCTGTCTGGCTTTATACCTTACAGTCTAATTCAGGCAATTACAGATTTACTATCCAAACATACTAAGCTTTTTTGTCTCATGCTAAGCTTTTTTTCTATCATAAAAAGCCTTCAAAGGTTGTATTTATACCGTCATATCCAGTGAATTTGTATCTACTTTACTTTGGTTCAAAGGCTTGGTGCAGCTGGCTGGAGTCTGACAAAAACATACAGCAATGTGATAAAATAGAACATATCCCAACAACAATTGGTCCTTGTCCAGGAATACAAAGTACACACTCCCTGTCTGATTTCTCTCGCTCTTTCTTTCTCTCTCTCTCTCTCTCCCCCTCCCCCTCTCTCCCTCTCTCTCCCTCTCTCCCCCTCTCTCCCCCTCTCTCTCTCTCTCCCCCTCTCTCTCCCCCTCTCTCTCCCTCTCTCCCCCTCTCTCTCCCCCTCCCCCCTCTCTCTCTCTCTCTCCCCCTCCCCCTCTCTCTCCCCCTCTCTCTCCCCCTCTCTCTCCCCCTCTCTCCCTCTCTCCCCCTCCCCCTCTCTCTCCGTCCTCCTCAGGTGTCTCAGATGGTGAGCTACTTCGAGCCCCTCATCATGGCGGCCATCGGCACGGCCAGTAAGATTCAGAGCAGCCAACAGCAGATGGCGGTGCTGGACCAGACCAAGACGCTGACAGAGTCAGCTCTACAGATGCTCTACACGGCCAAGGAGGCTGGAGGAAACCCCAAGGTCTGTTTTATCACTATGTTGTACTCTACTATACTATATACCATACTATACTGTACGAGTCAGCCCTACAGATGCTCTACACGGCCAAGGAGGCTGGAGGAAACCCCAAGGTCTGTTTTATCACTATGTTGTACTCTACTATACTATATACCATACTATACTGTACGAGTCAGCTCTACACGGCCAAGGGGGCCGGAGGAAACCCCAAGGTCTGTTTTATCACACTCATGGAAAAATCATCTATTCCAGCTTTCATGTATTTGAAAGTATTTGACATTATGTATTGTGTGGTCCTCTGTAGCTCAGTTGGTAGAGCATGGCGCTTGCAACGGCAGGATAGTGGGTTCGATTCCTGGGACCACCCGTACGTAAAAAAAAATATGTATGCACGCATGACTGTAAGTCGCTTTGGATAAAAGCGTCTTCTAAATGACATATCATATACATTTAACTCAGGTCTGATCAGGGACAGCAGAGCAGCATCCATATCATCGGTGTTAATGGCAGTATTATGGTTTATAATGCAGTGACATAGCTAGGTACTGTGTAGGTCTATTCCTAATGCAGTGACATAGCTAGGTACTGTCTAGGTCTATTCCTAATGCAGTGACATAGCTAGGTACTGTGTTGGTCTATTCCTAATGAAATGACATAGCTAGGTACTGTGTAGGTATATTCCTAATGCAGTGACATAGCTAGGTACTGTCTAGGTCTATTCCTAATGCAGTGACATAGCTAGGTACTGTGTAGGTCTATTCCTAATGCAGTGACATAGCTAGGTACTGTCTAGGCCTATTCCTAATGCAGTGACATAGCTAGGTACTGTCTAGGTCTATTCCTAATGCAGTGACATAGCTAGGTACTGTCTAGGTCTATTCCTAATGCAGTGACATAGCTAGGTACTGTCTAGGTCTATTCCTAATGCAGTGACATAGCTAGGTACTGTCTAGGTCTATTCCTAATGCAGTGACATAGCTAGGTACTGTCTAGGTCTATTCCTAATGCAGTGACATAGCTAGGTACTGTCTTGGTCTATTCCTAATGCAGTGACTTAAATAGGTACTGTCTAGGTCTATTCCTAATGTGGTGACATAGCTAGGTACTGTCTTGGTCTATTCCTAATGCAGTGACATAGCTAGGTACTGTCTAGGTCTATTCCTAATGCAGTGACATAGCTAGGTACTGTCTAGGTCTATTCCTAATGCAGTGACATAGCTAGGTACTGTCTAGGTCTATTCCTAATGCAGTGACATAGCTAGGTACTGTGTAGGTATATTCCTAATGCAGTGACATAGCTAGGTACTGTGTAGGTATATTCCTAATGCAGTGACATAGCTAGGTACTGTCTAGGTCTATTCCTAATGCAGTGACATAGCTAGGTACTGTCTAGGTCTATTCCTAATGCAGTGACATAGCTAGGTACTGTCTAGGTATATTCCTAATGCAGTGACATAGCTAGGTACTGTCTAGGTCTATTCCTAATGCAGTGACATAGCTAGGTACTGTCTAGGTCTATTCCTAATGCGGTGACATAGCTAGGTACTGTCTAGGTCTATTCCTAATGCAGTGACATAGCTAGGTACTGTCTAGGTCTATTCCTAATGCAGTGACATAGCTAGGTACTGTCTAGGTCTATTCCTAATGCAGTGACATAGCTAGGTACTGTCTAGGTCTATTCCTAATGCAGTGACATAGCTAGGTACTGTCTAGGTCTATTCCTAATGCGGTGACATAGCTAGGTACTGTCTAGGTCTATTCCTAATGCGGTGACATAGCTAGGTACTGTCTAGGTCTATTCCTAATGCAGTGACATAGCTAGGTACTGTGTAGGTCTATTCCTAATGCAGTGACATAGCTAGGTACTGTCTAGGTCTATTCCTAATGCAGTGACATAGCTAGGTACTGTCTAGGTCTATTCCTAATGCGGTGACATAGCTAGGTACTGTCTAAGTCTATTCCTAATGCAGTGACATAGCTAGGTACTGTCTAGGTCTATTCCTAATGCGGTGACATAGCTAGGTACTGTCTAAGTCTATTCCTAATGCAGTGACATAGCTAGGTACTGTCTAGGTCTATTCCTAATGCAGTGACATAGCTAGGTACTGTCTAGGTCTATTCCTAATGCAGTGACATAGCTAGGTACTGTCTAGGCCTATTCCTAATGCAGTGACATAGCTAGGTACTGTCTAGGTCTATTCCTAATGCAGTGACATAGCTAGGTACTGTCTAGGTCTATTCCTAATGCGGTGACATAGCTAGGTACTGTCTAGGTCTATTCCTAATGCGGTGACATAGCTAGGTACTGTCTAGGCCTATTCCTAATGCAGTGACATAGCTAGGTACTGTCTAGGTCTATTCCTAATGCAGTGACATAGCTAGGTACTGTCTAGGTCTATTCCTAATGCGGTGACATAGCTAGGTACTGTCTAGGTCTATTCCTAATGCGGTGACATAGCTAGGTACTGTCTAGGCCTGAGTAACAGCCAATATAAATATATCTGCCAGAGGCCCAGCTATGGTTTGATGTGTACGACATCCCACTGATCATGTCTGCCTCTGTCTCTCTGTCATTCCACTGATCATGTCGGTCTCTCTGTCTGTCCACTGATCATGTCTGCCTCTGTCTCTCTGTCTGTACACTGATTATGTCTCTCTACTGATCATGTCTGCCTCTGTCTCTCTGTCATTCCACTGATCATGTCTGCCTCTGTCTCTGTCTGTCCACTGATCATGTCTGCCTCTCTCTGTCATTCCACTGATCATGTCTGCCTCTGTCTCTGTCTGTCCACTGATCATGTCTGCCTCTGTCTCTCTGTCTGTCCACTGATCATGTCTGCCTCTCTCTGTCATTCCACTGGTCATGTCTGCCTCTGTCTCTCTGTCTGTACACTGATTATGTCTCTCTACTGATCATGTCTGCCTCTGTCTCTCTGTCATTCCACTGATCATGTCTGCCTCTGTCTCTCTGTCAGTCCACTGAACATGTCTGCCTCTGACTCTGTCATTCCACTGAACATGTCTGCCTCTGTCTCTCTGTCATTCCACTGGTCATGTCTGCCTCTCTCTCTGTCATCCCACTGATCATGTCTGCCTCTGTCTCTCTGTCTGTCCACTGATCATGTCTGCCTCTCTCTGTCATTCCACTGGTCATGTCTGCCTCTGTCTCTCTGTCTGTACACTGATTATGTCTCTCTACTGATCATGTCTGCCTCTGTCTCTCTGTCATTCCACTGATCATGTCTGCCTCTGTCTCTCTGTCAGTCCACTGAACATGTCTGCCTCTGACTCTGTCATTCCACTGAACATGTCTGCCTCTGTCTCTCTGTCATTCCACTGGTCATGTCTGCCTCTGTCTCTCTGTCATCCCACTGATCATGTCTGCCTCTGTCTCTCTGTCAGTCCACTGAACATGTCTGCCTCTGACTCTGTCATTCCACTGAACATGTCTGCCTCTGTCTCTCTGTCATCCCACTGATCATGTCGGTCTCTCTGTCTGTCCACTGATCATGTCTGCCTCTCTCTGTCATCCCACTGATCATGTCGGTCTCTCTGTCTGTCCACTGATCATGTCTGCCTCTCTCTGTCATCCCACTGATCATGTCGGTCTCTCTGTCTGTCCACTGATCATGTCTGCCTCTGTCTCTCTGTCTGTCCAGGTGGCCCACACACAGGATGCCCTGGAAGAGTCTGTCCAGATGATGAAGGAGGCGGTGGATGACTTGGGCGCCACCCTGTCGGAGACGGCCAGCGCTGCGGGTGCCCTGGGCGGCATGGTGGACTCCATCACCGCCGCCATCAACAAGATGGAGGAGGGCCCCGCCGGCGAGCCTGAGGGCTCCTTTGTGGATTACCAGACCACCATGGTGAAGACGGCCAAAGCCATCGCAGTCACCGTGCAGGAGATGGTGAGGAAGGGTTGGAGGGGGGTTGGGAGTTTGCATGTGGGTGAGTAGTTGGTTGGGGGAGGGAGTTGTGAGTTTGTATGTGTATTGTATTTGGTTAGGGGGGGTTGTGAGTTTGTATGTGGGTGAGTAGTTGGTTGGGGGGTTGTGAGTTTGTATGTGGGTGAGTAGTTGGTTGGGGGGTTTGTGCGTATTTGTAGGTGGGGTGAGTAGTTTGGTTGTGGGGGTTGTGAGTTATTATGTGGGTAAGTAGTTGGTTGGGGGGGGGGGGGTAGGTGAGTTTGTATGTGGGTTAACCGTAGTTGGGTTGGGGGGTTGGGAGTTTTGTTATGTGGGTGCGTCTTTGGTTGTGGGGGGGGGGTTGTGCGTTTTGTCCTGTGTGGGTCAAGTAGTTTGGTTGGGGGGGTTGTGAGTTTGTATGTGGGTCAGTAGTTGGGTTGGGGGGGTTGTGCGTTTGTCTGTTGGTCCGTAACGTAGTGGGTTGGGGGGGTTGTGCGTTTGTCGGTGGGTAACGGGAAGTGTGGTTGGGGGGGTTGTGCGTTTGGTCTGTGGGTCAAGTAGTTGGTTGGGGGGGTTGTGCGTTTGTCTGTGGGTGAGTAGTTGGTTGTGGGGGGGTAGTGAGTTTGTATGTGGGTGAGTAGTTGGTTGTGGGGGGGTAGTGAGTTTGTATGTGGGTAAGTAGTTGGTTGTGGGGGGGGTTGTGAGTTTGTATGTGGGTGAGTAGTTGGTTGTGGGGGGTTGTGAGTTTGTATGTGGGTGAGTAGTTGGTTGGGGGGGGTTGTGAGTTTGTATGTGGGTAAGTAGTTGGTTATGGGGGGTTGTGAGTTTTTGTGTAGAACTGCGGGGGCTATATGATTTGGTTTCAGTATTTGGATGTTATCAAACCATGAATGACATACGCTTCCTGTGAAATGATAGTTGTGTAATGGTTATATTTCTGTTAGAGAAATCTTGTTTTTCATACATAACATTATCTTCCCCCGGGGGTATAATGAAAGATCATTAGACAAAATGCTTTGTCTTGTTTTCAGGTGACTAAGTCCAACACCAACCCAGATGACCTGGGAGGTCTGGCCAGCGAGCTAACTAATGAGTTTGGAGAGCTGGCCACCGAGGCCAAATACGCTGCCATCACTGCAGAGAACGACGAGGTATCTGATGACAATGAATATGTATTATATTAACATGATATATTCATGTGACTACTATAATATTATGAATACATGATATGTTTTAACCAACTATAATCTATGAATACATTATAGGTTTTAACCAACTATAAAGTAGAAATTAATACATATTCACAATGCCAGTATGATAATGCATTGAAATAAATCAGTTTTATTAGCATGATAATTCTCCTCCCAATCCTTTGGTTGGGTAAACAGAAATACTACAGAGAGATTCAATACCATAGAGATCCTATAATTAACTTTGTGTGGCATTCTATATGTAATTCTACGTACAAATACAAGAGCACTGCTTTTGCTGATGGCTGCTTTATTGAGGAAAGTTTTTCGCTTGTAGTGACTGTGTGATATGTGGTTGTCTCGCCTACCTTAGTTAAAAATACACTGACTGTCAGTTGCTCTGGATAAGAGGGTATAGCTTAATGACCAAAATGTACAAAAAAGTACAATACTGAATGATATTGCAATGAAAAAGAGCAATTCTAAAGAGTCCCAACTCTGTCCTTGTCCAGATTGGTTCCCACATCAAGAAGCAGGTTGGGGAACTAGGCTTCAACTGCACTGGGCTGGTGACTAAGGCCGGAGCGCTGCAGTGTAGCCCCAACGACTCCTTCACCAAGAAGGAGCTGATCGAGAGCGCACGCAAGGTCTCCGAGAAGGTGAGACAAAATGACCCTTTCTGTATTTCTTCCGACCTACATGTAGGTAGCTGCTTTTTTTTCCTCTGTTTGTTATTTAGGCCTACTGTGTTTTGATGTTTTATAAACCCCTCCAGACAAGATTTTCCCTCACAGGAACAATAAAGTTATTTGAGGTAACATAGGAGAGATCGTTGTAGCCCCTGAGAACCCAAAGGAAAGCCTTGGTATCTGTCTGTTTTGATTGTTGATGCCTTCAACAATGCTACATTGTGACCTTGCCAGGACAAAGTTGGAAATAGACTGTTTCCCGGGTTTAAGAACACCCGGAGTGGAATTTAAATGTCTGTTTTGTCTGGATCTTAATAAATCACAGTTGGAGCGTGTCAGAGTTGGAGACATTCAATCTTGGTTGATGCAACATTATGATGTAACCATATATTCATAACATTGCCTCTCTTCTCTCCGTCAGGTGTCTCACGTGCTGGCGGCCCTTCAGGCTGGTAACCGTGGCACCCAGGCCTGCATCACAGCGGCCAGTGCCGTGTCGGGCATCATCGCCGACCTGGACACCACCATCATGTTCGCCACCGCCGGCACGCTCAACCGTGAGAACTCTGAAACCTTCGCCGACCACAGGTACTGTCCGGTAGCCTGGTATAATATTTTATGCTGTGGTTGTTAACTATGGTAGCCTGGTATAATATTTTATGCTGGGGTTGTTAACTATGGTAGCCTGGTATAATATTTAATGCTGGGGTTATTAACTATGGTAGCCGGGTATAATATTTTATGCTGGGGTTATTAACTATGGTAGCCGGGTATAATATTTTATGCTGGGGTTATTAACTATGGTAGCCTGGTATAATATTTTATGCTGGGGTTGTTAACTATGGTAGCCTGGTATAATATTTAATGCTGGGGTTATTAACTATGGTAGCCTGGTATAATATTTAATGCTGGGGTTATTAACTATGGTAGCCGGGTATAATATTTTATGCTGGGGTTATTAACTATGGTAGCCTGGTATAATATTTTATGCTGGGGTTATTAACTATGGTAGCCGGGTATAATATTTAATGCTGGGGTTATTAACTGTGGGGCTTGGGAGGGTAAAAGGGGGTTAATCGTCATTTTAAAAGGTCTGTCTTTTCATTTATATGTGTGAATATACAGAGTAGAATGTAGATACTTATTTTATACAATATTTTATTGAACTTTCTTTATTTTTGTCTGTTATTTGCATACTCACCCATAGAACACATTTCTTCATTATCCAGAACACAATATTAACTATTCTACACTAGGGCCGGGACAGTACCAGCATCGCAATATTTTTTCCATGGCACAAATGAGAACACGAAGCAGATCCAACTCTTTGGTCTTTAACCTGCTGTATGTAAAGTATTGTTTGCTTTGACTCTGCATGACAAGATAATGATGTTTGTTTCCAACATTAGGGCTGTTTTCCTAAAGAAGTTAAATCTGCTTCGTGTTTTGTTTCCTTGCCACGATACTAACGAGTGTGGCGATACTGGTATCGTCCCAGTCCTATCATGCACATCACTGCACATAAACAGCTATAAACAGTGGTTGGTATTACATAAACAGCTATAAACAGTGGTTGGTATTACATAAACAGCTATAAACAGTGGTTGGTATTACATAAACAGCTATAAACAGTGGTTGGTATTACATAAACAGCTATAAACAGTGGTTGGTATTACATAAACAGCTATAAACAGTGGTTGGTATTACATAAACAGCTATAAACAGTGATTGGTATTACATAAACAGCTATAAACAGTGATTGGTATTACATAAACAGCTATAAACAGTGTTGGTATTACATAAACAGCTATAAACAGTGGATTGGTATTACATAAACAGCTATAAACAGTGGATTGGTATTACATAAACAGCTATAAACAGTGATTGGTATTACATAAACAGCTATAAACAGTGATTGGTATTACATAAACAGCTATAAACAGTGATTGGTATTACATAAACAGCTATAAACAGTGATTGGTATTACATAAACAGCTATAAACAGTGATTGTATTACATAAACAGCTATAAACAGTGATTGGTATTACATAAACAGCTATAACATGTGATATTACATAAACAGCTATAAACAGTGTTGATATTACATAAACAGCTATAAAAGTGATTGGTATTACATAAACAGCTATAAACAGTGATTGGTATTACATAAACAGCTATAAACAGTGATTGGTATTACATAAACAGCTATAAACAGTGATTGGTATTACATAAACAGCTATAAACAGTGATTGGTATTACATAAACAGCTATAAACAGTGATTGGTATTACATAAACAGCTATAAACAGTGATTGGTATTACATAAACAGCTATAAACAGTGATTGGTATTACATAAACAGCTATAAACAGTGATTGTATTACATAAACAGCTATAAACATGTGATTGGTATTACATAAACAGCTATAAACAGTGATTGGTATACATAAACAGCTATAAACAGTGATTGGTTGGTATTACATAAACAGCTATAAACAGTGATTGGTTGATACATAAACAGCTATAAACAGTGTTGGTGTATTACATAAACAGCTATAAACAGTGATTGTTGGTATTACATAAACAGCTATAAACAGATGGTTGGTATTACATAAACAGCTATAAACAGTGGTTGGTATTACATAAACAGCTATAAACAGTGTGTTGGTATTACATAAACAGCTATAAACAGTGATTGGTTGGTATTACATAAACAGCTATAAACAGTGAGTTGGTATTACATAAACAGCTATAAACAGTGGTTGGTATTACATAAACAGCTATAAACAGTGGTTGGTATTACATAAACAGCTATAAACAGTGATTGGTATTACATAAACAGCTATAAACAGTGGTTGGTATTACATAAATAACTGTGAATACATATGTATTAATGGTGTGTCCCATGGTGCCCCTCCCAGAGAGCACATCCTAAAGACAGCCAAGGCGCTTGTGGAGGACACCAAGCTGCTGGTGTCTGGTGCCGGGGCCAGCCAGGAGAGACTTGCCCAGGCTGCACAGTCCTCCGTCACCACCATCACCAAACTGTCCGACGTGGTAAAACTGGGCGCTGCCAGCCTGGGCCGAGGACCCCGAGACACAGGTACGACTGTTAGAAGCATGGTCCCCATGTTGTTCCCATCCAAAAATAACTGACATTTTTATTCAGGGGTGCTAGTAATATCTCTAGTTAATGTTATTCAATAAAAAAAGGAGACTCTCACATACATTGGAGTTTAACATTTGATTCAAAAGAAGGCATTTTCCTACACTACGCTTGCTTTGAAAACTTGTGCTTTTCCATTTCAAAAGCCAATATCTGGGTCTATCGACTTTTGTCAAAGCAGAAATATGAGTAGTAGTAATAATAGGCTAGTTCTATAGTAGTAGTAAGTAGTAGTAGTAGTAGTAGTACTAGTAGCAGTACTAGTAGCAGTACTAGTAGTACTAGTAGTTGTAGCAGCAGTAGTAGTAGTACTAGTAGTAGTAGTAGTGGTAGTGGTAGTAGTAGCAGCAATAGTAGTAGTAGTAGTAGTTTTATAATAGGAGTTGTTTTGTAGTAGCAGTAGTTAGTAGTAGTTAGTTGTTTTATTGTAGTAGTATTATTATAGTAGTAGTAGTAGTAGTAGTAGTAGTAGTAGTCGTTTTGTAGTAGTACTAGTAGTAGTAGTTGTAGCAGCAGTAGTACTAGTAGTAGCAGCAGTAGTACTAGTAGCAGCAGTAGTAGTAGTAGGAGTTGTTTTGTAGGAGTTAGTAGTAGTTAGTTGTTTTATTGTAGTAGTATTATTATTATAGTAGTAGTAGTAGCAGCAATAGTAGTAGTAGTAGTAGTAGTTTTATAATAGGAGTTGTTTTGTAGTAGCAGTAGTTAGTAGTAGTTGTTTTGTAGTAGTAGTAGTAGTAGTAGTAGTAGTAGTACTAGTAGCAGCAGTATTAGTAGTAACAGTAGTAGTACTAGTAGCAGCAGTAGTAGTAGTAGTAGTAGTAGTAGTAGTAGTTTTATAATAGGAGTTGTTTTGTAGTAGTAGTTAGTTGTTTTATTATAGTAGTATTATAGTTGTAGTAGTAAGACCTTGAAATGTTTCTTATACTAGTGTTTAATCGAGTGCTCTCTCTCTCTCTCTGCTCGCTTTCCTCTCTTCACTTGGAAAGGCTGTTTTGTCTTCCCACAGGACAGATCTCTGTACAGATGTGGAGACTCCCTTTTCCTTTTGTCTGAATATGAACTGACTGAAAATGTATTTTGTCTGTGCTCTTTGGAGTGCCCATCTGTTAAAGTGTATACACTACCGCAGACTATAAAGACATCAGTCTGTGGTTGTGGTTAGGATGAAGAAAGATGCACTGGGTGACCCAATGAGGTCCATTCATTCTGTTGTCCAACTTCGGTCCTGGAGAGCTACTGGGTCTTCAGTCTTTTATTCCACCTGGGCCCGCATCCACAAAGCATCTTAGAGGAAGAGTGCTGATCTAGAATGTGTCCATATAATCTTATTCATTATGAGGCAAAACTGATCCTAGATCAGTGGTCTTACTCTGAGAGACTTTTGCCAAGATTTAAATAATAAACCAATCATGATCTTCAGGGCTGTATTAAAAGCCTACAGACACAGTAGATCTTCATGACCAGAGTTAGAAAAGCCCTGTTTTAGTGCTTTTGCTGTTTGAAGCTACAGGAGGAGCCAAGTGTGGCAAGATGTCTTGTCGTGTCTTGATAATACTACTCTCCATGCCCCACCCTTCAATAGCTACATTTGCCACCACATGCCTCAAACCTGCAACAGACGTATTGACTGTTTAACTGGGGTGGGCGTTCATTCTTCAGATAATGTAATGAAGGGTTCTCTTCTGAATTGCTGATCATGGTTTCTTGCCTAAGCACAAAAAGCCTTAAGAAACCACCATTGTGCGTTGTTGCCAAAAGCATCAGCATTTACAAGCTTCCTGTTTACAAAGTCGGCTAGTCCTGCATTATGCAGACAAAAACCAAAGGCCTTTGTGCAGTCTTTATTCATTCTGATGATTTTCAAGGTTGTGTTCTCATCTCTCATACTTATGGCATACGGTTGATTTGAAATGTTTTTAAATGTTTTTAAAGTTGATTTGCTGTCAGGCTCTGACTAACTAGCCATCCTCACTTTGTACAGCTTCGATTGGGTTTGATTGTCTCATATTCGATGGATTGGATTTGGCTCATTGATTGGTCCATTTTCCGATCTGTCAAATGGTGTTCCATTTTCTTCCAGCTGCTGCTCTCCACTCTGCTTGTCTCCTCCCTAACCATCCAATTGATAATCATGCCCCACAATGCATTTGTGAATGCGCTAATTTGAACAACAGGCTGCTTTTGTTCAACCTGCTTATTCTCAGTAATTACTGCTTTGTCTGTAGTAGTTTTGATATACAATGTCAGTTGAAATCTAAGAAGAATGAGTCTACTGAGTTATTTCTTCCATTTGGTGTGAGACAATACATTGTCTAGTCTAGTGGTCCTACCTTTATCATGACTATAGTAATCCAAATCTAACTGTTTTTATCTGCTGTCTCACCAAGTCTGTTATTGGTATGAATAGACACTGTTATTGGTATAATTAGATATTATTGGTATGAATAGACCCTGTTATTGGTATAATTAGACACTGTTATTGGTATGATTAGACCCTGTTATTGGTATAGTTAGATATTATTGGTATGAATAGACACTGCTATTGGTATGAATAGACAGTAAGATTTTTAGTCAGATTTTCTATTACCTGTGAATCTCTTACCATCCCATTCCATCACTCTTCACGAGGACATTCCCTCTTCTGTGGTTAGTCCTTCTCTGCTTGTCTGTGTTGAAGTCTAGGGCTCACTCTGTGTGTGTGTGTGTCTGTGTGTGTGTTTGTTACCAGCCAGTAGATGTCATTGTATTAAACCTCCAGGCACTTGTTTTCTTCTCTGGTGGGCCCTCTATAGGTGGTGCTGATCAACGCGGTCAAAGACGTTGCCAAGGCGCTGAGTGACCTCATCAGTGCCACCAAGGCTGCTGCAGGCAAGCCTCACGACGACCCTTCCATGCTGCAACTGAAGAACTCTGCCAAGGTAAAATAGTCCCCTTCTGAGCCTGAGGTTGGTCCAGTGGTTAAGGCCGCTGCCCTCGGCACATGTGCCATCCCTTGCCTGCGTTGGATCGAATCCCGACCCCACCTGTCTTCACAGTATCTTCCATCGATCTGTCTCGCCTTCATTTCTGTCTATCTCTTTCAATAAAACTGGAAAAATACTTTTAAATGTATTTCTGAAATAGTCCCCAGTTTCTCTGTAGCTCTGGACTACTGATAAGGCTGTGATGTCACTAACATGTATTGGGTCTCTAACACCAGTCTCCCCCTTATATACAGTAAACAATGTAAATGAATCGCACATATATCCAACATATAACAATTTCAAAGGTTTTACTGAGTTACAGTTCATATAAGGAAATCAGTCAATTGAAATAAATTCATTAGGCCCTAATCTATGTATTTCACATGATTGGGCAGGGGCCTATCTACTTGGGAGCCAGGCCCAGCCAATCAGAATGACAAGAGGGCTTTATTACAGACATAAATACTCTTCAGCACCCCCCCACCCCCCCTCAGACGATCCCACAGGTGAAGAAGCCGGATGTGGAGGTCCTGGGCTGGCGTGGTTACACGTGGTCTGCGGTTGTGAGGCCAGTTGGACGTACTGCCAAATTCTCTAAAACGACGTTGGAGGCGGCTTATGGTAGAGAAATGAACATTACATTCTCTGGCAACAACTCTGGTGGACATTCCTGCAGTCAGCATGCCAATTGTACACTCCCTCAAAACTTGAGTCATCTGTGGCATTGTGTTGTGTGACAAAACTGCACATTTTAGTGGCCTTTTATTGTCCCCAGCACAAGGTGCACCTGTGTAATGATCATGCTGTTTAAGCAGCTTCCTGATATGCCACACCTGTCAGGTGGATGGATTATCTTGGCAAACGAGAAATGCTCACTAACAGGGATGTAAACACATTTTAGAGAAATCAGCTTTTTGTACATATGGAACATTTCTGGGATCTTTTATTTCAGCTCATGAAACATGTGACCAACACTTTACATGTTTACATTTACATTTTTGTCATTTAGCAGACGCTCTTATCCAGAGCGACTTACAGTTAGTGAATACACATTTGTTTTTGTTTTTTAGTTTTTTTTATACTGGTCCCCCATGGGAAACGAACCCACAACCCTGGCGTTGCAAACGCCATGCTCTATCAACTGAGCTACATCCCTGCCGGCCATTCCCTCCCCTACCCTGGACGACGCTGGGCCAATTGTGCGCCGCCCATGAGTCTCCCGGTCGCGGCCGGCTGCGACAGATCCTGGATTCGAACCAGGATCTCTAGTGGCACAGTTAGCACTGCGATGCAGTGCCTTAGACCACTGCGCCACTCAGGAGCTGTTGCGTTTATATTTTTGTTCAGTGTAGTACTTTACATGATGGGGGGGGGGCACGTATCACACACACACACACAGCTGTCAGTAAAGTCTTCCTAAGGTACTTTATAGCCAAAACACTGACCTCAACCACACACACCCCTGTACCTTCTTCAAGTCTGTGTCAGTCATAAATCATCTGATTCAGAACTGAAGTGTCTGTTGACAGCTGAGGGGGTAACTCTACACTAATCTCCCCCTCCTCACCCCTCCTCACCCTGCTACCCCGGAATGGGGCATAGGGCAAGGCTATCACACTGGGGCAGTCTGGCAGTACATCGCCACTCACTGGGAAAAGTGTGTGTGTGTGTGGTGTATGTGTGTGGTCTCCCTGGCAACCTTAGAACTCTCCCCTGTCCATCCTCTCCATTTTCTGTCCTTCTTGTTAGTGTTATTAACGCATGGGTTTTATTACAGTGCTTTTAATGAACAAGTCACTTAGTATCCATTTCCTCGGCTTCTAGATCTATATCCTCCCATCTCTCTCTTAACAAGTATCTAACCTTCTCTCTCTATCTCCACCAGTCTATCACTTCTATATATATATCTCTCTCCATTTTTCTCTCTCTCCTCCTCTCTCTCTCTCTCACTCTCATCACCAGTCTCTCTCTCTCTCCTCTCTTCCATTTCTCTCCCAAGTCTCTTCCCTTTCTCTCCCATGTCTCTCCCTTTCTCTTCTCTTCTCTCTCCCACGTCTCTCCTGTCTATTCTTTCTCCCCCCCGTTTCCCCCTTTTCCCTCTTCTTCCCAGTCTTTTCCCTTTCTCTCTCTCTCTCTCCCCAGTCTCTCCCTTTCTTTTCTCTCTCTCCCCTTTTCTTCTCTTCTCTCTCTCTCTCTTCTCTTCCCCCCAAAGGTCTTCCCTTCTCCCCTCTCTCCCCCCCAGTTTCCCCCTTTTCTATCTCTCTCTCTCTTCTCTCTCTTTCTCTCTCCTCCTATCTTTTAATCTTTTCCCCTTCCCTCTCTTTTATCTCTCTTCTCTCTCCTCTCTCCTCTTCTCGCTTCCCCCCAGTCTCCCCTTTCTCTTATCTCTCCCCCCAGTCTTCCTTTTTTTCCTCTCTTCTCTCCACAGCCCTCCCTTTCTCTCTCTCCCCAGTCTCCCCCTTTCTTTTCTCTCTCTTCCAGTCTCCTCTCGCTCCCCCAAACTTTTCTCTCTCTCCCCTCTTTTCAGTCGGTCTACCCTTCTCTTTCCCCCTTTTGTCACTTTTCAAAAACCCCCTTTTCCCCCTCCCCATACCCCATACCTGACTGAGTTTACACCAGTTCACTTCTCCCTACCATACCCCCATACCGGATTTTGAGAATAAAACCAGTTCCCCCCCTCCCCCCCTACCAAAAACACCATTATTTCCTTTTTTGAGAATACACCATTTCCACTTCCCCCTCCCCTTTACCCATCCCGGGAATGAGAATACCCCAGTTCACTTCTCCCTACCATACCCATACCTGGAATACCCCCATTGTGGTAGAGGGGGCTCTGGTTTTTAAGGGGGAAGGGAAAAGCTCGGGTCCATGAGTTTGAGGAAATAACTAAGAACCGCCCCAAAATGCCCCCCAAATTTTTTTTCCTTTTAAAACCCCAATTTTAAAACAATCCCCGGAAAACTGTTTTTTAAAAAAAAAGGCCCCCCAACCTTCACTTTTTTGGGAAATTTTAAAAACCTCTACGGGAATTTTGTCCCCCAACCCTTTTTTTAAAAAAAGGGAAAGAAACCCCAGAAGGGAACCCCCCCCCGGGCCCCCAAACCCCGGGGGAACCAAAAACAACCCACGGAAAGCCCCCCCAAAAACCCGCTTTTTCTCACATTTAATAATACCTCTACTGTATATATGTCCCCCAACTCTTTTTACATTTAAATAATACCTCTACTGTATCTGTCCCCCAACTCTTTCACATTTAAATAATACCTCTGCTGTATGTCTGTCCCCCCAGGTGATGGTGACCAACGTGACGTCACTCCTGAAGACAGTAAAGGCAGTGGAGGACGAGGCCACCAAGGGCACACGTGGACTGGAGGCCACCATCGAACACATCAAACAGGAACTGGCTGTGAGTGGCACTGGCACACAGGAGTAGAATTGTTGGAATTCCATTCAAGTCACTGTTCTGTCATTCTATTTATATGTTGTCACACCGGAGGACAGTTGTCTTGAAGTGTCACTGACAGCAGAAGTTTCAACTCAAAATCAAACGGCTTTCATTTGAGGATAGTATCATAGAATAGAATTGTGTCCAGTTTGAGATGGGAATGTGCCTTCTGCTTCACCTCACAAGTCATTTAATATAATCACTCATCATACACACGTCATACAATGCTGTAATACCGTATTCAAAAATGATCTGCACATCAAATACACAATAGTGTATTTATCATCACAGTAAGTTATATTGTTAAGTTGAAAAACTATTTTGAAGAAAGACGTAACATATTATAATCCTTTATAATGTCATATTATAACAAATAATAAAGGATTATAGCTACCAGCAGGCTAAGTAAAGTGTTACTGTTTTGTTCTCTCTCAGGTGTTCAGCAGTGGTGATCCTCCCCCCAAGACTTCCACTCCAGAGGATTTCATCCGCATGACCAAAGGCATCACCCTGGCAACAGCCAAAGCAGTGGCTGCTGGGAACTCGTGTCGCCAGGAGGACGTCATCGCTACGGCCAACCTGAGCAGGAGGGCCATCGCCGACATGCTGCACTCGTGCAAGGTCAGAAAGGGGTCGAGACGACCCTTAGATAACCTTCAGATAACCTTTATCTTCTCTAGCTCCTTGGAGCTTAGTGCCTCGACAACCTTAAAGGGATAGTTCAAGATTTTGACAATTAAGGCATTTTTTTCTACTTACCCAGAGTCAGATGTACTCATGGATACCATTTGTATATTTCTGTGTGCAGTTTGAAGGAAGTTGAAGGTAGTTTCTGGAGTCATTGCTAACTATAATTAGCGCAATGACTGGAAGTCTACGGGACAAGCTAGCATGCTAACTGGAATGACGAGCTCTAATACCTTTTGTAATTATCAAAATTACAGCTAAGAAAACCCCAATGTTATCTAGTAGCGCACCACTCCTGCATGTCCCATACTAATGTGTGTCCGTGTGGTCTCCACAGCAAGCGGCCTACCACCCAGAGGTCAGCAAGGAAGTTCAGAGCCGGGCCCTGCGCTATGGCAACGAGTGTGCCGTGGGCTACCTGGGCCTGCTGGAGCATGTGCTAGTGGTAAGATTAGATGCATCTCTTATTTTAATATTATTTTATTTTATATAAGCAGTAAGAAATGGTCGCTGTTTGTCAGAAAGTGCAGATTTTTTGGCAGGGGTGGTTTAAGTCAAGATTAGCCTCCAATTTTTTGGGGTAGGTGCTGAAAAATTATCTTGCCATCGGGTCCCCCCAAAAAGTCACATTTCTCACTCTACGGCAGAGGTCATCAACCCTGGTCCTAGAGAGCTACCGGGTGTGTTGGAGTTGGTTCAAGCCCACTAGCACTAAACAATCTGAATCACTGAATCAAGGTGTTGATGATTAGGTGATTTGTTGAATCAGGTATGTTAGTGCTGGGCTGGAACAACAGTTTTCACACCCAGTAGATGTCCAAGACCAGGGTTGGTGGTGACCACCACTGCTGTAAGGGTTGTGGGGACTAGGGAGGGTATATTCTTACATGTGAGTACACCTCACCCCCTCCCTCACCCCCCCCCCCCACACCCCCTCCCTCACCCCCCCCCACACCCCCTCCCTCCCCACACCCAGCTCTACCAACTGAGCTACACAGGGCCATGCAATGTGACAGGGTAACACCCATAGAAATAGAATTACTTAAAATGGCCGCCGGTCCACCCATCATGAAATGTTAACTTGAATGGGAATGTCCGCTCTAGTACACTATTTCTATGTTAACACCAAAGACAGCATACTTTAGCTAGAGGTGGAGTCACCAATTGAAACAGCATAGAAGCTGAATTAACTCCCCCTCCCCTAAAGGAAACAATCCAGTCTTCCCCCTTGTATAAAGCAGCTTTCCGAGGGTTCTGGATAAGACCGGGGATCCATCCACAGCTTTCTTCCAGCATGATGTATAGCTCCCAAAATAACTGGGCAAAGAGTGTCAATATTGTCCCAAGAGGTGTTGCCAAGACACACAACCACCAAATATCTCCCCCCCCCTTACACACACACACACACACACAGAGAGAGAGAGAGATTAATTTACCACGTGATTTATGTCATATCTGTTGCCATGGGACATAAAAAGCCTTATCTGTCGTTTAAAAACCAACACATAGCCCCGCCCCCCTACTCACAATGTCACATATAATGTGAACGTCCCTTTTCCTCCTCCCCCCCCCCGTCTGAGACTGGTCTAATTGGTGTGCGGGGAGAGCGAGGTGTTAATCCACAGTCATGTCCGTTATAGAGACGGTGTGGAGCAGTCTCCCTCGTTTAAGAAGGAAGGGAGATCGGTTAACATGTCCGCTAGAGATGTGGTTTCCATGGTGACCACTAGAGCTCTTGGATTCCACTCAGGAACTAATCAGCAAGGGACTTCCTCAGGGTGCAGGGATATTGGAACTATATTTGGGAGCTGTTAAATTGCTTGTTCGGTTGCAAAAATATAAATCTAAAGGGACAAATCGTATCTGGAGATCTGTGTGCTTACTTGGACGTTGGCTTACTCAGACTTTCACATAAATCATGCATTGATGTCAATGGGAGATTTCAGAAAATGTTAGTCACATGCACAGATCTCAAGATAGAATTCTGCCATGATTAAAGTTGTTTATTACTGTAGATATAAATGAAAATGTAACCAGTGTAGCAACAAACAATATAAAGATGATATCACATTACGAACCATTTCCATGCACAATTTCTCACCTGGTATTTCCTTATACTTTCTCCACCGTGAAATTGAATGTCCATTTAAAATGTAACTGAAAGGTCCTGATGAATTTCCTCTACACCCCCCCTCCCCAATGTTCTGTCAATGTTCTGTCAATGTTCTGGGTCTCACTGTTGGCTGTGATGATGTAGCCGGTGAGTATTATTAAGGCTATGTGATTGACCTGCACGAGTGTGGAGCTCCATTGACCGAGTGTCTGGGGACATACTTACAACCCCCACCGCCCTGAGAACACTGTCCTCAGCAGATCCTAGATCAGATCCACACATCTCTCTCTCTACCTTGCTCTACAGTTGTTAATAACATTATTACCTCAGATCAACAGATCAACACTATATCTCCTTACATGGCTCTCAAGCTGGTGTTAAAGAAAAAGTTAGCTTTTTTACAACCAAATCAAAAAGAAAATGCGATCTCACTTGTTTTTGAGAAACTTACCCCAACCAGCGATTCACTTCCTCATCCTCGTTGTCTAGTACAGGGGCTCAAAAAACAAATGCTCAGAAAACACCCAAATACAGTGAGGGGAAAAAGTATTTGATCCCCTGCTGATTTTGTACGTTTGCCCACTGACAAAGAAATGAGTCTATAATTTTAATGGTAGGTTTATTTGAACAGTGAGAGACAGAATAACAACAAAAAAATCCAGAAAAACGCATGTCAAAAATGTTATAAATTGATTTGCATTTTAATGAGGGAAATAAGTATTTGACCCCCTCAATCAGAAAGATATCTGGCTCCCAGGTGTCTTTTATACAGGTAACGAGCTGAGATTAGAAGCACACTCTTAAAGGGAGTGCTCCTAATCTCAGCTTGTTACCTGTATAAAAGACACCTGTCCACAGAAGCAATCAATCAATCAGATTCCAAACGCTCCACCATGGCCAAGACCAAAGAGCTCTCCAAGGATGTCAGGGACAAGATTGTAGACCTACACAAGGCTGGAATGGGCTACAAGACCATCGCCAAGCAGCTTGGTGAGAAGGTGACAACAGTTGGTGCGATTATTCGCAAATGGAAGAAACACAAAATAACGGTCAATCTCCCTCTGCCTGGGGCTCCATGCAAGATCTCACCTCGTGGAGTTGCAATGATCATGAGAACGGTGAGGAATCAGCCCATAACTACACGGGAGGATCTTGTCAATGATCTCAAGGCAGCTGGGACCATAGTCACCAAGAAAACAATTGGTAACACACTACGCCGTGAAGGACTGAAATCCTGCAGCGCCTGCAAGGTCCCCCTGCTCAAGAAAGCACATATACAGGGCCGTCTGAAGTTTGCCAATGAACATCTGAATGATTCAGAGGAGAACTGGGTGAAAGTGTTGTGGTCAGATGAGACCAAAATCGAGCTCTTTGGCATCAACTCAACTCGCCGTGTTTGGAGGAGGAGGAATGCTGCCTATGACCCCAAGAACACCATCCCCACTGTCAAACATGGAGGTGGAAACATTATGCTTTGGGGGTGATTTTCTGCTAAGGGGACAGGACAACTTCACTGCATCAAAGGGACGATGGACGGGGCCATGTACCGTCAAATCTTGGGTGAGAACCTCCTTCCCTCAGCCAGGGCATTGAAAATGGGTCGTGGATGTATATTCGAGCATGACAATGACCCAAAACACACGGCCAAGGCAACAAAGGAGTGGCTCAAGAAGTAGCACATTAAGGTCCTGGAGTGGCCTAGCCAGTCTCCAGACCTTAATCCCATAGAAAATCTGTGGAGGGAGCTGAAGGTTCGAGTTGCCAAACGTCAGCCTCGAAACCTTAATGACGGAGAAGATCTGCAAAGAGCAGTGGAACAAAATCCCTCCTGAGATGTGTGCAAACCTGGTGGCCAACTACAAGAAATGTCTGACCTCTGTGATTGCCAACAAGGGTTTTGCCACCAAGTACTAAGTCATGTTTTGCAGAGGGGTCAAATACTTATTTCCCTCATTTAAAATGCAAATCAATTTATAACATTTTTTACATGCGTTTTTCTGGATTTTGTTGTTGTTATTCTGTCTCTTACTGTTCAAATAAACCTACCATTAAAATTATAGACTGATCATGTCTTTGTCAGTGGGTAAACGTACAAAATCAGCAGGGGATCAAATACTTTTTTCCCTCATTGTACGTGTTTTTTTTAAACGGAAAACGCTCTCAGTATAGTGATGCGGGTCTTTAAAGTTTGTACACATGAAATTGTGTCATTCCAAACATTATCCGCAACATTATATTCCATTTTGTGTGACTCGAGCCGTTTCCCCTATCCAGCTGTTCCATTCTCCATGTAGCCCGGAATTTAACGTTATCAGCCATGTATCAACAGGAAGTGAGAATAATACTAAAATGATATGAGAGCTACTAGAAGCGGTAGTATCCTAATACTATAAGCGGTAGTATCCTAATACTATAAGCGGTAGTATCCTAATACTATAAGCGGTAGTATCCTAATACTAGAAGCGGTAGTATCCTAATACTAGAAGCGGTAGTATCCTAATACTAGAAGCGGTAGTATCCTAATACTAGAAGCGGTAGTATCCTAATACTAGAAGCGGTAGTATCCTAATACTAGAAGCGGTAGTATCCTAATACTAGAAGCGGTAGTATCCTAATACTATAAATAATATGTTTGATTTTAGCAGGTTGACACATCAAGGCACCAAGAGAAATACATATGCAACACATATGCAACTAATGTTATCTTGCTGCATGGAGATTTGCGTTTTGTCATAATATGTGTACAGGACATATGTACATCATGTGTTTGTGTCTGAGTGTTTTGGAATTCTCTGCCTGAGTGCACAATACACACAATGCCCCATCTTGTTTCAAAAGTGGAAGTTCCCTATTCTATTTCACCATCATCTTGGGGCTCAGGTCAACTAATTATGTGTGTGTGTGTTACTCCCCTGTGTGTAAATGTGACTTTCCTGTGTGTGTTGCGCCCCATGTGTAGACCTACGTACAGTATGTATTTGCGTGTGGCTAGCGGCCATGCCACACATTCCTGTGCAGCCACGCTGCTCCTGTTGTCTTTTCTTAGTATCGCATTTTGATGAGCTGGAGCGCAGCATGCCTCGGTGCAGTGGGTCCCATCGGCACAGAGAGCACTGTTAATGCCCGACACCTGTCATCTGCCGGGCCCAACTGGCTAGGGCCATCTCACTGGAGGACACTCTGAGGGCACCGACACACACATACTGACACACTGCCTGGGGCTGGCTAGAGCCGTGTACTGTGTATTATGTACTGAGTTTGACTGTTTGTTTGAGGCTAGACGTCTATAGACCATGCCATGTTGGCACCAAATGTTCCAAGACTAGTCCTTTCTGGTGAGAATACATTGTAATGGCTGAACTCTGAACTAGTTAACTGAACTCTATATCTATGGCTGAGTCTGAAAACATTACTAGCTGTCAAATCTGGTTTGCTGAATTCCTTTCATAGCTCATTGCAGGAGAACCGAGGGAGGTACTTTGGACCCTCTCATCCAATGAGCATTGAGAGGAATTGCGGAAACCAGTACGGGGAAAGCAAGGATTTGATGTCTGGTAACATATTCAGACACTGTGTATGGCTCTGGGATAACCCACCCTCTCCCACTACCACACTGCCACTACCAACTAGCAAGCTCTTCCCACATGATCACCCATGCCCACATCCAATTGGACTAAACTGCTAATGTGCTTTGGCATGTGGAGGCTGAGTGGTTTATGTTAACATGTTTCCAATGACTGACAAGGTGTCTTTGTAGCACCTTTATTTATTGCTAACTGTAAATAGCCTGATATCTTTATATTAAATTTAAAAGACCTTTTAAATGTGTGAGTTCAAAATAGTCTAATGGTCCCAAATGGAAGACCCAGCAGTGTTAGTAGGTACTCAATTAGTCTTTCTAGGATTCCTCGCATCCTAGCTCCTCTCCCCCTTCTTAACTATATTAGAGGAGAAGGTCCAATGCGTTTTGAGGAGGGGGGATTCAAGGAAAGATTAATGGCAAAAGATCCCCTGTCTTTGGCTGCAGTGTTAGTCCTACAAAGACCCTAGTAGAGAAAGAGAGACTGACTGACTGTTATTGTCCCTCCTTTACCACAGATCATCCAGAAGCCCAGCCACGAGCTCAAGCAGCAATTGGCCAACTACTCCAAACGTGTGGCCGGCTCCGTCACCGAGCTCATCCAGGCCGCCGAGGCCATGAAGGGTACCTTGACCTTGTATTACTACAGAACTGCATTCCCCACGTGTCGCTCTTCCACCTCTCCCCTCCTTAAGGCATGCTTCAGTTCGGTTGGCGCCTAGCCCAACTCAGCTAGCCGAACTGAACTCCCTTTTTTATTTATTAATTTTCACCTTTATTTAACCAGGTAGGCCAGTTGAGAACAAGTTCTCATTTACAACTGCGACCTGGCCAAGATAAAGCAAAGCAGTGCGATTAAAAACAACAACAGAGTTACATATGGGGTAAACAAAAACATACAGTCAATAACACAATAGAAAATCTATATATACAGAGTAAATAAAAGACCTTCACTTGAAAAACGAAAGAAAAAGCGGCAATATTGCTGTTTGTCCATTTTGAGACGCCACAGCCAGTATACACTTCCTCAAAATAGTCTGAATTAATCTAAAATACCTCAAGAAATCTGTCATTAATTTTGACGTTTTTGCCAAGGAGATCTTAGTCGTGCAATTTTACATCAAACTAAGATGTTTGGTGCAGTATTTCTCAATGAAAAAATGTGCATGAAAATGAACTCTTCCGAACTGTTCCGGCTGTGAAGCATGCGGACGCCTTTATCCACCAGGTGTAGATATTGCTTACACCAGGTGTAGATATTGCTTACACCAGGTGTAGATATTACTTACACCAGGTGTAGATATTGCTTACACCAGGTGTAGATATTACTTACACCAGGTCATGTCAGATTTGTTAAGCGAAAAGAAAGGAAGGGAAGCACCTCTCTGGAATAAGACTCAGCCCAAGTCTGTCTGAGAGAGAGAGGACAGCCACCCCGCTTAACGTTGACAGACTCATTTACACCCCCCCCCCCCCCCCCCCTCCCCCTCAGCTGCCGCCCGACGGGGCCCTTCTTCTCTTTCACACGGCAGTCTCCAGTCCCCATCCCAGAGGTGTCAAGAACAAGCCGCGCGTCGTCCTCAAGACAGCACCATGAGCACATCGCCCACTGATTTAGAGTGGAAATACTAGAGGCCCCCCCCCGCTTACTTTACTTCGAAGAGCAATCTTCTGCAGTCCCCGTTAGAGATGCTTTAGCCTGAAAGGGAATCCTCGCCGCTGGCTTGGTGATAATGCCACATCTTCATTTAACAGACGATGAAACAGGAATGTCTATATCTGCTGGGAGATTAATGTGGTGAGCAGAATGTGGTAACAGGCCCACTGAAAGACTGTCCATCATATCGGCAGTATGAATACAGTATCAGTATATTCAGCCAATCTAAAGGCACGAGTAGGAGAGAGTATGTGGAAAGCAGTGGCGGTCAGTGACGTTTAAGATCAGCGAGGATTATTTTATTTATTTTTTATGACCAAGCCCTAATTTCCGTTACAGCATACTGGATGACATTCATATTCCAGTCACCCAGCTCAATGTAACATCGATAAGTTTAGGCTACTACATGATACTCTAATTTTCCCTGTACCCATCATGAGGTTGTTACAACCTAGCCTACGAATGAAAGATTATAACGTAGGTGCACAGGTCGAGAGACGAATTGGAGTAATCAAGGTGACAGACAGTGACACATTCAATACCGCCTTGCACACTCTCGCCTGCATCTAGCTGATCTAGGGTGTATTCATTAGGACAAACTCAGGTATGTTGATCCCCATTTCGTTCCGTTTGCTTCCGTTTAAGAAACGTTTTTTTCAACAGAGTCTGCTGAATAAATACTCCCCCGATCACCCGCACAAACAGTTCACTAGATTCATTCTCTGATACTTTGATTGGGTGGACAACATGTCAGTTCATGCTGCAAGAGCTCTGATAGGTTGGAGGACGTCCTCCGGAAGTCGTCGTAATTATGGAAGGGGGTGAGAACCATAAACCTCCTAGGTTTTGTATTGAAGTCGATGTACCCAGAGGAGGACGGAAGCTAGCTGTCCTCCGGCTACACCATGGTGCTACCCTACAGAGTGCTGTTGAGGCTTCTATAGACCTTCATTGCAAATCAGTGTGTTTTAATCAGTTATTTGGTGACGTGGATATATTTATTATAGTTTTATCTAAAAAGGATAACTTTTAATTTTTCACTTTTTTCACTGGTGGAAAGGAAATCTGTATTCCTTTTGGAAGAGAACTATAACAGCGTAAATATGGTAACCACGTAATGTTGAATGTGGTGCACTGGACCAATGGACTCCCACACACTCTATATACCTGCAAAATGAATGTTTATTACCATTCCATTTGATGTACTTTACAGAAGCATTTTCACATAGCATTCAAAGTAATGTCTCACAATGACCATGAATAAGAGTACTGTTGTTTAGCACTAACATGTTGTGTGTGTGTGTGTGTGTTGTGTGTGTGTGTGTGTGTGTGTGTGTTGTGTTGTGTGGTGTGTGTGTGTGTGTGTGTGTGGTGTGTGTGTGTGTGTGTGTTGTGTGTGTGTGTGTGTTGTGTTGTGTGGTGTGTGTGTGTGTGTGTGGTGTGTGTGTGTGTGTGTTGTGTGTGTGTGTGTGTTGTGTGTGTTGTGTTGTGTGTTGTGTGTGTGTGTGTGTTGTGTGTGTGTGTGTGTGTGTGTGTGTGTGTGTGTGTGTGTGTTGTGTGTGTGTGTGTGTGTTGTGTGTGTGTGTGTTGTGTGTGTGTGTGTGTGTGTTGTGTGTGTTGTGTGTGTGTGTTGTGTTGTGTGTGTGTTGTGTGTGTGTGTTGTGTGTGTGTGTGTGTGTGTTGTGTGTGTGTGTCAACAGGAACGGAATGGGTGGACCCCGAGGACCCCACGGTCATCGCTGAGAACGAGCTTCTAGGAGCTGCTGCCGCCATTGAAGCGGCCGCCAGGAAACTGGAGCTGCTAAGGCCCCGCACCAAACCCAAGGTGAGGAGGCCCCCAAGCCTCGCCCAGCCCAGCCAGCTGAGCCTCTCTGCGGGGGACACAGTCACACACTAACCCTCCCCTTATGGATCAGAGACCGTGTGTTGGTGCTACACTCTTTGTGCAAAGGGTTACGCAGTCTTGACCCCAAGGGTAGAGGCCTCCTGGACTTGTTAGCTGTCCGCTTTGAACCCCCCTACAGTAATGATCCCGCCCATTTAAAATACCTAGATATCCATTTAGATGTCCATGTTTGAGTCGAGGGCTTGAGTTACATACTGTAGTTAACAACCTCCGTCCTCATCGGAGTAGTGTAGAGTAGAACAGGCTTATTAACACGAGTGAGGATGTGTACTGTGTTGTGGTTATGGTGTGTTTCGTGACTCCAACATATTCTCTGTGTTTTGTAAAAAGGAAGCGGACGAGAGCCTGAACTTTGAGGAACAGATTCTGGAGGCGGCCAAATCGATCGCAGCCGCCACCAGCGCTCTGGTCAAAGCTGCCTCGGCCGCCCAGAGGGAACTGGTGGCCCAAGGGAAGGTAAGCGCTCCAGAGTTATCAGTACGGTATGGGGCCTACCCAGGGGGCAATTCACTGGTTGAAATGATGTCATTATGACGTCTTTCAACCAGTTTTGCCCAACTGTGTCTGCTGGGTAGTAACGTCTAACTGTAGCTCATGCTGTAGTCATTCAACACAGTCTGAGTGGCCCAGGCCTGATTTACACTCTCCCCAGGCCTGATTTACACTCTCCCCAGGCCTGATTTACACTCTCCCTAGGCCTGATTTACTCTCTCCCCAGGCCTGATTTACACTCTCCCCAGGCCTGATTTACACTCTCCCTAGGCCTGATTTACACTCTCCCTATGCCTGATTTACACTCTCCCCATGCCTGATTTACACTCTCCCCAGGCCTGATTTACACTCTCCCCAGGCCTGATTTACACTCTCCCCAGGCCTGATTTACACTCTCCCCAGGCCTGATTTACACTCTCCCTAGGCCTGATTTACACTCTCCCTATGCCTGATTTACACTCTCCCCAGGCCTGATTTACACTCTCCCCAGGCCTGATTTACACTCTCCCCGGGCCTGATTATCACTCTCCCCAGGCTTGATTTACTCGCTCCCCAGACCTGTGTGCCCAGACTGTCTCTCTCCCCAGGCCTGTGTGCCCAGACTGTCTCTCTCCCCAGGCCTGTGTGCCCAGACTGTCTCTCTCCCCAGGCCTGTGTGCCCAGACTGTCTCTCTCCCCAGGCCTGTGTGCCCAGACTGTCTCTCTCCCCAGACCTGTGTGCCCAGACTGACTCTCTCCCCAGACCTGTGTGCCCAGACTGACTCTCTCCCCAGACCTGTGTGCCCAGACTGTCTCTCTCCCCAGGCCTGTGTGCCCAGACTGTCTCTCTCCCCAGACCTGTGTGCCCAGACTGACTCTACCTCTCTGTTTTTTGCTGTGCTCTCTCAGGTCGGTGCCTGCCCAGCCAATGCAGTGGATGATGGACAGTGGTCTCAAGGTCTCATTTCAGCTGTAAGTGTCACTGTCGTTCCTTAACCAGTAGATTTGATATTTGAACAGATGATCAAAATCTACCTAAAGTAGCACCATTACTAAGGAATATAACTTATTCATATTTATGGTGGCATCATTTCTTGCCTACACATGTGAATTAATAATAGAGGCATACTTGTTACCTAACGTCAATTAAAATACATTTTCATTTATCTCACAGATTGATGGCAAACAGAATACATTCACTCTCCCTTTTAATGCCAACCCTCTTCTCCAACTCTCTGTTCCACTAGGCCCGAATGGTTGCTGCGGCGACCAGCAACCTGTGTGAGGCGGCCAACTCGGCTGTGCAGGGCCACGCCAGCGAGGAGAAGCTGGTCAGCTCGGCCAAGCAGGTGTCTGCCTCCACTGCCCAGCTCCTGGTGGCCTGCAAGGTCAAGGCTGACCAGGATTCCCAGACCATGAAGAGGCTACAGGTCAGATTGCTATGTACTTATAGTACTTCTCCTATTGTGTGTTGTCGTCTCTCCCCCCCCCCCCCCCGTCAGCTGCTCAGTCTATACATACAAAGCTTTGTGACTCTGAGGGGGGGGGGTCAGTTGATGATAAACAGTCAGTCAAAAGGTTTTTCAATGGTGACAGTGGTAAACTTGCTATGACTCTGTCATAAAGACTGAGTATCCCATAGGGCGGTGACGTTCAGAGACACTGTGTGGGTGTGTTTCTGTTGGTTTGTTTATCTATCTCACAGAGTTTTAGCACAGCAGAGAGCTTCTCTTAAAGGCTCAACCAGAGGATGGGCTGCATTTTAAAAATTGTTTTGCCTTATCCCTCACAGTGAAGCAATTCCTGATTTGGTCACAGTGTTTTCCGTTTTGTATGGAATGTGTCTTTAATGGCTACGCACACCTGTCAATACCCACGGCACCTTTTTTGCCTAAACTACGCCCTTTCCATTGATTTTAACTGGGGCTTTTGTCTCTGCTAAAGTTTAGCCCCGCTTAGACCAATCCTTCTGTGGTGGCTGCAGTTTTTATTTCTTAGAAAACAGACAGATTATTTATTTTGTTGAGGACCACAGTTGGGGCTCATTTGGAGGAGGCTGGAGCTGAGAAATGGTTTCCGAGGGAGGGTGTGAGCGAGAGCGACGTGTCACGGTCTAAATAAATGTCTCTATCTATTAACGTCCCGTTGCTACAGTATTTCTAGAAGTGTCCGTTGTTCCATAAAGAAAAGGACAGGTGAGGAGATCCAACCTTGCCTGTTGTCTCCAAAGGCCCCAATCTTTTTTTTCCAATTGATAAGTACTGCGAGGTGCCAACTCATTCAGACCTCAGTAGAAACGTCTCTGTCAGTATTCTCTTGGTGACACAGCAGAAGAGACATTTAACTTCCTGTTCAGCAAACTATCTTTTAGAGGTGTGTCGTCATGGAAACTCATCATTTCACACAATCCATATATGGAGGGTATTCTGTTTTCAGAACTGCGTGTGTAAATCAGAAGTCCAGCCTATCAAAGCTGTCCCAGCCTTACTGACGTGGGTTATCCACAGTCAGTCCACTCTCTGGAAATAGTAAATCCTGTGTAGTTACAGGATCTCCCCCCAGCTCTATGCACACCAACCAGCCAGCCAGCTCATATTCTCTCATCCCAATCAGCAGAGGCTTATCTCCTCCTGTTCCAGGCTTGCAGCTGCTGCTGGGTCATTCCCATATAGTTGTGTATACAGTGTCTCTCGAAACAACATACATTGCCTTTGAAATGTCGAAACCCTAGAGGTCTTTGATTACTGCCACACTGGAGAAGTTGAAGACTCCACGTTTGTTCCAATCCCTTTTTGGAAGGCCATGTAGTTAGTCAACGTTGCCTGGTTATTAAGCCCGTTAAGATTGTGTCTACAATAGAGTCGATTGTAGTGCTGTGTGAAAGGCCTGTGTGGTAGGTACGTGGTCGCCGCGGGGAGCATGGGTATTCCGACTGGCCCTGACATGAAGTGAAGGCAGCAGGTGGTGTCAGACCAGAGGGGGTTAAATAGTCATTATACAATGGTTGGTTTGGAATTCCCATTGTTAGTCTATCCTGCCCATGATATACTACACAACATACATATGGCCACATTCATAAAAAGTGCCATAGTTTACGTTGTTATATAGCAACGCACTGCTACTACTACAGATCCGCTGTCTCGTCTGCCCAGCCATGGAATTTATCAACTTGATCTCCATTGTAAAAAGCCTCTAGACATTATCTCCGACATTTGCAATATTGAAATTCGATCTCCACTGTGTCCCGTAATAATGAAGGAGTCAGGACGAAACAGACGGGCAGCTTTTCTTAGCCAGTCGAAATCATGAATCACCATAATTTTTATGGATATATACAAATAAATGTCAATAGAAAAACTCGTAAAACGAAACAAAATGCAGCAAGTTTGCAGTCTTAACACCTTCAGTCTGAAGTGATTGTGTTAGCTGTGTAGTTGGCTAGCTAGCAAGGGGGGTAGAGCCTCCATAGCAACCATTTTTGTTTGCCATAGTAGTTTTGCTTTACATGGCAGTCAATACGAATAAAACTAACAACCAGAGAGCGCCTAAAATTGCACTTGCCAACCAGTGTTAGTGAATGTAGCATCACGTTTTGTTGAAAAATGTATGGTTTGGGAAATAATCTTGCTTTTTAATGCTGGTAACCCGTTGTATAAAAGCAATAATACACTCGAGTCCATGTGTTATGACATTATTTATCATGGCTGTGACGTGGTGATAGCCACGGGGCAAATTGCTTAATTAAGCCATATACTGCACATACCTGACATACTCGACAAATGAGTGGACGGAACACTGACAGCAGCGCTGTGGAAATACACCTCAGGAAAGGATAGCAATAATCTATTTTTCCCACTGTGTATGTCAAATGTATGAAGCATAACCACAAAACCACTTGGTTGTACGTGATATGTTAGCCTTGGGTATAAAAAATAAAACCATGAACCTTTTCACACTACTGAGCCAAGCCAAATCTAACTGTACTGCACCAGCCTGGTGACGATTCCACAATAGGTGCTGGAAGGGTGCTGGAAATGACTATATGAAAGAAAAATAACCAAGCCAGCACAATATGGTTCAGATTTGCACGATAGTGTGAAAGGAGTTAAGTTTGACAGTTGGGTTTTATCCAATTCAACCTCCCCCACCGCTAGTTTGGTCAGTACCAGGAAAACAAACCTGCCGTCTTTTACTAGCTAGCAGCTGTTTGGGATCTGATGGGGTTGGCTAGCGTTGTGTTTTATGTCAGGGGCTAAGCTAACAGTGACATTCCGACCATAGAGATAGAGATAGGGGAGGGAGAATTGGACAGGAAAACAGCTCTAGCTCTGTCCTTGCCAGCACGGAGCCTCTTTTCTCTCAGCGAAGCCTCAAAAGGAGAAGAAAAAAACCACGTCTCCTTGTTTGAAATGGGCTGCCAAGTGAGTCTCGGTAAGAAGTATGTTTTGCTTCAAGTGAACTACGGCGAACAGCTCCTTATTGCCTTTTAAAGCAATCCCCAAGCGCGAAGAGAGAGCAGGGTGTTTTTGTCCTTTCCACTAGCTCTGGCCGAGGCCGACATTTCCTTTCCAGGGGCCACTGTTTATAAACAGTAAGGCAGGAGAAGTCATGTTCTTAACCGAAAGCTATGCGTCAGTCAGTCGCCAGTGTTCTACACCCCTTTGAGAGCCCAATTCACTTTTAAAATCCTGTCTGGAATTTTGTTTTACTTACAGGGCTACAGTATTGAAATGTGATTACACTCTTCTTTAAAAGGCCTGCACACGCTGTGCTGAATATCACAGAAATGTGTGTGTCTGTCTGTAAAAACCTTAAAGTGTCGACGCTTTGGGTTTTGGCTTAGAGTTTGTGTCAACCTGACCCCCACTGTCCATTCTGAACTTCCACAGGCTGCCGGAAACGCTGTCAAGAGGGCCTCCGATAGCCTGGTGAAGGCCGCACAGAAAGCAGCCTTTGACGCCCAAGACGAGCAGGCCGTGGTGGTCAAGAGCAAGATGGTGGGCGGCATTGCTCAGGTAAGCAGAGGGCTATGAGAGCCCACTTGAATTTTCACACAAACTTCCCATTGATGTAAGGATTATTTCAGTGCAATAGAGGACTTGGCTTGAAGACAGTGTCATTCTATGACACCCAAATTCACATTCAGAATTCCTTTCTTAAAGATCACATACTAGGCATGTTTTGTATATCTGTTGATGTGTGTACCTGTGTTTCCATGTGCCTATCTGTTCATCTATGTATGAGAGGAGGTGTGTTCTGGGTGTTAACCAGTTGTGTTCTGTCAGTTAGATCAGGGTGTTAACCAGTTGTGTTCTGTCTGTTAGATCAGGGTGTTAACCAGTTGTGTTCTGTCTGTTAGATCAGGGTGTTAACCAGTTGTGTTCTGTCTGTTAGATCAGGGTGTTAACCAGTTGTGTTCTGTCTGTTAGATCAGGGTGTTAACCAGTTGTGTTCTGTCTGTTAGATCAGGGTGTTAACCAGTTGTGTTCTGTCAGTTAGATCAGGGTGTTAACCAGTTGTGTTCTGTCAGTTAGATCAGGGTGTTAACCAGTTGTGTTCTGTCTGTTAGATCAGGGTGTTAACCAGTTGTGTTCTGTCTGTTAGATCAGGGTGTTAACCAGTTGTGTTCTGTCAGTTAGATCAGGGTGTTAACCAGTTGTGTTCTGTCAGTTAGATCAGGGTGTTAACCAGTTGTGTTCTGTCAGTTAGATCAGGGTGTTAACCAGTTGTGTTCTGTCTGTTAGATCAGGGTGTTAACCAGTTGTGTTCTGTCAGTTAGATCAGGGTGTTAACCAGTTGTGTTCTGTCTGTTAGATCATTGCTGCCCAGGAGGAGATGCTGAGGAAGGAGAGGGAGCTGGACGAGGCCAGGAAGAAGCTGGCCACCATCCGACAGCAGCAGTACAAGTTCCTGCCCTCCGAGCTCAGGGAGGACGGGCAGGAACAGTGATGAAACATACACATATGTACACACACACACACACACACACACACACATATATATATATATATACATACACACACACACACAGCGAAGACAAATCCGATGTTCAGGGCCTACACACCCAGGCTACATTAGAGAAAAGAGGAAAACAAAGCAGGATTATGCTTGAAGAGGAGCAATATTGGGGTGAGATAATTAAAATGAAACGAAAGGGGTAAAAAGTGAAAGTTGTATTAGGATGTCTATTTTAAATGTGTTTTTTTCTTAGATTATTTGTCGTGTTCAAGAGCATTACAGTGCCACTGTTTTTGTTTTTGGATAATGCAAAAAAATATATATATGTATGCAAGTCCTTGAGGTAGTCCTTAATAGTTTATGTGATTAATTGAGCATTTAGGTCCTAGATTGCATGTGTTCACTGCGGCTTCACCGTTTTTAGTAAAATCACATCCTCCTGCCGATAACTGATATTTGCCTTTAACGCTAGCATGCTATTATTTTAGTGAGCACAATAACTATCTGTTTGGAGGTGTCCGTTTTCTGTTTTTGGATTTTTTAAATGAAGTCACCAGAAGGTGGGCTTACAGCGGATAAGTCTTGAGTTCATACCTGACTGACCAATGATTTTAACTGGCCACGGTAAATCGTAAGAGACGATCGGTCACCATACAACACAGAGCTCAGCTAGGTGTTTGCCATGAACAAGGGTGTGGCTTTGGTCAGATTCCAAAGAAGACACAGTTTTATGAGAATGTGTGTGTTGTCAGGGAGGCTCCTCCCTTTTTATTTGAACCAATGACATTTAACTGCATTTTGTTGCAATTTGGACCAGAGGTGCAATTATTTACTTTGCGATTAAACAATTCATAGAGAGAAAACATATCATTAAAAAAAAAGAGAAATAATGCTATGAAATGTGTTACAAATGGTATCTTCTATTACATTTATATGTTAATAAAGTATATGTGAGTATTTGTTTGTGTCATCTAATGAACTTTGGTAGTTATTTTGGACCTGATATTATCTGTGTTTGAAGCTCATAAAGCCATACTTTTCTTTCTTCAGGACATTGTTTTGAATCATGAATGACTGTTCCTTCGTGTGCTATTGAGTGGTTAAATTCTTTATCAGATGTAGACTGTGTAATATGCGTCTAATAGCCAACTGTAACCAGTAGATTTTTAGAAACAAATTTAGATATATATTTTGGGGTAATTTCTCTTGTCACAGTACAATCCTTTGATGGCAATGGTATACAAAGGATAATGTATCCAATGTTGTTCTTATTTACCTTTATTTACCCTGAATTGTCAGCCTATTTCACATTGTCAGAGGCCTCATTGTAACCTAACCTTCTTTCTTTCAACATATCAATGAGTCAAAAAGTGCCTGCTATATGTATTTTACAACTAATTGTATTTAACTGTTAACGTTTTCCCATCTTCAAGTGCACTTATCCATTTGTTTAACTTAACAAAACATATAAATCCACTCTTTTACAAAAATAAATAAAAAATATTTTCTCATTTTTCTTAATTGAAATAGTTGATGGAAAACAACTGTTAAGTTGCCTAACTTAAGTGTCTTTTCTTTTCATATTCTAATTGTTTTGCTGACCTTTTGATTTTGATACTATATAAATGTATTAACAGTGCTATGGGATCACCACCTCAATAGCATTGTAAAAGAGATTTATGGTCAATAAAGTTTTCCCTGAGAAGTTATTTTCTTTCTCTTCTAGTCACATCTTTATCAATGCTTCATATCATAATATGCCCTGCTATGCTACAGTGAAGGAAAAAAGTATTTGATCCCCTGCTGATTTTGTACGTTTGCCCACTGACAAAGACATGATCAGTCTATAATTTTTATGGTAGGTTTATTTGAACAGTGAGAGACAGAATAACAACAAATAAATCCAGAAAAACGCATGTCAAAAATGTTATAAATTGATTTGCTGTTTAATTCGGGAAATAAGTATTTGACCCCCTCTCAATCAGAAAGATTTCTGGCTCCCAGGTGTCTTTTATACATTTACATTTACATTTTAGTAATTTAGCAGACGCTCTTATCCAGAGCGACTTACAGTTAGTGAGTGCATACAATTTTTAAAATCTTTTTTCTTTTTTCTTTTTTATACTGGCCCCCCGTGGGAATCGAACCCACAACCCAGGCGTTGCAAACGCCATGCTCTACCAACTGAGCTACATCCCTGCCGGCCACGCATGTCAAAAATGTTATAAATTGATTTGCATTTTAATTAGGGAAATAAGTATTTGACCCCTCTGCAAAACATGACTTAGTACTTGGTGGCAAAACCCTTGTTGGCAATCACAGAGGTCAGACGTTTCTTGTAGTTGGCCACCAGGTTTGCACACATCTCAGGAGGGATTTTGTCCCACTCCTCTTTCAGATCTTCTCCCAAGTCATTAAGGTTTCGAGGCTGACGTTTGGCAACTCAAACCTTCAGCTCCCTCCACAGATTTTCTATGGGATTAAGGTCTGGAGACTGGCTAGGCCACTCCAGGACCTTAGTGTGCTTCTTCTTGAGCCACTCCTTTGTTGCCTTGGCCGTGTGTTTTGGGTCATTGTCATACTGGAATACCCATCCACGACCCATTTTCAATGACCTGGCTGAGGGAAGGAGGTTCTCACCCAAGATTTAACGGTACATGGCCCCGTCCATCGTCCCTTTAATGCGGTGAAGTTGTCCTGTCCCCTTAGCAGAAAAACACCCCAAAGCATAATGTTTCCACCTCCATGTTTGACAGTGGGGATGGTGTTCTTGGGGTCATAGGCAGCATTCCTCCTCCTCCAAACACGGCGAGTTGAGTTGATGCCAAAGAGCTCGATTTTGGTCTCATCTGACCACAACACTTTCACCCAGTTCTCTGAATCATTCAGATGTTCATTGGCAAACTTCAGACGGGCCTGTATATGTGCTTTCTTGAGCAGGGGGACCTTGCGGGCGCAGCAGGATTTCAGTCCTTCTCGGCGTAGTGTGTTACCAATTGTTTTCTTGGTGACTATGGTCCCAGCTGCCTTGAGATCATTGACAAAATCCTCCTGTGTAGTTCTGGGCTGATTCCTCACCGTTCTCATGATCATTGCAACTCCATGAGGTGAGATCATGCATGGAGCCCCAGGCCGAGGGAGATTGACAGTTCTTTTGTGTTTCTTCCATTTGTGTTTCTTCCACAGCCCACGGCTAAGGGCTGTTCTTATGCACGACGCAATGCGGAGTGCCTGGATACAGCCCTGGTTCGAATCTAGGCTCTGTCATAGCCGGCCGCGACCGGGAGACCCATGGGGCGGCGCACAATTGGCCCAGCGTCGTCCAGGGTAGGGGAGGGAATGGCCGGCAGGGATGTAGCTCAGTTGGTAGAGCATGGCGTTTGCAACGCCTGGGTTGTGGGTTCGATTCCCACGGGGGGCCAGTATAAAAAATAAAAAAGATTTAAAAAATGGTATGCACTCACTAACTGTAAGTCGCTCTGGATAAGAGCGTCTGCTAAATTACTAAAATGTAAATGTATAAAAGACACCTGGGAGCCAGAAATCTTTCTGATTGAGAGGGGGTCAAATACTTATTTCCCTCATTAAAATGCAAATCAATTTATAACATTTTTGACATGCGTTTTTCTGGATTTATTTGTTGTTATTCTGTCTCTCACTGTTCAAATAAACCTACCATTAAAACTAAAGACTGATCATTTCTTTGTCAGTGAGCAAATGTACAAAATCAGCAGGGGATCAAATACTTTTTTCCCTCACTGTATATACGGACAGGTTAACATTAATAAAAAAGACTCGCCATTGTGAACGACCATTGATTTCTAGTCGCATCAAGTCGACAGTAGCCCAGTCAGTCACAAATACATTTCCCCTTGGCTCCATACTGTACCTTGTCTTTTGTGACCGGTCATTCTTCACCTAAGACCAACTTCGTCCCCAGGTGGCTGCTGCTAACCGACACCAACTACCCTCAGTCTTGGTAACATAACCTTTGACTGTTACAACTTGTTACTGTTATTTTTCCCTCTATTTGAAATAACATTAAAAACTACCCCATGCCGTGCCGGACTTTTATCAATGAACAAGCCTAGTTCAGGCGACCTAACTGAGACGACATTGGCTGTAGTGTCGTCATGTGTGCAACTGTTCTTCAATGTGGAAATAAATGAATCCATGAAGAAGAAGAGAGCACGTAGGCTATAACTTTTACATGAGCTGGTTAAAACCATGCCTTAATGCGTCCCCCTGTGCGCTCGAGGAGTGAACGGCAAATACAGGGGAAATGAAATACACCCAAGTAGACCTATTAAAGATGGCCAACCTTTTCATTACATGGTGTGGGCACCTATGTCCCTGTGTCTACAGATATATTTAGGTCCAATATCATACCACAGACATTCGAACATTATATGAAATCGGAGCCTCCCAAAGATGGACAAAATCTGTGCGCTTAATTCCTACCCAATGCCTTGAACGAATCACAGGCGCGCGACGTCACTCTCGCTCCGGCGTGATTTAGCTGAACTTTCCAAACAAGTATTGGGCTCTGGACAGAATTCCAGCCTCCCTTCCTCCCTACCCAATCTAGACTAGCTTTGTCTCATCACTCAGCTCAAGGTGCTGCTCCTGTGAACGTCAGTCCTCTGTCCTCTGTGTGGCTCGTGCGCGTCTGTCGAGAGTACCAACTCTGAACCCTTTTCGACAGTTATTAGGAGAAAAAAACAACAGTAACCATGGAAGCCATCAAGAAGAAAATGCAAATGTTGAAACTGGATAAGGAGAATGCTATTGATCGGGCAGAGCAAGCAGAAGGAGACAAAAAGGGGGCAGAGGACAAATGCAAACAGGTATGGGAATATAACTAACTGAACAAGAGGGCAATCCCTGCCTTTTCATTGCTTGAAGGGAGATGGTCAACTGTATCTAATGCCAATATAAATTAATTTTACACAGACTTATTAAATGTAATGATTATACTGCTCCCTGCTCTCTGTCAACCATGAAGTGGTTTGGTCATTGACAGACAGTATGTCATCCATATATGGTCATCCATATACAATCTATTCTACAATATGCAATAAACATACTGTAAAAGCCCAAGTCAGTGATTTTATTACTCGGGTGAGCATATCATATATTTACTATATTTCAAGTATGTAGTTTCTACCCTGAAACACATGGTAAGACAGATGTCCAATGTCTATGTGGAAGATAGGTAAGTGTTTGTTCTAAGTAATGGCATCTTAATATCCTCTTGTGAAGTCATCCGTAAAGCTACTTTAGACTTTTGCACCTACAAATAATAAAAGTCCTTATAGTCTCTTCAGTGGTGTTTCATGGGTACAGCAGGCAAGTTGATTAGATATGATAAACCGATCCCACCAAAACGGCCCAGACAGTTTGAAGTTATTATGGGCAGTGTTAAATTCCCTGAGTCAAAGCACATTGATGAGGGGGACACAAGCTGACTTAAGGAGTACAGTGTGAATGACTGTTTCATACCCGTGGTATACAGTCAGTTATAAACTGGGTGGTTCAAGCCCTGAATGCTGATTGGCTGACAGCCGTGGTATATTTAAGCAATAAGGCACGAGGGGGTGTATACCACGGCTAAGGGCTGTATCCAGGCACTCCGCATTGCGTCGTGCATAAGAACAGCCCTTAGCCGTGGTATATGTCCAGTGTCATCTCTCATTTGTTATAATTTAACCATAGAAGGCACTCAGTACATCGTTGAAGATGGTCAGATTCTGTATTATACAAGTGTTAGCTAGCCTTCAAGAAATGCACACAATTTGCGGTGTTTGAGAAAATCAAGACCGGGATAGAATGACAGAAGACACTCTCCAGTCATCATTTTGGATCCAACCCCATCTCAGAATCAGTCACATCTTGGCCCGAGCCTTTCATGGTCTCCCTCTCAGCTGTTACCCATGGTCTGTCTATGATGACCACTTCTCAAATGTTGACATTATGGCTCCATAGCAGCTTAGGCCTTCTCTCAGTTTCATTCTATTTTCTGCCTTTGGACATTGGCTACTCCCTACCATCCCCCATGGGAACAAGAAAACCATCCTTCTGCTTTGTCTTGAGCATTTGGAAGAAAATTATGGGAGGCAAATGCACCCTCAGAGCCGCGCCATTGTGTGAAATCAGCCCTACCTACACAACTTGACAGTTTTGGCAACAACTGAATGTGTAGCCAAGACCTGGACCTGGACAAGAGAAGATACACCATCTCATTCTACTGTACCTCCTTTTTCCTGTTATGAAGCTACTTCATACCTCAGCTGACTCAAGATTTGGAATGGATCCTCTTCGTGAATAGAAAATAGCTTGAGCTTATATGGACACGTACAGTACTGAACCAAATAGCTTCTGGTCACTTTATACTTGACTAACATTACCCATTATGTTATGTGAGTCCTCTCTTTCCGTTTAGTTCCCAAGTAACTAAAGCCATCAGTGGCTTGGAATGGAATGGAAATAGAACCCCCCGTCCTTGAACATTTGTCTATCCCCCTGGTGTGTGTTTGTGATACCATGAAGAACATTTGTTTCTGTGGCGACCAATAGCTAATGGTCTAATCGCTTCAGCTTTTGTTGGCGTCTAAATGTTCCATTCTACTCATCTATCATACTTAATTGACGTGGTCAGCAAGAGCCATATGGAGCCTCTCTGTGAATAATAGTAGTCTTCCCTCACATATATTTGTTCGCAGAAGAGCACACCTTGGGCTATTCTGATTCCAGCACCGACATTTGTCTTTGGAGCAGCCTTGACGGTGGCATGTCTATTTAAATTGTTGTTCAACAAAGAAGAAAGGGATCAAGGCTGAATCCGAAACAACATGGAAGAGCAGCAGGCCTGGGATCAGCCCCCTCGCATAGCTGGAGCCCAAAAGACCCGTGTAATCTGTCAGATGTAATAAAAGAATGACATTCATCATGAGGACATAGTGTAAACTGTTCACACACTGTCACTGTCATTCACATTCACAATGGGCTTCTTATAGGTTAGAGGGGATCTTTTCTAACGACGATCCTAATCACATTAAGCTTCTTGGGTTGTAGCCTAGCCGTTTTTAACACTCGTCAGGCAGATTACTTTTTTTTACACTGGGAAAGATAGCAAGAACTTTGATATGATGAGTTGAACAGGGGACCCCCAAAACAAGCAACCGTCCTACAGCTACATTCATCTCTCAACAGCTTCAGTCTATTACCAGGGCACCACCTCACCATTCCTCTCTTTTTAAATAAACAGTACCAGCAGAGAGTCGCTATTGTCACAAGACTACAATTAATAGCCGTCTGCTTTTACGAGGCCGCGCAGGGAGCTATGTCCTGGCTGCCAGGCTTGTGGATAATACACAGGGGTTTATTTGATGCCCGTTGAAAGGGGAGACTGAGGGAACATCAGCAGCTGCAGCCCCAGTCACGCTGAGACTATGGTAGTCCCAAATTGTACCCTATTCCCTACACAGTGCACTACTTTTGATGGGCACTGGTCAAAGGTAGTGCACTATGTAGGGAATAGGGTGCCACTTGGAAAATAACCTAGGACTCTGGAGGGACACTATGGCAGCTTTCCCTTTATAAGTCTGTCCTCATGCCTGGCTCAACCTGCCCTGACAGTCAGCCACAGGCAGATTTATGGCAGTGTTCTATTATACACAGACACATCAACTGGAGGATAGGCTTTAACCTTCAACAAGGACAGTTCTTGTACCGCTAACTCAATCTATATGCAGTATGGGTCCCACTTCAAACTAAAAAGGAATTAGCTTTTAAGGCTTACAGACGCCTTCATAAACCCTTCATAAACCCTATATAAATTCTTCATAAACCCTTCATAAACCCTTTATAAACCCTTCATAAACCCTATATACATTCTTCATAAACCCTTTATAAACCATACATAAGCCCTTCATAAACCCTATATAGATGCTTCATAAGTAAATGATATGCTAAAGGTGGCATCAAGGACCGTGCCATATAACGCATCATATATAAGGAGCTGTTATATCACTCTTTATGCAGTAGGACTTTGTGAATGCTCTTTAGAGTTGGTTTGATATGAATCGGTTATTTATCTTATTGAATCGGTTATTTATCTTATTGAATCGGTTATTTATCTTATTGAATCGGTTATTTATCTTATTGAATCGGTTATTTATCTTATTGTATTTGACTCTCTAACAAATATATAGACAAAATTGATTGGTTCTCTGACATTATTGTGTGTGCGTGCATGTGTGTGTGTGTGTGTGTGTGTGTGTGTGTGTGTGTGTGTGTGTGTGTGTGTGTGTGTGTGTGTGTGCGTGTGTGTGTGTGTGTCTCCTAGCTGGAAGAGGAGTTGCTGGCCCTGCAGAAGAAGCTCAAGGGAGTGGAGGATGAGTTGGATAAATACTCCGAGTCGCTGAAGGACGCCCAGGAGAAGCTGGAGCAGGCGGAGAAGAAGGCCACAGACGTGAGTGGCACAGGGCAACACTAGGGGTCACTATGACCACGTTGACGTCAAAGCAAGCACACACACACGCGTGCGCGCGCACACACACGCACCATCGAGGCACATACACACACATACCCCAGTTACAGGTATGGTGGACATGGTAGTGCTTTTAAGGTAATGTATCACTGCAGTGCTCAGACGAGCAACTGACTCCAGAGACTACATTATTCCCTCCTCTTTGTTTATCTTAACAGATAATAATATGTCAGCATATGCCCCCCCTAAGTTATTGCAATAAATTAACCTAGAAATCAAACACTTCATTTGGATTTTGGATTTTTAGATCCTCTAGCCATATATTTTCACAATTTCACCATTGCTGGCTGTCATTACAGCACACTTGTAATGTTATACTATGTAAAAGTATACACAGCTAAATGTCAGGTCATAAATTAGCAGGCTGTCAGGATTAGGTCCCATTGTCTCCCCCTGGTGGAACAAACCTGCACTGCACCGTGTGGGCAGTAGGCTTCTGTCAAACCTCCCAAGTTTTGTCCCAATTATCTCACCTTCCTCCCAAAGTGAGCACTTGTTCACTTCCCCTCACTGATTTTGAAAGGAAATGAATAATATGAGAAATATGGTGGAAACTCCTACCAACCCAGGCCTCCACCGAAGGAGATATTATTGCGACGCACCCCTCCTCTCCGGCCATTCCCACCATCCCCAGTTGGAACGCCACTGAGCAGGCCACCTTGCTTGTTGACAGCTGTGGCGTAGAGAGTGCCGAAACCTCGACCTGTATCACATGTTGTAAACGCAGCATAAAGCTTGTCAGCACCTTGGAGTGAATGCAGTGAATGATTTGGTTTGAGTTTCTTTGATTGCCCTGTTCTCTGGTCCGCACTTTGCCCGACTCCGGTCAAATACAGGTCTAATATGTCAACATGGTGTCAGAACGGTTCACAGAAACCGTTTAATACGGTGCACTGCAGGCAACCTTTAGGCCAGATTAGCAGTGGTAGTAAACTTTAAGTAAACATTCAGTTGCTGGTATAACTTTTTGTCATCATTCATACTGTACCTTAGGCCTCCATGATGTGTTTGTTAATGATGTCTCATAACCTTTCTTATGATCATATGATAATATATGATCTGGTATACGCATTCAAGTTATGTCATCATAGGCCTTTCCCCATTGAGTAGGGCTACATACACTCTTAGAATAAAGGGTTCCAAAAGGGTTCTTTGGCTGTCCCCATAGGATCATCCTTTTGGCTCCACGTAGAACACTTTTTGGTTCCAGGTAGAACACTTTTGGTTCCAGGTAGAACCCTTTTTGGTTCCATGTAGAACCCTTTCCAAAGAGGGTTCTACATGGAACCAAAAAGGGTTCTACCTGGAACCAAAAGTGTTCTACCTGGAACCAAATAGGGTTCTTCAAAGGGTTCTCTAAGAGTGTAGCAAGACAACCTGTAACACAGAAAAGCCAGCCACCCTAAGAACCCAATTACGATTTATTCTTATTCATATCCAATCTTTTTTTCTGAATGTCCACACTCAGTTTTATATGTGACCCATATCATATTTGCGCATTCACACTGATGTAGCATCCGAAGTAGTACACAGATGCAATGCTCATTTCCTGTCACTGTTCCTTAATATTTTGGGGTAGTTGTTGTGGTAACGGCATGGCATATGCAAAAAGAAAACACTTCAGAGTAAAAGTAATCAGATCTGAGCATCCAGACTGAATTGTATCAGGATTGAGATCCACATATGGAGGTGGTATAAATTGGCAGTCAAAAGATCAGATTCCGTATTTTTTGTTGTTGTTGTTTACACATTAGGGAAAAGATCAGATAGGTATCAGATATGCCAAATAATTGTCAAAAGATCTGAATTGGGCTGCCTGTGTAAACACAGCCAAATATTCTCAATTTCACATTTCAATTTAGCCTGGGTGCCGGTTTCTGATCTCTTGCCAAAACCTTATGGAATTGTCATGCCAAATGTTTGGCTTATCTGACAATGGAGTACATTATCCAGAGCAAATTACAGTTCATGCATTCATCTTCAGATAGCTAGGTGGCACAACTACATATCTCAGACATAGTAAGTACATTTCTCCTCAATAAAGTAGCTATCAGCAAAGTCAGAGCTAGTAAGGGGGAAAAGAGTCAAGTACAAGTGTTAGTTCACAATTATTATTATTATTATTATTAATTGGGGGGGGGGGTTGAGAAGGGGGTGCGCTATAGGATTATTTTAAGATTCTCTTTTAATAGTAGGGTTTTCAGATGTTTTCGGAAGATGGGCAGGGACTCTGCTGTCCTAGCTTCAGGGGGAAGCTGGTTCCACCATTGGGGTGCCTGGACAGAGAAGAGCTTGGACTGAGCTGAGTGGGAGGTGGCCTCCCGTAGGGGTGGGAGGGCCAAGAGACCAGAGGTGGCAGAACGGAGTACTTGGATTGGGGTGTAGAGTTTGAGCAGCAGCTGCCCTCTCCGAGAGAGTTGGTCTAGGCTAAAATAGCTGGGACCAGGCTAATTTCAACTCTGTACAGTACTGTTATGCTTCAGAGTTCCAATCCCGTTTCACCATGTCCATATAAGGACTGTCAGCATTCTAGAATACCTGTTCTCAAAATCCTTCCTAAAAACACAGCTTATCATTTCCTACTCTTCCCGCTGAAGTTCCACCCCTCCCGACCGCCTCCTCTTCCCGCTGACGTTCCACATCCTCTCGACCGCCTCCTCTTCCCGCTGAAGTTCCACCCCTCTCGACCGCCTCCTCTTCCCGCTGACGTTCCACCCCTCCCGACCGCCTCCTCATCCCGCTGACGTTCCACCCCTCCCGACCGCCTCCTCATCCCGCTGACTTTCCACCCCTTCCGACCGCCTCCTCTTCCCGCTGACGTTCCACCCCTCCCGACCGCCTCCTCATCCCGCTGACGTTCCACCCCTCCCGACCGCTTCCTCTTCCCGCTGACGTTCCACCCCTCCCGACCGCCTCCTCTTCCCGCTGAAGTTCCACCCCTCCCGACTGCCTCCTCTTCCCGCTGACGTTCCACCCCTCCCGACCGCCTCCTCTTCCCGCTGACGTTCCACCCCTCCCGACCGCCTCCTCTTCCCGCTCCATCATCATGCCACTGTGATGATGTCACCAGAGTTGTAACCCGTGCCAATAGAGGACAGTCACCAATAGCTGTCACTGATCTATTTAGAGACTGTGGCAATACCTGATGAGAGAGATGATTAGTTAATTTTCAGACTTACTCATAATAGAAACCTGACAGACACTACTGGTTTTAAATATGTAAAGTCTAGTTATCTATACATAATTATTTTCAATAATTGAGTCGGGATGCTTTTTCAATGGCAAACCCATTGAAAAAGCAATGGGTTATGTAGCCTATAGTTGATTATGCCACATATTTAAACACACAGAAATTACAATGTTACTAATTATGTTACTCGTGTAAATCTTAAGCATGCGTGACATCAGACATCTCACATTCAAAAACCTTTAACTTGTAACATTATAATGTTACCAAAGAAGGAAAATAATTGAAAGAATGCAGTCTTGTTTATAGTGAAGTGAAGTCCAGTTCACAGCTTCACAAATAGTATATCTTTCAGACAGTGTTTGGACAAAGCTCTCCCTCTCTCTCTCTCTCTCTCTCTCTCTCTCTCTCTCTCTCTCTCTCTCTCTCTCTCTCTCTCTCTCTCTCTCTCTCTCTCTCTCTCTCTTCTCTCTCTCTCTCTCTCTCTCTCTCTCTCTCTCTCTCTCTCTCTCTCTCTCTCTCTCTCTCTCTCTCGCTCTCTCTCGCTCTCCCTCTCTGGACAGGTTTAAAGAGTCAGACCTCTTGTCAACTAAATTGTATTACATAAACACACATTGGATACACTCAAATCAATTATAATGATAAGTTGATAAGTTACAGATTCAACTGATGATAAATGCATAAAACTAAAAGCCATAGGTAGTTTTCTGAGGTTACCATCAACAGCACATTGTATAGCTTTGAAATAGGATAATTATGCAATAGTCTACCACACACAAGTAAATAATTATAAGATCACCATTAAGTAGCTTGTCCTATTGAAGCCCTTTCGTGGAGGAAAAACAGGTACATAATCTGAAAACACTTGACGACAAAACAGTAGCTAGCTACTAAAGTACACAGTTTAGATCTCAAACGTTGAAACAAATAAATCCTGATCATTCATATACTGTTATTCTAGATAAATATGTTTAAATAATGGTTAGTAGGCTACAGTTAAACACTTTTTAAGACTATTAACTGATTGACTCTCAAACCCCCAGTCACAAGTAAATCTAAAGCCCCCTTAACCACAAAAACAGGAGTGATTTTTTATATTCATACAGTTAATAGCTTTACAGAAGCTCAGAAATGTTAGCATCAATAATATTGACGTAGGATTGACAAACAGAAAACTTCTTTATTTATTTAGAATAATATTATTTAGCTTTATATTTTTGAATGTGCATAGACACAGCTGATTAGAAATGTATATGTGTATGCCATGCCACCTAAATTACAATAACAAAGTAGAAGCTCATTCATCAACGTCTCTCTTCAGCAAGTTTACTTGCTACACCTGTTTTCTCCTGTGCGACATATACACTCACGCATGCAGGCTATGCTCAGCTCTGCACACAGATCTGTCACAAAGTATCTGTTTGAGAGGTTATCTTTTTACCCCTATTGTCCAGGCTTTCAGTAGTGAGTTTAGTGAGCTTCCTCCGATGTTTACTTTGAAACACAAGTATACACCTCACACACATGGTTATGGGCTTAAAAAAGGAAGACACCTGTACTATGTCAGATATAGAGTTAAAATATATTCAATTTTGAGTTTGCATCCCAATATTACACATTATATACATCACAAAATATAACTAAACAGTTTCACATAAAAACACTGGATTTTCTGCGTTCAAAAAAAAGAAAAGTTGATTAATTATGAAATTATGAAAAATATGAATAACATTCCACCCATGAGGCCACTAGAGGGCGATGTGGTCACGTGACTGCAGGAAAGGGTTTTAATAGAGGAAACAGGGGAAATAATTTGGCCACAACAAACAAAATAAAGTGTAATGGAGTGTGGCTGGCTATACATCCACCACTGGGGTATATTATGATTCTTGAATGAATCTGGCCATGTTCGTATGTGCACCTTATCAAAGTAGGGTAGCCTATCCTTCAGTCTCAATAACATTACATTTAAACGTTGATGACCCAATGGACATAACATAACAATGTAAATACAGTGCCTTCGGAAAGTATTCAGACCCCTTGACTTTTTCCACATTTTGTTAGGTTACAGTCTTATTCAAAAATTGATTAAATAAAAATTTTTCCTCATTAATCTACACGCAATACCCCATAATGACAAAGCAAAAACTTTATTTTTATTTTTTTAAATGCTAATTTATAACAATAAAAAAAGAAGTAAATATTACATTTACATAAGTATTCAGACCCTTTACTCAGTACTTTGTTGAAGCACCTTTGTCAGCGATTACAGCCTCGAGTCTTCTTGGGTAGCTAAAAAGTAGTAAGTAGGTGAAAAGTTGCTAATGAGCTAAAATGCTAAAGTTGTCCAAGGTGAGATTCGAACTCGCAACCATCGGGTTGCTAGACGTTTGCATTATACCTTCGTTTTTGCCCTAAGTAACCATCTGTTTTATGTAACCATAACAAATGTAACATATCATACTAATTAAGGTGTCCCGGGTTTACGTTTACTATATTATGTCTAGTCTATGAGACCAGGCTGTATTAGTGGGTTATTCAGTGGTACTATGAATGGACATACAGCATTGAGACACACATCCTTTCTTTTAATAGAACACAAAGAGATGCCCAGCAAAATAAAATGCTGCTCTTCAAAAGTGGAATAACGTTGTTTCTAGACTGCTGCTATTCCTTTAAAATGCGGCCGACCTGTGACATCATCTGAAAGATAAGAGAGGAGAGGAGGCGGAGAAAAATATTCAGTAACTTTGTACCCTAGGTACAGAATTGTGATAAGGCATTAGCAGAAGCAGGCAGGAGAGTGCAAGCAGGTCGCTGAATGAACAAGATCGTTTAGGCTTGCATATGGATATAAGCCGCACAAAATAACTACATTGTAGACTATCACTGGGCGGTCGCTACTACAAACCGCGTGACTCAACAATCAAGGTGCCTCTGTAGCGCTCAGGCAACGCGACAACGTCGCATTAGTTGCAGCTTTGCCTATTGAATATAATTGTTACATAGATACAGTTGCAATGGCTGGAATAACATCTATTGAAGCCGTGAAAAGGAAAATTCAGACATTGCAGCAACAAGCTGATGATGCAGAGGACCGTGCCGAAACGCTCCAGAGAGAGGTTGATGCGGAGAGACAGGCCAGAGAGCGGGTAAGAGACGCCTGGAATAAACCGATTAATCCGAGTTGCAGCCTATGATGCACCATTTCTAGGGGAGCATGAATGCAGCCCACAAAATAATTGTTTACACACGGAATACAATTACGTAATATCGCAAAGTCTAACTCTGCTGGTACACGGGGGGCTGAAAATGTGGAGTGTTTTACGTAAAGTGTGCATTTGGAAAGCTACAGCGGAGTCAGCATACTCTAGTAAATTACTCCATGTTTTAGCTTACTCATGGTCATAGTCCTGGAGAGAGCCACGTAAGGTTAATACCAGTTAAAGTAGACTAGCTCTTGGCAAATGTTCTTCAAACGTTAGATATGCCAGAGTAGACTCCCATATGAACTCAATACTTCACTAAAACTGGATGTAAACACCTTGCATTGAATTGAAAGATGCCCTATAAAGGAGACTGTAATTTGATATCTGTCCCTGTATAGCCTGCTAACTTAAGTTACTATTTATCATACTCTATTATTCATCCTCTATTCAGTTTGAATGTGGACAGTGGCAGTCCTTCAAAATGGAGGGTGGGTGTTGGCCATGATACAGTGCATTGGGAAAGTATTCAGACCCCTTGACTCTTTCCACATTTTGTACCTTTACAGCCTTATTCTAAAATGGATCAAATATATTTTCCCCTCAATCTACACACAATACCCCATAATAAAAACAGGTTTTTAGAAATTTTTGCAAATGTATAAAAATAATAAAACTGAAATATCACATTTACATAAGTATTCAGACCCATTACTCAGTACTTAGTTGAAGCACCTTTGGCAGCAATTACAGCCTCGAGTGTTCTTGGTTATGACGCTACAAGCTTGGCACACCTGTATTTGGGGAGTTTCTCCCATTCTTCTCTGCAGATCCTCTCAAGCTCTGTCAGGTTGGATGTGGAGCGTCGCTGCACAGCTGTTTTCAGGTCTCTCCAGAGATGTTCGATCGGGTTCAAGTCTGGACTCTGGCTGGGCCACTCAAGGACATAAAGAGATTTGTCCCAAAGCCACTCCTGCATTGTCTTGGCTGTGTGTTTAAGGTCGTTGTCCTGTTGGAAGGTGAACCGTCACCCCAGTCGGAGGTCCTGAGCGCTCTGGAGCAGGTTTTCATCAAAGGATCTTGCTGTAATTTGCTCCGTTCATCTTTCCCTCGATCCTGACTAGTCTCCCAGTCCCTGCCGCTGAAACACATCCCCACAGCAGACGTGAAGCTTGGCATTCAGGCCAAAGAGTTCAATCTTGGTTTCATCAGACCAGAGAATCTTGTTTCTCATGGTCTTAGAGTCCTTTAGGTGGCTTTTGGCAAACTCCAAGCGGGCTGTCATGTGTCTTTTACTGAGGAGTGGCTTCCGTCTCGTCACTCTACCATAAAGGCCTGATTGGTGGAGTGCTGCAGAGATGGTTGTCCTTCTGGAAGGTTCTCCCATCTCCACAGAGGAACTCTGGAGCACTGTCAGAGTGACCATCGGGTTCTGGGTCACCTCCCTGACCAAGGCCCTTCTCCCCCGATTGCTCAGTTTGGCCCGGGGGGCCAGCTCTAGGAAGAGTATTGGTGGCTCCAAACCATTTAAGAATGATGGAGGCCACTGTGTTCTTGGTGACCTTCAATGCAGCGGAATTTTTTTGATACCCTTCCCAAGATCTGTGCCTCGACACAATCCTGTCTTGGAGCTCTACGGACAATTCCTCCGACCTCATGGCTTGGTATTTGCTCTGACATGCACTGTCAACTGTGGGACCTTATATAGACAGGTGTGTGCCTTTCCAAATCATGTCCAATCAATTGGATTTACCACAGGTGGACTCCAATCAAGTTGCAGAAACATCTCAAGGATGATCAATGGAAACAGGATGCACCTGAGCTCAATTTTGAATCTCATAGCAAAGGGTCTGAATACTTATGTAAATAAGCTATTTCTGTTTCTGTTTTTATTAATTTGCAAAAATTTATAAAAACATGTTTTCGCTTTGTCATTATAGGGTATTGTGTGTGTGTGTGTGTGTGTGTGTGTGTGTGTGTGTATACGTAAAAATGTATGCACACATGACTGTAAGTCGCTTTGGATAAAAGCGTCTGCTAAATGGCATATTATATTGATAAGGGAAAAAAGTTAATTTAATCGAGTTTAGAATAAGTCTGTAACGTAACAAAGTGGAAAAAGTCAAGGGGTCTGAATACTTTCCGAATGCACTGTATATGCATGGAAGTTGCTCTCTTGATTGCCTACGATTCTGTCATTTATGAAGTAGTGTTATTGATGTGCTGTTTTCCCATAGCAAGCAGGCTAGACCTTGACATGGTCTCTATTCCATCAGACGCTGTAAAAAGTTAGTTTCTGGTGAGCCATGATGCTAATGGACATGCATCGTAATGCCTACACTAGAGACCAATGCTGGCTGTTGAGATTGCTGCCCTTGAATGAGCGCGCCTCAGTAGGCTAATCCGTTTATTGCCCACCTTCCACAAGGGTATTGGGCTGTCAATGGGAATTAAGGTGTACAGCGCATGAATACGTATAGAGAAGTGGCTGCACATAAGCTGATAATGTTTGGCTGTAATGAGCCCTTAACAAAATAGCATAGTCCTCAATGTATTATCTGCTCTTTCTAGTTTTTTTTTTTTTTACATGAAAGAAATCCATGGTTCATTCAACCTTTTCCACACAATTAGATATAAACCTCGCCTGAACACTATAATTGATGGCTGGTCATTTAAATTGAACAAATCACTGGGAAATGAGCCAGTGTAGGGAGCTGAAAGGACGAGGGCCGCTTTTATTGAGCAGGTCTCTCTTCCTGACTCCACTCCCTGTCTAGCCAGAGTCGCTGTCTGTATTTCTCTGTCTAACCTCTGGCAGTTGAGCAGGTTAATCATTTTCCTGACCAGAGTTTTAGCTGAGAGAAAATGGCCTTGGGTCTGTTCGGTCAGCTCAAAGTCACTCTACCATTTTAAAGGAGTAGTTCACTATTTTACAACATGATGTTAGGTGGTTCCTTACCCTGAAAGTAGGCTGTGAGTCAGGAGAAATTGTAATCCATAGTTTGGTTTTCTTTAAACAGCCACTTCAATGATCAGCTAACTTTAGCCACAGCTAGCGAAAGATCAATGATAATGATAGGGAGCCTGTGATCCCCTGGGACCAAAATCACCTGAAATCAACTCCATTATTATTATTTTTTTTACATGTTACTTAAAGTTGATTAAAAAAAACATGTTCACATGCCCCTATTATTACCATTGATTAGTGGCTGTTGAATGAAAACCGAACCATGGATTACAATTACTCCTGGCGCATAGATGGTTCCTCACCTTGAAAGTAGTCTAAAATCATGTAACATAGTGGAACAACTCCTTTAACAGAGCAACTGGACCTCAACCTTTCTGCCCACCATGATGGGAATATGACTATCATTAACGTAAACGGCTTTGAAGTGCACTCATACACACGGATTTAAGGACATATTTCAGTAAGGGACCAAGTTCACCTAAGGGGAGGAACACTGACTGTCAATCATACTACGGTATGGCTTAGGGCCTCGGACAGAAATACAAAAGTTGCTCAACAAAAGAGTAATAAGCTTATTGTTCCTGTTCGGTCCCATTGCCAAACAATCTACACTGAGAATGTGGTGGTTCTCTCTGAAGCGGTAATCTCTTAACAGTTTGCCTGGCACGAGTGCCACATATCAATTATTTGACTAAACTGAGCCAAATGAAGTGCGGTATTAACCGGTCCGAGTGAAAGGCTCTGGAATGTCACAGATGGCATTCCACGGCTTCCCCGACGAAGGCCCAGCAGAATGGTAACAGATTTCTGGGATTTGGCCGAGAGGGGGGGTCTGATTAGCTGTCTTCTGCTGCCGAGGGGGGACAATGGCTCTTTTGTTTCGCCGGCAACTCCGTCTGTATCCCCAAGTGTGAACTTTAAGAATGTGGTGCTCTCGCCATCCAATCATCTGTCATCATCATCTAGTCATGGACTCGCTGCTTGATCAGCCCCCCACCTGCAAGTCTTTGGAGAGTCGCTGCCTCGTGGAAATGGACTGTTCTACTGATATCCACGTGGCTGAGTCTAATGTAGTTCACGTGCTGCTGTCCATTTTCAACGTTTACAGCAACCCCTTTGTTAGGCCAACAGTCTGTTGTTATTAGGAGGCCTACAATCTTAGTATTACACATTCTTACTACAAGACAAAAGGTAGAGCCCAAAAGCACCCACTTGAGGTATCAAAAAGTGCAGAGTTATTTTCTCAGGAAGGCCAAAGCTACAGTAGCAACAAACAGTGTTTCAGGGGTAAGGAGAAGCTCAAAGGGGCCCTAACTGGACAAATAAAACTATGGCACTGTCTTTACTGTCCCTTGTGACATAAGGGAACACATTCCTCCTCCAACTGCCTCAATGCTGGGATTGTCTGCGTTTCTCATTAACTGTGGTATGCCACTTGACTTCCCCATAGAGCAATGTACAATCCATCAGAAGGCCTCTGCTAATCCATTTACATTTACATTTACGTCATTTAGCAGACGCTCTTATCCAGAGCGACTTACAAATAGGTGCATTCACCCTATAGCCAGTGGGATAACCACTTTACAATATCTTTTTTTTTTAGGGGGGGGGTGTAGAAGGATTACTTTATCCTATCCAATCCAATGAATCATAGTCATTCTGTGTCAAGAAGATTATTTTCTAAAGCTTTCAATGTTTTGAAAAGGTTCTGAAGAAAACAATGAAAAGACAGTCAACAAATGTGTTAATCAGGATCCATGGTTACAGCGAGGGAAAAAAGTATTTGATCCCCTGCTGATTTTGTACGTTTGCCCACTGACAAAGAAATGATCAGTCTATAATTTTAATGGTAGGTTTATTTGAACAGTGACAGACAGAAAACAAAGTTTGCCAATGAACATCTGAATGATTCAGAGGAGAACTGGGTGAAAGTGTTGTGGTCAGATGAGACCAAAATTGAGCTCTTTGGCATCAACTCAACTCGCCGTGTTTGGAGGAGGAGGAATGCTGCCTATGACCTCAAGAACACCATCCCCACCGTCAAACATGGAGGTGGAAACATTATGCTTTGGGGGTGTTTTTCTGCTAAGGGGACAGGACAACTTCACCGCATAAAAGGGACGATGGACGGGGCCATGTACCGTCAAATCTTGGGTGAGAACCTCCTTCCCTTAGCCAGGGCACTGAAAATGGGTCGTGGATGGGTATTCCAGCATGACAATGACCCAAAACACACGGCCAAGGCAACAAAGGAGTGGCTCAAGAAGAAGCACATTAAGGTCCTGGAGTGGCCTACCCAGTCTCCAGACCTTAATCCCATAGAAAATCTGTGGAGGGAGCTGAAGGTTCGAGTTGCCAAATGTCAGCCTCGAAACCTTAATTACTTGGAGAAGATCTGCAAAGAGGAGTGGGACAAAATCCCTCCTGAGATGTGTGCAAACCTGGTGGCCAACGACAAGAAACGTCTGACCTCTGTGACTGCCAACAAGGGTTTTGCCACCAAGTACTAAATCATGTTTTGCAGAGGGGTCAAATACTTATTTCCCTCATTAAAATGCAAATCAATTTATAAAATTTTTGACATTTGTTTTTCTGGATTTTGTTGTTGTTATTCTGTCTCTCAATGTTCAAATAAACCTACCATTAAAATGATAGACTGATAATTTCTCTGTCAGTGGGCAAACGTACAAAATCAGCAGGGGATCAAGTACTTTTTTTCCCTCACTGTATTTCAATGGCGACAACACCTGAAATAAATGTATGCTAGATGGATGAACCCAAGGGCATATTGAAGGAGGTTATCCTTTGCAGTAGGAAACTTTGATATGGTTGCTTACACTGCAATGATTTGATAAATACGTCAGCTGTAAGCCTACCACATGTAGCCTAGTAACCATACCCCTGATAGGTTTCCTTCCTCCCTGGCAGCTCAGTTTGGGTGTCTGGGTGATATGATACACCAACCAGGCTTAGAAAGATCTCTAATGTGGAATAAATGGGGGCAATTGGCAACCCAGATACTCATTTGGAGTGAATGAACTCGACAGTGCAGTGTTATCTTTAAAACAAATAATGCCTTTCTAGAAAGCTGTCATCTGCCTATGATGTGGCGTCCACATCAGTTTGGTTGACGGTACCCAATTCCTGTGGGATTAACTGACAAAGTTATGAAATGTATGTACTGCGTACATTGTACTTTTTTTGTGCAAGCTAGTGTGCATTGACATGAAACGTTCTGAACGTTTCCGATAATGGAGTGAATAAAGCTAACACTGTTTTATGTAGAACAGATATGATGACTGTGGGTGATGTAAATAAGGCCCAGGAAACAATTTATATTCAAACCTTGCACCCTCCTAAATAGGCCAGTGGTGTTGTGCAGGGGTTAGTGCTACAGTATGTTATTGTGGCTGACTGAGCGTTTTCTCTCCCCCAACAGGCAGAGGCTGAGGTGGCTTCCCTGAACAGGCGTATCCAGCTAGTAGAGGAGGAGTTGGACAGGGCCCAGGAGAGACTGGCCACCGCGCTGCAGAAGCTGGAGGAGGCCGAGAAGGCTGCAGATGAGAGCGAGAGGTGGGACTTCCGTCTCCTGTTATAGGTCATGTTCCCCTGCGCCGACGTTGCTCGTGCATGCCAAATGTTACAACACCTGGATAGGTATTTTACGTATCAGCTGACCACATCATGTGTTCTAGTAATCTGATGCCCGACGGCACGGTTGATGACGTGGCACGCAACCATTGGTTGATGTCATGCAACGTCTGAGCATAGATCACAACCATAGTCCAGCCATTCTGCTCCAGAGCAGGGTTTCCCGATTATTTCAGACTAGTAATTGTGGAAGGAAGTAGGAGGAAAAGCTAGCTAAGACATTCAACAAGCCCAAATAGTTTTTCAGAATTCCCTTCACAGCAGTTACTATTAGCATAGAAGAGTAGACGGGTCAGAAAGTATTTTTGATATGAAAGAAAGTACACATCGAAAGTATGTTTCCCCCACCATCACCCATGACATCTCTCTGTCCTGTTGCCTGTGGTGTCCCCCAGAGGAATGGTGATATAGAACAGGGTTGGAGATGGAGGTCCATACTGTAGCTAACCCTGTGGTGTTGTTGCTCCAGAGGAATGAAGGTGATCGAGAACAGGGCGTCAAAAGACGAGGAGAAGATGGAGATCCAAGAGATGCAGCTAAAGGAGGCCAAGCACATTGCTGAGGAGGCTGACAGGAAGTATGAGGAGGTAGGTGTCCTTCTGCCCTTAAGTATTGATTGCGTTCCAGGTTGTCTTTTTTGAAGGTTGCTATATCATGTTTACTCTAGTTTCTGAGATGTTACCTTTGACAGTGCGACTGCAACAAAGACAACCTGGAACGTGCCCATTGACTAAAGCCAGACTACTGTAGAGCCGTGTCATACATGTTGGAATACACCACTTCTCACGACTTTTAGCCCCTTTCACAAGCATATTAAAATCTGAAATTGTTTGGAAAATGGAATCTGTTGTGTTCCCTTCATGGTAGCGGTAACACCTGTGGTGTTTATTTATAACAGTACACACACGTACACCCACACTGCACACCCCTTCCACCCTGTAGCATCAGTTTAGCCTGCTACATGTGGTGTCAGAGATCAAAGGAGACTCCTCTGTAGAGGCCCCTCATCCTTACCTCTGCCCAGGCCTCATTATCTTAACATGGCAAGATACATTACCAAGGATTCTAGCAGGTCTTAAACATACCTTTTTGGTCTTTTCCTTGCCTCAATATTATTTATTTTCAATACGTGTTGATATGTGGAAAACTCGTAATTTCTACAGTAAACTTGTAGTTTTCAGCATAACCACTCTGTTTCCCAGGATCCAGATTAAACATAGTCCTGGACTAAAAAGCAAGGTCGATCTCCGTTGAATGTGATTTTTTGTTGTCCAGGATTAGTGTTAATCTGGGTCCTGGAAACCGGCCGCCTAGTGTAGAGCTAAATTTAGCTTGCTTAGCTAAAGGTCATACACCGGTACCACGGTATAGGGTGAAGTTGCCCCTAGATGCTGATCCTGGGCCAGTTTAGCATTTTCCCCACTAATGGTTAATGTTACGATTGGGGAAGGGGAAGCTGATCCTAGATCTGTACCTAGGAGTAACTGATTAGCAGTTTAGCCTGTAGCATATGTTGATTGCTCCTGGCCCGGGGCTTAGACCTGGAGGTCACATGAGCCCACATCCCAGAGGATTACACTGACAGACAAAGTAGCTGGCTAATGGACTTATACAGAATGAGACCTGTAATTGACGGCTCTCCCTCGGATCTCTCTCTCAGCCAGTCTACTGCACTTCCCCACTGACGGCACCAGCTACACCCTGGGAGCTGGCCACACAGTTTATCATGGGGGTTGTAGACCTGCCACTTCCGGTACACAGTATATAGGCCTACAGTTTGTTGGGCAACCTATGGGGGTTATAGGCCTACAGTTTGCTGGGCATTAGGCAATTTATCTATGCTTTTTTTGCTCTTTTTTTTTTTTACCCACCGCTACCGCCCCTCATCGTAAGAACTTTTTATTACATTTTTATTTAAAGATTTCTCTTAAAATCTTAAAGTTAATCAAAAAAAATTCTCCCTCTCCTCTTCATCTTGTTTTTGACTATTGAACGTACTGTTCAATACAGAATTTAGTTTGACGTGTTTGGACGCTAGTGCCAGCTTGAAGGTCTGTTTCTGCACGTTCTCAGTGCCACCATCTCTGCTCAGATGTTGCATGGGAAAAGTTGCGTGTTTGTTGGAAGCGTTTGTCCTGTGTACTGTAACCTGTGTGTGTGTGTGTGTTGTCTGACTACAGGTGGCCCGTAAGCTGGTGATCCTTGAAGGTGACCTTGAGCGCTCTGAGGAGCGTGCTGAGGTGGCTGAGGCGTAAGTTTAACCTCCTTCATTACTGACACACACCGGATGCATCCCAAATGGCACCCTATTCCCTTTATAGTGCACTACGTTTGACCAGGGCCCATAGAGCCCATATGGATCTGGTCAAAAGTAGTGCACTATATAGGGAATAGAATGGAAATGTCCATGGCTGAGTCCCAATTCTGCACCCTTATCCAGAAGTGTGCACTTGCACACTCCCCGTCAGGGATTTAACAGCATATGATTGGTGTAAGCATTGGCTGGAGTGAGTTTTCACCATTTTAAGTTTATGCAAGAAAGTGTCCAAGTGCACACTTTGGGAGAAGGGTGGAGAATGAAAACGCAGCGCTGCACATCACACTTCAACAACTTTGTTAAAACCAACAAATTCCTTGTATTTACGTTCCATTGAAATGTGGTTGTTTAAGTCAAATGTGTTGTTTAAATGTGAATGACATGTTGATGGGTCATCATTTACTAGCCCCCCCATCTCTTACTTACTCGAGCACATTTGGGAATTTATGCATATATTTGACCTTCTAATGCATTTTGAAATATACGTTGATGAGGCCTCTCCTGAAAAATGATGTTAATGTTCATTTGAATTGTTGCATGGACCCGCCTTCCTGTTTAATAAAATGACGCATGATTGGATGGCAACTGAAACTAGCTAATGACCGCAGTGGGTGAATTGATTTCGATTGGCTTTACAACGGGGAGTCCAATAGCCATCCCTTTAACTGACAACAAAACGTATTTATTCCCAGGTAGTCCCATGATGCATTAATGTCCTAACCTTGTCCACCAGCATTCTCTCTCTTTGTCGAACCGTCTTTTCACAGCGCCTCAGAACGGGACTTGACTGGAAGTCTATGGCAGGAGTAGATGAAACAAAATACAAAACGCTGGTTTTAATTGGCTGATCTCTGTCCATCACCAATTACCATCTAGCACAGGGATGGGCAACTTTGATGGGGGTGGGGGCCACAAAAAACTGGAACCCATTATGAGGGGCTGCAGTGGCTTGTGGGTCTGCGACCATGCTTACTACAAGTTTAGTTAGCTGGCCGCTAGACTAACTTACCAATCTAAAGTTTTTAGCTGACATTGGGCTAATTGAGTGACTGCTGAGGCACAACCACATTTCTAAATTGCACCTTGTGTATTCTATTATTCTAACTCTGAACAGTAAGTTGAGACCCCGACTGAATAAATATATATAATGTCCGCAGGCCACCAGTTACCCATCCCTGATCTAATATAACCCTTAGAACCTCCCCCCTACATTGTTACGTAAAAACACGAGCAGGGCAAGTGATTTTAAACAAGGAAGTGAGTTTGGAAAATCTTTAAATTATGCATCTTAGAAATAGTTTTCACATATAAACGGTAAATGCCCTAACTCAGAATCAATTGGGCTTCCAATTTGGTCAATAATATGGTCAATGTGATAGAACACATTTATTTTTTTCACCCCCATGTGGGAAACACGAGAGGATGGGATACACCGGATGCACTAACAACAACAGGGCTCCTGGATGTTCGTGTGTGTTCTCTCCCCTGTGTTTTATGTCATGCATGCCTGAATCCAACACCACCAACACCCCTCCACCTGGGACCACCTTACCTTGTGTGTGGGTGCCCTGACCCCCTCCTGTTCCCCCCCTACACCCCTACCTACCTGGCTGTGGACTAACCCAGTCGAGTCAGGGAGCTGGAGGAAGAGCTTAGACTCATGGACCAGAATTTGAAGTCCATGATGTGCGGAGAGGATGAGGTACTGTCTGCCCCCCCGTACCAGGACAAACGTCCCGGTTCCAAACCTCTTCACTACCTGCTTCCTTTCTCCTCTCCTCTGGCTTGTGCTCTTGACTCCTCCCTCCAAGCCTCTCTGCCTCGCAGCTATGCTCTATGGAGGGCTTCCCTGGTGGTTGACGGGACAGTGTTGCTGTGGTACAAAAGGACCAATGTCCTACAAGCCATACTGTCCCTCACTATACCTTCAACCTAAAGCCAATGGGATCCTTGATGTGATACTTGAGATTATACATGTATTTATATATTTCCTATACATAGAGTATACGATTTTATATCTGTCAGATATTGTCCATCAAGGATCCTGATTTAACCCTTTCATCTGATGGGTAGGTGACATTAACCCCTTCAGGTAAGTGTGACATTAACCCCTTAAGGTAAGTTATATATATAAAAATTTTTTGCACCTGCACTCTCCTGCCAAGGCACTCTCCCTAATAGGGACTGGGTTTGAGTATCCAGACCAGGGTCTCCTCTGCCATGTCCTCTCATCCCTCAAAACGCTCTTTCTCCTTTCTTGTCCTACCCTCATTTTCCCCTCCTCCCTCCCTCTCTTGCTGTTGCACAGTAAATCTGGTGATCTTGAGGAAGAGTTGAAAAATGTCACCAACAACTTGAAGTCTCTGGAGGCCCAGGCTGAGAAGGTACTGTAGGAGAGGGGAAGGAAGCTGGGCCTGAAGGTACTGTAGGAGGAGCGAGGGGAAGGAAGCTGGGTCTGAAGGTACTGTAGGAGGAGCGAGGGGAAGGAAGCTGGGTCTGAAGGTACTGTAGGAGGAGCGAGGGGAAGGAAGCTGGGCCTGAAGGTACTGTAGGAGGAGCGAGGGGAAGGAAGCTAGGCCTGAAGGTACTGTAGGAGGAGCGAGGGGAAGGAAGCTGGGCCTGAAGGTACTGTAGGAGGAGCGAGGGGAAGGAAGCTGGGTCTGAAGGTACTGTAGGAGGAGCGAGGGGAAGGAAGCTGGGCCTGAAGGTACTGTAGGAGGAGCGAGGGGAAGGAAGCTGGGCCTGAAGGTACTGTAGGAGGAGCGAGGGGAAGGAAGCTGGGCCTGAAGGTACTGTAGGAGGAGCGAGGGGAAGGAAGCTGGGTCTGAAGGTACTGTAGGAGGAGCGAGGGGAAGGAAGCTGGGCCTGAAGGTACTGTAGGAGGGGAGAGGGGAAGGAAGCTGGGCCTGAAGGTACTGTAGGAGGAGCGAGGGGAAGGAAGCTGGGCCTGAAGGTACTGTAGGAGGAGCGAGGGAAAGGAAGCTGGGCCTGAAGGTACTGTAGGAGGAGCGAGGGGAAGGAAGCTGGGCCTGAAGGTACTGTAGGAGGAGCGAGGGGAAGGAAGCTGGGCCTGAAGGTACTGTAGGAGGGGAGAGGGGAAGGAAGCTGGGCCTGAAGGTACTGTAGGAGGAGCGAGGGGAAGGAAGCTGGGCCTGAAGGTACTGTAGGAGGAGCGAGGGGAAGGAAGCTGGGCCTGAAGGTACTGTAGGAGGAGCGAGGGGAAGGAAGCTGGGTCTGAAGGTACTGTAGGAGGAGCGAGGGGAAGGAAGCTGGGCCTGAAGGTACTGTAGGAGGGGAGAGGGGAAGGAAGCTGGGCCTGAAGGTACTGTAGGAGGAGCGAGGGGAAGGAAGCTGGGTCTGAAGGTACTGTAGGAGGAGCGAGGGGAAGGAAGCTGGGCCTGAAGGTACTGTAGGAGGAGCGAGGGGAAGGAAGCTGGGCCTGAAGGTACTGTAGGAGGAGCGAGGGGAAGGAAGCTGGGCCTGAAGGTACTGTAGGAGGGGAGAGGGGAAGGAAGCTGGGCCTGAAGGTACTGTAGGAGGAGCGAGGGAAAGGAAGCTGGGCCTGAAGGTACTGTAGGAGGAGCGAGGGGAAGGAAGCTGCCCAGCCAACCTTTCAGCTCTTGTGTTTTAGTCTCTTCTCCCTAGCCAACCTTTCAGCTCTTGTGTTTTAGTCTCTTCTCCCTAGCCAACCTTTCAGCTCTTGTGTTGTAGTCTCTTCTCCCTAGCCAACCTTTCAGCTCTTGTGTTGTAGTCTCTTCTCCCTAGCCAACCTTTCAGCTCTTGTTGTAGCCCTCCTCAATTTAATTAACTGAATGTCTATCCAATACTGTTTACTTTAGTGGATGTGAACAGTAGGCTATTAATTGAATGCTACACTGTAGACGTCATAGTCAATTTACATTTATGTATTTATTCGATCTGTCTATATTTTAACTAGAATATTGGCGTATATTTTAAGTTGTGAATTTTTAAGGAGAAGCACTCGTCATAGCTCTTGTGCTAATATGAATCTCCATTATTTCACTTCTAGTACTCACAAAAGGAGGACAAATACGAAGAGGAAATCAAAGTTCTTACTGACAAACTTAAAGAGGTGGGTACTGTAGGATCACCATAGCTAATTGAGAAAATCTAATATTTTCTATGAAATCAATTTTAGTATGAATGGTGCTTCAAATGGTATCTTAAAGCCTCTCTTTTTTAAATCTTCCCACTCTATAACCCAATGTTAACCAACATGTTACGTGGATACAACGTAATTTGGTGCTTGGAAAAATGTATTTGAAACGCATTGTGCTCCGATGCTTTTTTTTTTTTTTCAGGCTGAGACCCGTGCTGAGTTTGCAGAGAGGTCTGTGGCTAAGCTTGAGAAGACCATTGATGATTTGGAAGGTACGTTTTCAACGCTCCTTTCATTCACAACCATTAACTCCTCCTCTTGGAGTTCCCTGTAGCTGACGCCACTAACTGCATTTTCACTTTAAATGCATCCCAAGTGGCACACTATTCCCAATATAGTGCACTTCGTTTGACCAGAGCCCTATGGGAAAAGGGCGCCATTTGGACGCACACTTTTGTTTACTTTGTGAAAGCGTGACAGATGTTTCACTAACAGAAAGATTTGCTCCTATAACCATGAGTTGTAACACTGAAGCCTGTTGGGTACCTTCGCATGACTTGTTCGTAGTGTATTTTAGCATTAGGTAACATAGCTGTAAGTTTCAATCATTAATGAAGTCCCTTAATACAATCGAGCAGCATTGCAGATAGTAATTTCCAAGTTACCTTCCAACTTTGAGGACCATTAGAAACAAAGGTGCTCCGATGTGAATGGATTTATTAATATATTGGTTTAATAGATTAACCAATTAATTTGTAGATTAACCCCCATTAACCTGGCTCTGTTGTCGAGGGATCCAATTGGATCAGATTGCAGTTGAAACCAATGATGGGCTTTCCGTATGATTGTGCCAGATAGACAAATGTGTAGATTCTGAATCTTTAGCTCAAGAATAATAGTGTGCCTGTACGGCTGCGTTTACACAGGCAGCCTATAATTCTGAACTTTTCCACTAGCTGGACTTTTTTGACCAATCAGATCAGCTCCTTTGCCAATAATTGGGCAAAAGATCAGAATTGGGCTGCCTGTGTGAACGCAGCCTAACTGTGGAGCCACAGATTCACATTCGATTGCTTATCCTGTCTGGTTATGCAGATTAGTGTTGCCTTATCTCATATTGATTTATTTTAATTTTTATATTGATCAGTTTGACTGATCGATTAGATTCTATAAGAAATACTGAAAACTCAGTTGAAGGTTAGATTTGAGTTGTAGTACTTGGACTACGAGCAACTTTGGGTTTTTTCCAAGGTTTTGCCTTATTTCTGACTTACCTAAGGGTGTTGTTGATTCATCCACACAGTTACTCAATCAATTTAGTTGTTATTTAGCAACGAGAATGGGCTTGTTGTGGAGAGCTTAATGTCTTGTTGCGTTTTTGACAGACTTTGGAAATGTCATGTGTGAGTAGGTATTATCTGGTGTATTGTTCCAGGAGTTTGAAGTAGGGGTGTGACCGTTTAATTTTTTAAAAACGAAATTGGGATCCTTAACATTAAGAAAAACCCCAAAACAATGTTTTATTTTTTTGTCCCCCCCCCACCACACAAAGTTAGAATCTCAGCGCAGTTATCACAAAACATATTACTTTCCATGTTATAGCCTACAGTGAGGGAAAAAAAGTATTTGATCCCCTGCTGATTTTGTACGTTTGCCCACAGACAAAGACATGATCAGTCTGTAATTTTAATGGTAGGTTGATTTGAACAGTGAGAGACAGAATAACAACAAAAAAATCCAGAAAAACGCATGTCAAAAATGTTATAAATTGATTTGCATTTTAATGAGGGAAATAAGTATTTGACCCCTCTGCAAAACATGGCTTAGTACTTGGTGGCAAAACCCTTGTTGGCAATCACAGAGGTCAGACGTTTCTTGTAGTTGGCCACCAGGTTTGCACACATCTCAGGAGGGATTTTGTTCCACTCCTCTTTGCAGATCTTCTCCAAGTCATTAAGGTTTCGAGGCTGACGTTTGGCAACTCGAACCTTCAACTCCCTCCACAGATTTTCTATGGGATTAAGGTCTGGAGACTGGCTAGGCCACTCCAGGACCTTAATGTGCTTCTTCTTGAGCCACTCCTTTGTTGCCTTGGTCGTGTGTTTTGGGTCATTGTCATTCTGGGATACCCATCCACGACCCATTTTCAATGCCCTGGCTGAGGGAAGGAGGTTCTCACCCAAGATTTGACGGTACATGGCCCCGTCCGTCGTCCCTTTGATACGGTGAAGTTGTCCTGTCCCCTTAACAGAAAAACACCCCCAAAGCATAATGTTTCCACCTCCATGTTTGACAGTGGGGATGGTGTTCTTGGTCATAGGCAGCATTCCTCCTCCACCAAACACGGCGAGTTGAGTTGATGCCAAAGAGCTCGATTTTGGTCTCATCTGACCACAACACTTTCACCCAGTTCTCCTCTGAATCATTCAGATGTTCATTGGCAAACTTCAGACGGCCATGTATATGTGCTTTCTTGAGCAGGGGGACCTTGCGAGCGCTGCAGGATTTAAGTCCTTCACGGCGTAGTGTTACACCAATTGTTTTCTTGGTGACTATGGTCCCAGCTGCCTTGAGATCATTGACAAGATCCTCCCGTGTAGTTCTGGGCTGATTCCTCACGGTTCTCATGATCATTACAACTCCACGAGGTGAGATCTTGCATGGAGCCCCAGGCCGAGGGAGATGGACAGTTATTTTGTGTTTCTTCCATTTGCGAATAATCGCACCAACTGTTGTCACCTTCTCACCAAGCTGCTTGGCGATGGTCTTGTAGCCCATTCCAGCCTTGTGTAGGTCTACAATCTTGTCCCTGACATCCTTGGAGAGCTCTTTGGTCTTGGCCATGGTGAAGAGTTTGGAATCTGATTGATTGCTTCTGTGGACAGGTGTCTTTTATACAGGTAACAAGCTGAGATTAGGAGCACTCCCTTTAAGAGTGTGCTCCTAATCTCAGCTCGTTACCTGTATAAAAGACACCTGGGAGCCAGAAATCTTTCTGATTGAGAGGGGGTCAAATACTTATTTCCCTCATTAAAATGCAAATCAATTTATAACATTTTTCACATGCGTTTTTCTGGCTTTTTTTTTTGTTATTCTGTCTCTCACTGTTCAAATAAACCAACCATTAAAATTATAGACTGATCATTTCTTTGTCAGTGGGCAAATGTACAAAATCAGCAGGGGATCAAATACTTGTTTCCCTCACTGTAACTAGAGGATAGGATATAAAGGCCTGGGGAAAGTTGTGGAATTTAAATAAAACCAAAAGGAAGAGGTGAACTTTAGGCTACGTTGGTGAATTTGCGAGGCGTGCGAAACATATGACCATTTCTCCTACTGCCTGCCCCCTGCGCTGTCTCCCTCGCACTGGCTCGCTTGGGGTGTATTCATTACGCCCATTACGTTACAAAACATTTCTTAAACTGAAGCAAACGAAACTGGGATGGACCTACCTGAATTTGTCCAATTGAAACTCTTGTTTTAGTTACTGTTTGGACTAATGATTACACCCCTGTTCCTTCTCTTCCCTAATTATGCGAGTGTGTGTGTTCAGTCTTCGGTCTGCTGCGTGTAGAATATCCTAGCCTATTCATTGATGATAGGCCCTGCTTTACTGAAGTTGCGAGACATTGAAAGCCAAGAAATTGCGAGATACAGCTTTTGATTGCAGATAGATAAGCCTAGTGCATGGTTTCCCAAACTTGGTCAAACACTTTCTAAGTCTTTGGTGAACGTTGAGCTTTAGTTGATTTAAACTGGAGTGTGTTGTGTTAACCGTTTGATTCTGTGTTAATGATGCACACCATATTAATATTCTAACATTTTTGTAATTTGGTTGATTTTATTTATTATTTTCAATTTTTTGTAAAGTATTTGATTGTCGGATTGCTACTGCCTAGGGAATTTGGTGGAAAAGCTATTTTGGAATTTGCATTTTATTATCAGTTCTTTACATATGCATAATCATCCTTTTTGAAGTTATGATTTATCAGTTATCTTACTTTCTTGAACTCTTTTTTTTTTATCACTCACCTTGTTCTGTTTCCATCTTGTGCGTCTTTCTGTCCGTCCATCTATCTGTCCATCCCCCCCCTCCAGACGAGGTGTACGCTCAGAAGCTGAAGGGTAAAGCCCTCAGTGAGGAGCTTGACCTGGCTCTCAACGACATGACCACACTCTAGACGCTCCTTCCCTCACTCCTCTTCTTCCTCCTCCTCTCTGACGCTCTCCACCTCCATCTGGCACTCCTGGGGTTCAAACATCCTCCACTTCCTTTCTGTCCTTTTTTTTCATTCCACAACTTTTCAGACAGAACTGTGATCGATCTCTTTCTCTCAATACCCTTGGTTACGAAATGTGAATGGCGAATACAATTTAAAAAAAAGTCGTAACTAAGTTTACAAGACTTGCTGATTTCAAAATACCAAGGGATATAAATGTGGCCCCAGGCAGACCCCCCCCCCCCCCCCCCCCCCACCCCTGTGTCAAACCCATTCCCCCTTCCTTTTAGTTTCGCTCCCTACTGTTGTCAGGTGTCAGCATTGTTCAGTGATCCTCGTACATTTCTATAGATGCATATAGGACAACCCAGCCCCAGCCCCACAGGGTCCATACCTCTCCAAAGATCTGGGTTAGGCTTGGTCTTCTGTATTGATATATATATATATATACACTTGTCCCGTAGTTTCCTTTTCTCTTCCTGTGTAATAAATGTCCTGAAACACTTCTCTTGATACTGCTCCTGTTTTCTGTCATTATCTGCATTTGGTTTCTCATCATAATCACCTAATAAAGTTTAGAATGTTGGTTGCCGACGGTTACAATCCACTAACTAAGCCACAATATTTGCCATACCAATTTACCTGACTATACTCAGGGTACATGGTGTTTATTTGGCTAAATTTAATATAGCCTACATTTTTTTTGACTACCTTTACCGTTTTAGAGAATTTTAAAATATTCAGGATTCATATTAGATTAAATCTGAACTGTTGTAAAATGTTACGATGAAGATACACAAGTTATTTGGTGAATGACTTCTTTGAAGATACAAGGGAATCGGTGTGAATTAATCTCAATTCAGTACTGTTCTCACCACACCATATTAATGGTTTAACATTTAATCTGTCATTATCTGACCAACCCTGACACAGGGCATCAAAACAAATCTGAACAATTCATCTGATTTATAACCACTGAACCAATTATCTCTCTTAATGATTAAGGGAACATGAAATTAAGTTTTAAATTGAGAATTATCCTGTCTAAAGAAACCTTCGGCTCAGTACTTTGGAGAATCTTAGAAGGGATTTGCTGTATCCCTCTTTTACCACCTTACTTATCCCCTGACCCCAGTAATATGAATATGTATTGCTTCCTACTATAGTTGCTTAAAGGAAAATTACACCCAAAAACTATCTTTTGGTAGTTGTTTCATTAGTCCATTGTTGACAGTCCCAAAATGTTTTGTTTGTCAGCAATCAAGTTTTCAAGATATGTAACTTTTTGAAAATACAGAAGTCATCCCTGTATGATGCGTTTTGCATCATATGACGCTGCGTTTTGCATGATGCTGCTATGTTTTGTATCGTATTTTGATAATTACATATCTTAACTTGATTGCTGACAAGCAAAACATTTTGGGACTATGTCAACCATGGACTAATGAAACAAATACCAAAATATAGTTTTTTGGGGGGGTGGAATTTTCCTTTAATGTCTTGTAGTGATTGATCAATTCAAGACATTCAAGCATTGTCAAGTGAGCTGTAATTGCTATAGATGCTGATTACCTCTGTCAGACGAAAAAAAAGCAACTTCCGGCTGTTCTTTTTTTTCTTGTCTTTCATTGCCCTGTGACCTTTTTATTGCACTAACCCTTCCCTCTTTCTCTTCCTTTTCTCTCTCTTTCTGTATCTTCACACTGGCTTTCATTGACTCTTCTGGCGCCACAGAACATTATCACAAGGAGGTGGAGAAAAGCCGCATTCTCAGTAACGAACTGAGGGTTGTTCTGAATGAGCTTAACAGCTGAGTCTGGGACAGAAGCTTTTGCAAACTTCCTTCCACTATCCCACTCTTCCAATATGCACTTGTCTCTGATTTTAAACTTGGAACCGATTTTCTCATACCCCACTAGAAGGGACTGGTCGTACTTTGTTCAGTATGCTTTCATTAGTGTGTTTAAAAATATATATATATATGTTTACATTGAAGTAATTTGCAATCATGACATTCAAGTAATTGACAAATCATATGAACATGTGTTTCAAATTCATCAAGGGAATTGAGTGAGAATGAATTTGCCCCAAACTTGGGGTGTTGTGTATAATTGGGTACTAGTACATTAATTGATCCCCCCCCCCCCCAAAAAAAAAAAATCATGTCACCTTTTTGTATGAAATTTGGTTCCAAGTTTTTCAGAATTAGGAAAGTTAGTTTTTCACAAAGTTGAGGATACTCACTTGCTGCACATTGTAGAGTTCCACTGCTAAGACTTGAGGGAGTTTAATGGAGCAAATGTAGCACTTTGGACTGGACACATCCCACACTTGAAGTTTCAAAGCTTTCACAGGATGTGGAATAATTAGCACTTATCTGGAATAATGGTTTTCAGGATTGCACAGTTCGCTGTAAAACTTCAGATTGTTTGCATGCAATCCTACCTACAGTGGGGGAAAAAAAGTATTTAGTCAGCCACCAATTGTGCAAGTTCTCCCACTTAAAAAGATGAGAGAGGCCTGTAATTTTCATCATAGGTACACGTCAACTATGACAGACACATTGAGGGAAAAAAAATCCAGAAAATCACATTGTAGGATTTTTAATGAATTTATTTGCAAATTATGGTGGAAAATAAGTATTTGGTCACCTACAAACAAGCAAGATTTCTGGCTCTCACAGACCAGTAACTTCTTCTTTAAGAGGCTCCTCTGTCCTCCACTCGTTACCTGTATTAATGGCACCTGTTTGAACTTGTTATCAGTATAAAAGACACCTGTCCACAACCTCAAACAGTCACACTCCAAACTCCACTATGGCCAAGACCAAAGAGCTGTCAAAGGACACCAGAAACAAAATTGTAGACCTGCACCAGGCTGGGAAGACTGAATCTGCAATAGGTAAGCAGCTTGGTTTGAAGAAATCAACTGTGGGAGCAATTATTAGGAAATGGAAGACATACAAGACCACTGATAATCTCCCTCGATCTGGGGCTCCACGCAAGATCTCACCCCGTGGGGTCAAAATGATCACAAGAACGGTGAGCAAAAATCCCAGAACCACACGGGGGGACCTAGTGAATGACCTGCAGAGAGCTGGGACCAAAGTAACAAAGCCTACCATCAGTAACACACTACGCCGCCAGGGACAAAAAATCCTGCAGTGCCAGACGTGTCCCCCTGCTTAAGCCCGTCTGAAGTTTGCTAGAGTGCATTTGGATGATCCAGAAGATGATTGGGAGAATGTCATATGGTCAGATGAAACCAAAATAGAACTTTTTGGTAAAAACTCAACTCGTCGTGTTTGGAGGACAAAGAATGCTGAGTTGCATCCAAAGAACACCATACCTACTGTGAAGCATGGGGGTGGAAACATCATGCTTTGGGGCTGTTTTTCTGCAAAGGGACCAGGACGACTGATCCGTGTAAAGGAAAGAATGAATGGGGCCATGTATCGTGAGATTTTGAGTGAAAACCTCCTTCCATCAGCAAGGGCATTGAAGATGAAACGTGGCTGGGTCTTTCAGCATGACAATGATCCCAAACACACCGCCCGGGCAACGAAGGAGTGGCTTTGTAAGAAGCATTTCAAGGTCTTGGAGTGGCCTAGCCAGTCTCCAGATCTCAACCCCATAGAAAGTCTTTGGAGGGAGTTGAAAGTCTGTGTTGCCCAGCGACAGCCCCAAAACATCACTGCTCTAGAGGATATCTGCATGGAGGAATGGGCCAAAATACCAGCAACAGTGTGTGAAAACCTTGTGAAGACTTACAGAAAACGTTTGACCTGTGTCATTGCCAACAAAGGGTATATAACAAAGTATTGAGAAACTTTTGTTATTGACCAAATACTTATTTTCCACCATAATTTGCAAATAAATTCATAAAAAATCCTACAATGTGATTTTCTGGAGAAAAAAAATCTAATTTTGTCTGTCATAGTTGACGTGTACCTATGATGAAAATTACAGGCCTCTCTCATCTTTTTAAGTGGGAGAACTTGCACAATTGGTGGCTGACTAAATACTTTTTTCCCCCACTGTATATACTCTAAAGCCTGTAGACTTACATGTATAGATAATGGTATACCTTAGCCAAAAATACATATAATGGCATGACATCTGCCTCGTTTCGCTATTGCTCAGACTGTTATATGTATGCATCCAAAGTCAATGAAATGTAAACTTTGTTAAGCTTTACACAGGCTTGAAACTACCCAGGTTCATGTATTTCTTCAAAGGTAGAGTTGTAGTTTAGTGTGATGAAACACCTTTTTTTTTTATTATTATCATTTAAGTATTATAGTACTTAAACATACTTATACATACGAAGTATGCACTGGGTGCAGTATTACATTTCTGGGGTTGTAGTTTCTCCACTTGGCTTCGCTAAAAGTTACCCCTAATTATATCCACACCCATTCGTTTACATAGATTCCTTCTTTGGGTGTTTCCCTAAGTAACTTCACTATTTTGCATGCTGTGCTATAGCGAATTTGGCTCATTCCAAGTTGTGCTAAATTTACATCATGACTTACCACAAGTTAGCTGGCCTAAATATACATCTTTAGCCTGCTTGTATTGACTAGCGTTACTTTCATTGCACCAAGTATCTTCACGTTTAGCTTCCCTCACCACCTGGCCCATTTGAGTGGCATGACTAACAGAAAGCATCTGCTGTCCTATGGTAACGCTCCATTGTGCACACTGAAATTGAAACCTCACCTGACATTCTGTGCACACAAGGAGCACTGTCCTCTCATTGGGTCTGGGAAGGCACTCTCTATGGTGACTCACCAATATGTAGAAGACGTCTGAACTAAGAATGAAACAAAAGTCTAGATTAGATTGGCTGTCCTGGAAACCTTAAATCTCCCCTCTCACTGCATTATTATAGAACTTGGATCTTTTCAACAGTCTTTATCTATTTTTGTGTTTTTTTCCCACCTGTGCTTCTTAGCGACCACATTCGCTGTTTAACTGACACAAACGTATTACTGCAATTTACATGAACACACTTGATAATGTGAATGTGTAAAATACAGGATGCTTTTGAATCACAATGTTAGACAGTGCTGTTTTAATTTTGATGTCCATGTTTCATTGTCCTGTTTCCTGAGCCAACTGAGACCTTGCTTGTCGGGGTGCTTCACCTGTGCTTTTGTTTCCCCATCATCAGAGAAACTGGCTACAGCTAAAGAGGAGAACTTAGACATGCACCAAACCCTGGACCAAACCCTCCTGGAGCTCAACAATCTATAAAGAGAGTTCCGTCTGTCTGGACCGACGAACAAGAGTCCTAAAACAAAGAAAAACGCAAAGCTTTTATAATGCTCATTTGATACACACTTGACCAAATCCTTTAGTTGACTTGCCCCTTTGGGAACAGGACAGTCTTCACTTGGCTTTAATAGTAGCAAAAGGCTTATGAACAAGGCATTCCGTTTTAGTTAATATGAGGGTCTCTTGCACACATGCTAATTAATGGCAAACGCATGCTGGCTACAGAAGTTAACATGGTTCAGTAAATCAGCAGAACAACTAGTTGAACAGCATAGAGTTGTATGCTACTGAGGTTGCTGTTTGTATTTAGCATGTGATTTGAGTCTTAAAGTTGACGTCTATTTTCTAATCTGACCTCTGAGGCCTCCTTGAAGAAATGAAATTCCATTTGCTTTGATGTTACCCCCAAATCAATTTATTGTTATTTTTTTGTATTAAGTTTTTTTGTAATCCTTCGAAACAAATGGTAAACATATTCCTTACTTACTGTTTGGTAAGATCATGTGCCACTCACTGTTTAAATTAATACAGTATATTATTTGTGTAGAACTGACCCAAACAGGGAAAAAGACTAGCTTTCAAATTTAATTTCCTCTACATAATATTTTGACTATATAGGATAAATAGCAGTTTGTTAAATGTACGTTTAGGTTAGTTTATATGGTTCAAAATTACTAGCAAAGGTATCAAATTAATGTAATACAAACTAAATACAATAGGGACATTTTACTTCATTTAGACCAATATGTCTTACACAGGATTCTTTTGACTAAGTTTTTGAATTTTCAGAATTGTTGTAGTGACCTTTTGGGGGTTTGGATAATAGGCTAATATTAGAGATGATGTGGTACCTCATTCTAATCATGACGATGTGGTACCTCATGTATTCTAATCATGACGATGTGGTACCTCATGTATTCTAATCATGACGATGTGGTACCTCATGTATTCTAATCATGACGATGTGGTACCTCATGTATTCTAATCATGACGATGTGGTACCTCATGTATTCTAATCATGACGATGTGGTACCTCATGTATTCTAATCATGACGATGTGGTACCTCATGTATTCTAATCATGACGATGTGGTACCTCATGTATTCTAATCATGACGATGTGGTACCTCATGTATGCTAATCATGACGATGTGGTACCTCATGTATTCTAATCATGACGATGTGGTACCTCATGTATTCTAATCATGACGATGTGGTACCTCATGTATTCTAATCATGACGATGTGGTACCTCATGTATTCTAATCATGACGATGTGGTACCTCATGTATTCTAATCACTTGCCTTTTTCCTTGACAAAGATTTTGAGAATGCCCGTAGCTGTTAGAATCTGAAACGTCCCTTAATTTTGAAACACCCTCTCAATAATCAGCAGGTTTAGCTGTTACAGGGGTCATTCAAAGAAACAAGTCCCTTTTTGAGTAGTGTAACTTAATCTATGGGTAACAGGGTTGACGTGTTATGCCCAACCCACTGTTTGTCACCACAAAACACCAGAAAATGGCCAAAAAGAGTAGAACCAGCTCACCTGCTTTTACACTGATTTTGATTATTAGATGTTCAATGTTTCTTTTGAAAACAAAAATATTATTAAATATTCACCTTATTAAAACGAGAGTTCAGCTCACGTAACAGGATTGAGCTTAAAATGAGGGAAATGTTTTTAAAAAATTACCTTACAATGAATCACTAATCACATGAAATGGATAATCTTCTGAAATTACTTTGTCAAAGCAGCAAAATTACTTTAGGGTTAAGTGGGTTAAAATGTTCTGAGAAGTCAGAGTGCAGAGGGACATGTCAAAATGCTGAATGTTGGCACTTTTAAGTCTTTAGTGATATACAAAAACAAGTGGATTTATTGAATTTTCCATGTGGTCTATATTAAATGGTGTTTCATTTAATATAGCAGGCTTTTAAAATCCAATATTGGTGCAAAATGTCTACTTAAAATATCAAAGGGATGCAAAAGGACCTCATTTTGTAGAACTACCCTACAGCTGTGAACTTGTATTTGTAAGGTTGATTCAAGCTCCATGTTATATCTTAAAATGCACCTGTGTCAATACTTCTGAGTAGTCAGAATGCTTATTGGTCTGAAGGTTTTAATTGGGGGGAATTATTCAATATTCTGGAGGTATTAAAATAGTTGTCTTTTTAAAAACGTTATTACTCATGTATCCTATGCAATGAATTAACTGTGTGAGCTCTTTAAGACGATTAAAAGATTGACGGCAAGATAAATGGTTGTTTTGTACATTTCTTCCAGGATTTCATTAGGCTGGATTACAGTGCAATAAAGGCTCATATAGCGCTTTTACTTTACTTTACTGTTTACAATGGTATGGTGAACTGATCAAGACAACTTTTTGGTTTCTTTGAAAGAGGCTGGCTACCACTTTGTACCATTTGGTAGATGTAGAAGTGACCAATTTTGTTGGAAGTTTTGGTGTAACAATTGTGGTGTAACTGCTTTTGTGTAATTTTCCGCAGCAACAGGATGGTAGCTTCAGATTAAGTTTTACCCATGATATTGCCAAAGCATGATGCGCAAACAATCATGGCAGAAATGTCTAACAAGGTTGTACATTTAACCTTTGTCACATCTACACGGAACAAAAATATATGCAACATGTAAAGTGTTGGTCCCATGTTTCATGAGCTGAAATAAAAGATCACAAAAAAAATTATACGCACAAAAAGCTTATTTCTCCAATTTTGTGCAGACATTTGTTTACATCCCTGTTAGTGAGCATTTCTCCGTTGCCAAAATAATCCATCCACCTGACAGGTGTGGCATATCAAGAAGCTGATTAAACAGCATGATCATTACACAGGTGCACCTTGTGCTGGGGACAAAAGATCTAAAATGTGCAGTTTTGTGTCACAACACAATGCCACAGATGTCTGAAGTTAGGGCAGCATGCAATTGGCATGCTGAATGCAGGAATGTCCACCAGAGTTGTTGCCAGATAATTTAATGTTAATTTCTCTACCATAAGCCGCCGCCAATGTTGTTTTAGGGAATTTGGCAGTACGTCCAACTGGCCTCACAACCGCAGACCACGTGTAACCACGCCAGCCCAGGACCTCCACATCCGGCTTCTTCACCTGCGGGATCATCTGAGACCAGCCACCCGGAGAGCTGATGAAACTGGGTTTGCACAACCAAAGTATTTCTGCACAAACTGTCAGAAACCGTCTCAGGGAAGCTCATCTGCGTGCTCGTCGTCTTGACCTGACTGCAGTTTTGCATCGTAACCAACTTCAGTGGGCAAATGCTCACCTTCGATGGCCACTGGCACGCTGGAGAAGTGTGCTCTTCACGGATCAATCCCGGTTTCAACTGTACCGGGCAGACGGCAGACAGCGTGTAAAAACAATATAGGCCCTGGTCTAAAGTGGGGTGGGTGGGGGGGTGATTGATCAGAGGGTTGCCAGTTGCCCATAGGGTATGACATAAGCCCCATTTATACCTGGTGCTAACATGCGTCCTTTGTTCTGATCTTGTCCACATTCTGATTGTGCCGACATTTTATGTTGGATGTAGATGATTAAAAGACTCATTGTGATCTGATTGTGATCAGATCTTCCTGACCACCTTCGGAAGTAGTCAGGCACACACTGTGTCTGGGTATTACAAGTGTAGACGGATCTGGACAGTAAAACAATTTAAATCATCAAAACCCTCTTAAAATCATTGACAGGTGGCACCATTGACTTATGTCATCAATATGTGTCAATAAAGTTAATAAATATTATTTTGAAAGAATATCTCATAATTTGCATACAGGGAGGGACCAGGAAATGTGGTCACAGTGCAGACCCAGTGGACTGATAAGAAAACATTTTAATACAATGTGTAGATGCATGTCTGAAAATATGGGCACAATCAGAATGTTGTAAAACATTCGTATGGGCTATGATTTTTATCAGCTCATATCATTAAAAAAATACTTGATAAACCAGACTACCAGCAACCTTGTACTTGTTCATATGAATTCTATTCTAATAACTAGACGGGAGTTTTCTTTACACGCCCGCACACAACTGCAATTAGACAATATAAACTAGAAGGGCTGAGCTTTATGAGAAGATTTGTATGAATATCTGTGGAAGTTACTCACACAGTCCATTTACTGTATTTACAGATTATTTACAGATTTACGCGCAAGAAAAAATACAAAACAATGAGAATTAAGAGAAACAAAAATACATGTGCAGGAGAGGTTTATAGTTTTTTATAGTTGTGAAAATAAAACATAGAAGTATGTTATCAATATTGTGTCCAATATTGTGTATAGGGGTTAATTTACATTTTACATTTACATTTTAGTCATTTAGCAGACGCTCTTATCCAGAGCGACTTACAGTTAGTGAGTGCATACATTTTTTCATACTGGCCCCCCGTGGTAAACGAACCCACAACCCTGGCGTTGCAAGCGCCATGCTCTACCAACTGAGCTACACGGCAGTAAATCATTTTGATTGAAAAGGAATGAAAAGTCTTAAGTAGTCATGCTGAATCTTTAATAAATCAAATTTGAACACATTCACATTTTCCTGACATCAGTTGGTTTGACTGAAAAATCATCTAGTTTTCATGCCATACATCATGTCAGATCGCTAATGTTTAGATGTATAGCATGTCTAAAATGAAAATGGGGCAGCAGGTAGCCTAGTGGTTAAGAGTGTTAAGTTACTTATTAAGGTTAAATGCCTTGCTCATGTAAGTCGCTCCGGATAAGACCATCTGCTAAATGACTCAAATGTAATATAAATGTAATGAGTTGCTTATTTATGTTGGGAGTGATATGTTTTCAAATTCCAGAGGAAAGTGGAGAGCCTTGATGTTATTGGTTTAGATGCACACAACTGAAGCACAGATCAACAGTGTACAAGTTGACTAATAACAAAAGAAAACTGTAGTTTCCACACCTTTTGTCAATATTTTATTTTTAACGAAATGAACAGAAGTGGAGTGCTGCGACACCCGATGAAACTGACTGGGGTAAACGCCAGCTCACCACACGATGAAACTGACTGGGGTAAACGCCAGCTCACCACACGATGAAACTGACTGGGGTAAACGCCAGCTCACCACACGTTTACCGGCAGCCCTAACTGTGCTGTCCCACTGTTACAGAGGCCTTCAACTGGTAAAATCCTCAGACCATCATGCACTGAAAAAATTGGAAATATTCTCCCAGTGAAAGTGTGTGTAATAGTGTGTATATGGGTGTTATTATCAAGGTCGTAGAATGATAGCTCTCCTCTGTCCCTGTCCAGCTTAACTCTGATCCTGTCCTTGACCCTGGATTCCTGTCTCACGGGGAGGTAAATGGGTTCAGTATGTGGGCAATTTACTTCATATACATAATTGAAATCTTCCTTATAATCTGTATGAAAACTATCAACATGGCTAACACCCCAGACTTCATCACTAGGATGAGACCTATTGATAGACTCGGTGGCCACACCTGCAAACCAAAACTCGTCATCAATCTCCATGTCCCAGCTGTGAGTGCCTGAGGTATAGCCCTCAGAGGCCATGACCCATCCTTGGCCTAACCTCTCTGGGTTGTCAGGACGCTGCTGGAACTCACCACCCCATATAACGCAATCATCGTACCCCACCCAGGTCATGAAACAAAGTAGCTTCGGGTGCACAGTGTTAGGATCCAGAACCACAGGAGCTGAAGAGAGAGAGAGAGAGAGACACCACATCAAACAGAGACACCACATCAAACAGAGACACCACATCAAACAGATATACCACATCAAACAGAGACACCACATCAAACAGAGACACCACATCAAACAGAGACACCACATCAAACAGAGACACCACATCAAAACTGACCAGAGAACAAAATAAATGATGCGTTATGCCTACATGTCAAGAGATCATTGAATCTATTTGGAATAAATATAACTCACTGTATTGAACAATCTCCTGCATCTTCTCCCAGATTCTGAACTTGAGGTTGCCCAGGTGTTTTGCTTCATCGATCAGCGCTCCTGAAACCCTCTCTGGATCAGGCAGTGGGCACTGGGTTCTGAAGAACATTTAGGAGTCAGTGCTGCTGTGGGGTTGGGTTCAGAACCACAGAGAAGAGAGAGACAGGAGGCAGATCACTTACCTTTTCACTGTGGCATTGTAGTTCTGCAAAGTAACAAAAGAGCAGCTTAGTTATCGATGATATTAATGAAATGATCAATCAGTCTTCATTCTGGAATACAGCTTTAATAATATTCAATGATTATGGGTACAGACATCTGTACCTGCAGGAATGAGATGTCTTCAGCTTCCAGCTCTTTCTCTATGGCTTTGATTGTGTCTGAAAGTGATGATATCTGTCCGCTCATCTCTTCAATCTTCGCCTTCATCGTCTGACTCTTCTGCTCCTCTTCCTCCCTCAGGGCAGCTATCTTGGCCTCCTCCTCCTCTCGTAGAAACTGGTGAACCTGCTCAAACCCCTGCTTAATCTTTATCTCTGTGTCCTCAGCCTGGCTCTGGAGAGACAGAGAGCCAGAACTCTGAAGTAAAAAAAATACTACCTCGATCATTGTAATACGGATGAACAGTCAACTCTGTACAGTTGTGTTACATCTCTCAGCATCTCACCTTGATATGCTGTGCTGTTTCATCACAAGTGAGTTTGACTTTCTTAAAGACTTCCAGTTTCTCCTGTAAGGACTTCAGGGTAGGCTTGAGTTCCTCCTGGAATTAAACACTAGGTTGTTGTCCAATACCATATCGCACACTTATTCCAGTTAAGACTGAATAAAAAATGCTGAGGGATAGTCACTTTGTTACAAATTTAAAACTCCAGATCACATACCTACTCTCACGAAAATGAAGTTCATAAATGTATATTGTCAGCAAAAAAATGTACTTGTATGCCTATTGTGTTTTTCACTTTCAGTGAAGTTGAAATTATTGTTAACTTTCCGCATTACGCTCTGACTTAACAAAATCATTGTTTTACTCTACCTTGTGTTCCTGTACAGCTTCATCTATGGGGATGCAGTCATGCTTTTTATGTTTCCTTGAATCGCGACACACCACACAGATAGGCTGTTTATCCTCCAGACAGAAGAGCTTGAGTTTCTCTCCATGCAGACTGCAGAGCACCTGAGGCCCTGCTGAAGCTCTCTGACGCCTCTCCTGTAAGAAGGCCTCACACAGGTTCTTAAGAGCCCGGTTATTGGGAGGCTCAGACCTTGACGATCTTCTCCTGCAAACTGGACACTCCTGCCATTCTTTCTCTTTCCAGAATTCCTGCAGACAGGCTTTACAGAAGCTGTGGCTACAAGACAAGAGAACGGGATCCTTGAAGATGTCACAGCACACAGGACAGGAGAGATCCTCCTCTGGGAGAGACGATTCGCAAGCCATTTTTCTGAATCTGTCAAACTTGTTTCTCTATAATGGCCTGTAATAGCCTAAGAAGCAATGTACTTTTACCCTTATTAAATGAGCACTAAAGTTGAGGGGGCTTTCCTTATCTCCTTCAGTATCTGCTCTGAAATGTTGACATTAATCTAGTAATGAGAAATAGGTCCTGTCCTGTATGTTGTCCTTGTTGAACAGAACAGCAAATAAACAGCAGAGGCCTGAACATTAGCTACATTTGAAATGGCTTCACTGACTTTTACTTCCTGTATCACGTGTATGAGGGGAGGACCTTTGCAGTTCTTCTTCTTCTTTGATAGTATGGCGGTCTGCAGAACATACGTTAGAGGTGCATGCCGCCACCTACTGTGTGGGGTGAAAACTGGGGAAGAAAAATAATAAAAAATATCAATGTACTCCTTTAGTGAGATTTAAATGTTAACTCCGATCCCTACAGGCTCTGGGGCCTGAGATGGAAGCTCGTCTTCGGACAGTGTTCCCTGCAATGTTTCAGCCGTAAAGTCCTGGAGATCCCAAAACCTTTTTGCTACATTCACAATCAAGTTTCTTCCATTTGTTTGTTAGCAGCACTGTGTATCCACTGACTCTTACACAACATATATACTCCGTCTTTTTACATTTAAGACACTGCAACGGTCTGTTCACATAAGCCCTCACTGCGTATCTCATATACCCCAGCTTTACATGTGTCGGAGGATGTTCTTCATCCAATAGCAATAGCATCCTATAGGCTTTCCTCCTTCCTTCCATTCACCATACGGTTCAATCGACGTACATCCACTACTCCTGGTATGTGGTGCTTTAGATGTTCAGCCTCAATTTTCACCGCGACACCAGAGACGACACCTTGTTACCGGTGCCCTGTTCAGAAAATCTAAGCTTTCTACATTATATTCCGCTAAGAATATATATAATATATTATATTCTTAAATTCTCCCAAGAAACACTTTCCTTTTGTTCTTCTGACATACAATAAATCAACAACATACCACATCAACACCATACTACTCCTGGGGCCGGTTCCCCGATAGCGATGGAATTTAGGCTTATGGGTGTTTTAATGATGCATCTTTCCCTTACAAAAAAAGATTGCAGTTTTGAAAACTGCAGTAAAAGTCGACTGTGGTATTTTGGACGCAGTAATTGCAGAATAACTGCAGTGTACTGCAGTTGAACTGCAGTTACACTGCAAAATTACTGCATAGTCACATTAACTATACCTACATGTACATATTACATAAATTACCTCGACTAACCGGTGCCCCCGCACATTGACTCTGTATATAGCCTCGCTACTGTTATGACTGTTATTGTTTTTTTGAATGTATTTTTTTGTTTGTTTTAAATATTTAAAACATACAATCTACTTGCAGTGAAGCCGCTCAACATCTACACCACATTAGTCGTCTAACAGACTCCCATCCAGAGCGACCCACAGAAGCAACCAGGGTCAACGCCCTGCTCAAGGGCACGTCGACAGATCTCCCATAAGGTCAAAAACGGGGACCCGAACCAGCAACCCATCAGCCACCGGCCCAAGCTCCCAACCGCCAGGCCACCAGCTCTCCAAGACCCCCCCCCACAGTTCCCCAAGAGCTGCCCCTCCATCCATTTTCAGCCATTCCTGAACCGGAGACCAGAAACTGGCTACCTGAGGGCAATACCAAAACAAATGGTCTATTGATTCTGTATCCTCACAACAAAATCTGCAGAGATGCGATGATTGTATGCCCCAAAATCTGTATGGCACAGCTGTCAACATCCTGGTCTTCAAATGAAACTGGTATATTTTCCGATTTATGCTATTTTTTATTCCTCCGCCAGTTTTGATCCTTTATATTGGGCAGTTCCCTACCTCCTCCCACTGCCACCAGCCTCCTCCATTTTCGGGGTAATGCTGTAATCCATTTTTACTGTTATTTTACTGCTTTTATTTTGTATCTATTGTTTACTTAACACTTATTTTTCTTTAAAACTGTATTGTTGGTTAAGTTCTTGTAAGTAAGCATTTCACTGTAAGGTCTACACCTGTTGTATTCGGATCATGTGACACATACAATTTGATTTGATTTGAAGAAAAAAAAACCTGTTATTTTGGACGCAGTATTTGCGGCATACTGCAGTTCTACTGCACTCCTTTTTTTCGTAAGGGTTCCTACTCCTACAATGGCCGAAGATGTAAAATGCTTTCCCCAAAACACACAGAGAGAACGATCGCTAAGTGCATCGTTTGAGCATGTGTCGACACTGATAGGATCGAAAGAAAGGGAGGGCTGCTTTTGGATCAGCTTTCTCCATTAAAATCTTTATAATTATTTCACAATACTGAAGACGGATCAGCTCCTAGAGAGATATTACCACCTATGGCTGCAAATATTGAGAGGGCTTATTCTAATGTTTACCCATGAAAAATTCACTAAATCACAGATTTGGCACATCATTGTGCACGCTAGGCTACACATCATGAAATATATTGAGACAAATTACAGACAGTAGTCTACAAGTAGCAAACCACAACTCGATTGAACATGAAGTGTATTTCATTATGATTGGTTTTGGGAAACAGCTCGGAGATTTAATGATGCAACTACGAAGGTTCTAACGATGAATTTAGCTATAAGATGCTTTTGGGAAACCGGGTCCTGGTCACTTTCATTGACTCCACCTTTCCCAGTGCGTCCTCCACCATCTCCTTGACCGCAAATGGATCTCCCAAAAACACATCCTTATCCATGAAACCCATTCCAACACGGAACGAGGCATTATAAGATCGAGGCCTATCTTCATGAACAACCTTAGCCAGTTTTGCTCCATTCACCAATGTTACAGTTTTCCACTAATTTCCATTAACTTTCCTCAACGCGCCATCCAACTCAAACAGTGCCTCCGCTTCCACCATCACCTATGACCTTTGCAGTTTCAGTTTTCTAAGAGATATAGGCCAAGCATGGATGTGTTCTGGTAAACCCAAGCACACGGTTGCGCAACATTTCCAAACGCAATCGCCAGAAAAACAATGATTGTAATGCAATTACTGTTGTAACTGTTGAGAGGAGAGTCTCAGTTTATGTGGGTGTCAAATGCATTTCTCACCACTCATTACTGAGTGGATGGTACCGTTCTACAAACAGTGTTTTTGAGATAAAACAGGCATTCGCTGTTATGCTGGGGCTGGGGGTCCATTGAATCAGGGAATCGGTCCCAAAACGCAACGCTTACCTCTGCCCCCTCCCGGTTTGGTGTTGATTTTCCCACTTCCCCTATGACATAGGAAACCTACAAATTAACTGATGTTTAAGGAAGTCTAAAGTACTCCACGTGTACTACGACCCCTGTCAAATAACAACACAGAGGGTAGCCTACAGGTTATCAAGATCCTAGGAATATACATCCATAGAAATCTAAGATGTTCAACACAAGTAGAACAGGTAGAGATCTATAAAGAGGCCAACCGAAGTCTAGTTCCTCCTTTTCCCAGTGTAGCATGCGGGACAAACAATCATTCAACCAGACACCATCGACGGGGATCCAGATGAGCACTATGCGTCATCGTGGGCACGGACTACACCTTCTACTTAGATCCATGGATCTCTTATCACTCCACATTTACATTTACGTCATTTAGCAGACGCTCTTATCCAGAGCGACTTACAAATAGGTGCATTCACCTTATAGCCAGTGGGATCACCACTTCACAATGTTTTTGGGTTGGGGTTTGGTTTGGTTTGGGTTGGGGTAAGGGGGGGTAGAAGGATTACTTTATCCTATCCCAGGTATTCCTTAAAGGGAATGTCTCCCCAAAGTCCTTTTACAAGTTCTCTACTACAATCCGAGCCCTACTGCCATATGCTCACGCCACAATTATCGTATGTTAGTCTACACCAGACCCACTCACCTAAATTGAATCTGATACACTGCAGGACTGAGCGTTTCCTTTGCAGCACCATCCCAGCCTGCTTGATAGCTTATGATGAACATGTATTTTATTGATGTATTTTAATGATTGTGTTTGGTTATTGTGATTTAGTTAGTGTTCACAATTTTAATATTTAAAATGTAAGTTGAACTCCCAATTGAAGTTGTTGCTGCCACTTCTACAATGCCTCGTCGAAGAACAGTAAAATATAAAATTAAAATAGGATGATATTTGTCGTATTCCAACGCCGGCACTGGCCAAAAGGTCACGTGGTTGCAAATGATCAAACACGGAAGTACAAAATTGGACAAACAAAAAGCTTAGCTAGGAAAAGAGAACATTTAGATCAATAAAAGCGCTGAACGAAAGGAAATATAGCTACTTCTTCAAGATTTATGCGAAAGAAAATACAACTAAATTATAGTAAATGTATTGCTAGATAGCAATGGATATCGGTATTAAGTTTATCTTCTGCACGGATAGCTAACGTTAACGGTACCTTTAGCTAGAAAAATAGATAGCCCGCTATTTTGAAACAAACTTGCTGATATAACTTACATTGTCAAGAGGACTAACTAGCTCTATGGTTTGTTAATTGTTACGATAATTATCCTTTCACCACGTTATTAATCTGCCAACGTTACCTTGCTAAATATTTTAAGGGGCTAGCCAAGTTAAGATAGTTGTAATGACTGCTGCAGTGTTTTTTGGTTGTGCTTTCATTGCGTTTGGGCCAGCGTTTTCCCTTTTTATTTTCACTATCGCCAAAGACCCATTGCGAGTCATCATTCTAATTGCAGGGTAAGCTATTATGTTGTTGACAACTTGTGGATTTGGTATTTAAAGTTTGTTTGACAAATAATAATAGACCTAGATCAGTGGTTCCAAACTGATAAAAATAAATAAAAGGAATTTCGAAATTGTGTAGTGCATTGATCAAGGGCCATTTGCTGTAGTAATTTGCGATAAGAATAATGGTCACCTAAATGTTTCCCTAATTATTAACCCTATAATTACATCCATAAGTACATAAACACTCTTTTGAAAAAAGTATGTTAAATTTGCCATGATACGTTTTTGGAAGCTAGTTAGTGAAATGTTCACTGGTGTGCTTCATTGCATCAACAATGGCAACTGTTTCTCTTTCTCTCTCCAGGGCCTTCTTCTGGCTGGTGTCCTTACTGCTGTCCTCTCTGGTGTGGTTCATAGCCACAAAGGCCACCAATGCCCAGGACCTGACCCTGCAGAAAGACTTGCTCATATTTGGCTGCATGTTCTCGGTCATACTGCAGGAGGTGTTCCGCTTCGCGTACTACAGGCTGCTCAGGTCAGTACACACACACACACACACATCTCATTCTCTTGCTGTCTTTATCATGCTGTCTCTCTGTCTGTCTCTCTCTCTCTCTCTGTCTCTGTCTGTCTCTGTCTGTGTGTGTGTGTGAACTAAAATAAAAACGGAAATATTTACTACACAACAAACACGAGGATAAAAAAAAAATAAAAAAAAAACTGAACGACTAAAAAGCACCCTAAGGAAAGGTAAAGCTAAAAATGTGTGTTTTTAAGATCTCTTTTAAAAATGTCCACAGTTTCGGCCCCCCTTACGTTCTCTGGCAGGCTATTCCAGAGGCTGGGGGCATAGTAACTAAAGGCTGCCTCTCCATGCCTCTTGGTCCTAGGCTTTGGGATAATTAAAAGGCCAGTGCCAGAGGACGTGAGGGACCTACTGGGTACACAACTTAAAAGCATGTCTGACATGTATTGAGGTGCACAATCGTGGAATCTTAAATAATCTTAAAATTAATTCTAAAACTCACAGGCAACCAGTACAGAGACCTTAAAACCGGTGTAATGTGTGCTCTCCGTCTGGTCTTGGTCAGTACCCGTGCTGCTGCATTCTCTATGTTTAGCAGTTGACCAATGGCTTTCTTAGGTAGACCAGACAGGAGAGCATTACAGTAGTCAAGCCTGCTTGTAATAAAAGCATGGATGAGTCTCTCTGTATCAGCCTGAGAGAGAAAAGGCCACAACTTGGCAATGTTCCTCAGGTGGTAAAAAGCTATTTTGTTCACATTCCTAATGTGTGATTCGATATTGAGTTCAGAATCTATAGGTTTTTTTACCTGGTGTTTTTATCTTTATTGCCCGTTAATTCAAATGTGCGGACAGATTCTCTCTGTGCTTTGGCTCCAACAATAAGTACCTCGGTCTTGTCTTGATTCAGCTGCTCACTATAAGTCTGCTGCAGAGAGACGAGAGAGCATGAGCAAATTAGTTTTGATCCGACATGGAAATAAGTGTTGAAAACATGTTGGCTAGTTATTTAAAAAGATGGAGAACAAGCGATAGGATGAAAAATACTGGCATTTTGGTGCCGGTACAACCGAATAGCGCTAGCTAATGCTACCTACAGCAGCGTTAGCTACTTGGAGTCAAATATTGATATAATATCACCCCCCAAAATAATATTGTGATATGTAACAGTATAGATTTTTTGCCCCATCACTATGACTTAACAGGCCTGCCCAAGTATCAATGTCCCTAGTTAATGTACAACCAGGGGAGTATTCACTAGGAAGCAAACAGGCTGAAACGGGGAGGGACTTACTTGAATTTGTCCAATAAACACTTATTTTTGTTTTGCTACGCTTTGCGTGACCAGGGATGAGGAAGCTGTAGTGCATTATACATGTTAGCATCTTTGCCATTTTACAGCATCTAAAGTTATGGGTTTGTCATAAATCCTGTACAGTGTGACTTCTAAAGGGAGAATTCTCAGATTCAGTGTTGAACAGTCACATGTACAGGGTTGCAGGTGTGATTGCAGGGTAGTGTGAAAATCTTAGGCTTTGAGTTCCAACATGCAGGACTGAAGTATAAATCTGCAATGTTTTATCGGAGTTGGAGGCGAGGCGCCATACTTGGCCATCTCTGACTACAAAGTAAATACTAATCAGTACAAGTAGGCTACGTTGCTACTTTTTCAGAACACAAAAACACTGATATTTTGTGATAAAGTTTCCACTGTGTTATTGCTATTAACATCTTCTTTCCACTGTATCATCAGGAAGGCAAATGAAGGACTGGCAGCCATCAGTGAAGAAGACGGCCCACCCCTTTCAGTCCGAGAAATGGCCTATGGTATACCATCATCTTTACTTTACTTGTATTTTATTTAACATATTAATTACTTCATTAACTGATTTAAATATATGTGACAGATTGTGTATAGATACAGAGCTATCATCTTACCTTTTACTTGATTTAAGAACATATCCTCTTTATGTGGACAGTTCAGAGTTGTATTACCACTGTGGGCCAATCAGATATGATGTGGAAGCGCATGTAGCCTATCATTGTCCTCGGAATGTTAGGTGATATGAATTTGACTAATCCTCTGGCTGGTGCTCAACAGTGAGAGCACTGAACTAATCTGACCCTCTACTACTGTGCCTGTTGCCAGGTGAACCCAGGCAAAGCTTCATGACCATACTAAACTCAATTAAACCACAATATTAAGTATTTGTCCTTTCATTTCATGCACATAGGTGGTCCTCTGTAGCTCAATTGGTAGAGCATGGCGCTTGTAACGCCAGGGTAGTGGGTTCGATCCCTGGGACCACCCATACGTAAAAATTTATGCACACATGACTGTAAGTCGCTTTGGATAAAAGCGTCTGCTAAATGGCATATTATTATATTATTATCTGTGTGGTTCTTTAACTGAACAGCTAATATGGTTACTTTTAGGGCAGACTTTCTAAGGAAATGGCAATGGCCAGTATTTATGGACATGTACTTTGGCATTGAGGCATAAAGTGAGTCAGTGTAAGATTTTAAATGTCTCTTCTCTAATCAGATCTTTGTGTTGTTAGCACAATAAAACCTACCTAAGCCTGTATATGCCCTGTTGATGTGCAATCACTTTGAGACCTGCAAGACACCGCTGAGGTGAAATGTCAGTTGGAGCTTACTGTAGTGAACATTATTGTCGGTGTGGTTTTAGATATGATTTTAAGCATTTTAGTCATCAACATTGAGAATGTATTTATTTTTTCCAGAATAGGAAGATTTAATCCTGCAAGAAACTCTAAAAGCTCTAGATCGACAACTTGATGAAAATGTCATAAAAATAGTCAAATAATTTTAATTATATACTGCATGTCAAGTCATTGACTGTGATGTTGACTATGTAGGCCTAGCAGTTGACTGTGCTGATGTTGACTATGTAGGCCTAGTAGTTGACTGTAGTGATGTTGACTGTAGTGATGTTGACTGTAGTGATGTTGACTATGTAGGCCTAGCAGTTGACTGTGAGGATGTTGACTATGTAGGCCTAGCAGTTGACTGTTTGTCTATCTCTACAGTGTCTGGACTGGGCTTTGGCATCATGAGCGGAGCCTTCTCCATGATCAACACCCTCTCTGACTCTCTGGGCCCAGGGACAGTGGGCCTGTTTGGAGACTCTCAGTACTACTTCATCACCTCAGGTGTGTGTCTGTCCGTCTGTCAGGGTTCGCACAAGGTGCTTAAAGTACTTGAATTTGGCACACTGAAAAAGTACTGGAATACCTTCAAAATCAGACATTTTCTCAAGTTGGTACTTCAAATGTAATTTAATAAAAACGAGGAGAACAGAAAATGATCATATGTTAATATGAAAAATATTAGAAAAATGTATTGGTCTTACTGATTAATTTCCAGGCAGATTTCCGAGTTTTATTTCCTCACGTGTTTCGCACTCTGGTTGTCAGGCAAGCATGCTCATTCCACTCACACTGCCACTCAGCCAGGCAGGTACAGAACTTACTGATTAGGCGCCGGTAGCTAAAATACAAATGTAGATTCAATCTTGCATTTTGTGCGTGTGGAAAGTTTCTGGGATAATTTATTTCAGCTCATGAAACATGGGACCAACACTTTACATGTTGCGTTTTGATATTTTTGTTCAGTTTAGTTTACTCACCTTTTTTTTATCATTGCGCCCGCGATATTCCGCTTTATCAAGCGGCAGCCGTGCTCCTGCCATTCTGGTGGCCGTTCATGTGCAGTTTTCCTCACACAGCTCACACAGCCCACCCGCCCTTCTCCCGACCGGCGACACAAAAGCTGCCAGTCGTAGCTATTAAGTAGTAAATGCCCAATAAAAAATACAATACAGTCATTAATTGGAATTGTGTAGTAATGCGAATAGGAAATGTGTGTTCACCAGTAGGCATGTCCCAAAACTCTGCTCATCACTACTCAAATTACACCATCAGTACTGACTTACTACTCATCTGTGTAGTAAATAAGTAGTGAAACACGTATTATTGAGTAGAACTTAAAGGTACATTTTCTTTAATATATTTTTTTATGCAGTTGTGGTGTGATACACTGCTTTCTGGTGGTGACTAGAAGCAATTGCTTAATAGAAACTATTACAAATTGATGGTCCTTGAAAATAAATATTAGTGCTTGGAAAAAGTACTTGGAGTCCTTGAATTTGACTTGCCACTGTCTGTACGATCACTGGTCTGTCTGTGGCAGCCTTTATATTTCCTGTGGAAGTCACTCATAATCTATCTACTTGCTGTATACTGTCCACACCCAAACCTTGTATTACTTTGCAATCAATGTGTGCTTTTAATAAATAGACAAGTATAGAATAACTTTTGAACATTTGAAATATTGCACTTGTAACTGTATCAGTGTGTGTGTGTGTGGTGACGTCTCTTTGACCTTTGCCCCCCTGTAGCCCTGATGACCCTGGCGCTGACGCTGCTCCACACCTTCTGGGGCGTGGTGTTCTTTGAGGGCTGTGAGAGGAAGAGATGGTGGGTGATCGCTGTGGTGCTCTGTCTCCACCTGATGGTCACCAGCCTGGTGAGTGTACACACACACACACACACACACGGTTGTTTTTTTAGCACAAAAAAAAACGATGCGTGCGCAACTATGGGGCAAAACAGACTAGGTTGCCTTAGATTGTTGACAACATGTAAACTATATTTGGTCTCCAAACAAATACATTTTCTCAATGAGCACTTGTTCTCTCAAATACATTGTTACAGTTGTTGGTTAGCTAGCTAGCGAATTTGAGCCATATTAGCATCGACGTGAAATCAGTCAAAACAACTCAAAACATGGTATCAAGAACAAGATACAACTAGCTGAAACGAGCCACCTACGATTCCCCACATGGCAGCTTCTTGTCATTATTGCTAGCGATCTGACCGTTCAGAATCATAACAAGCCAAGGCTTCCAGCCCCATCGAAGCGCCGCACGTCATTTTCGTGAAGTTGTCAGACAACCCGTCTATAGACGCGCCCAAACCCATGCCATCATGACAGAGTTGCACTAGCATGAATCAGTCACAGGAGGGAGTTGTTAGCTTATATTTAACAACTCTATACCTGACTGTATTGTCCATTTTGAAGCGATTATCAAAAAAAATACAACTGAAGACTAAATGAGTTAAAGTTATGATGTTTGTCTTTATTAATTTCAGAATTTGTTGAATGGGTTCCTCATGAATCCTAATTCTGTTTGTAGTCAACACCTTTATATGATTAATTAGACCGTTAACTTTGTCACCGCTCACTGCCAATTCATATTTCTAGAGGTTGACACTACATTTTAGATGACTCGTCAAATTTAAACTGGGGCCCATGTTGTAGATGAACAATCTCCAGTCTCACAAAAAAAACCCAGCACTGTATTCTGTCCATAGGGTCACAGAAAGACGGTAACTCATTATATACATGCTGCTTACTTTGTTGCGTTTCATGGCTGTATGGAAGGCACTGTATGCGTCCCAAATGGCACCCTATTCCCTATATAGTGCACTACTTTTTTACAAGGGCCCTGGTCAAAAGTAGTGCACTATATAGGTAGGGAACAGAGTGCCATTTGGGACGTAGACACTTCGTGTTGGGCAATGGGGGGGGGCCCCTTCTCCTTGACCAGAGAACCTGAGCCTGGACATCTTTCCAGGACACTGCACAGGAATGTTCTGTTCTCCCTCCTATAAGGGATTCTACTCATCCAGGGGGAAGTTTTCCAGATTTAGGATCCGCTTCCCCTCCCCCCAATCCTAACCATTAGTGGCGAAACTGACCCAAGATATCAGCGTCTAGGGGCAACTTCACCCTTCACTGATTCTACTGCAGGCACCGAAGGCTGTCGTTTACCAAGGGTTACAGAGCTCATTATATTAATGCTGCTACTACCTAATGTGATGAATGTGGTCTGGGGCTCCAATCAAAATTGTTTTCATGTCATGCTTAGTACACTTGTTGGCAGACACACTTGTAATTGCGTCAGAATAATTATAAAATAAGTCCCTGGCGTGCAATGTGGGAAATATTACAGTCCAGGCCATTTGACCACGTCAAAGACAGAAAAATGGTTAATGAATAACTTCTGAATAAATTGTGACTTATGATTCTGTTTTATCATCCTGAGTGTGGCGTCTGCGTTCATAAAATATGCATGAATATTTGTTTTTCTTAAAAAGCAGTACATTTAGCTTTTTATTAATAATTTCCCACAATATGTGTATAACCTCTGCTCATACTAGACATGCGTTTGGTGCTTAGCTAATAATCTGGGTCATGCTCAGTAGGGAGAAAACGTTTTTAAAACCTAGTGAACTCTCAAATACGAACAGGTTTTAATTTGACATTGCAAAAAAGTTTTGCTACAGTGTTCCGTAGTGAACACAGCCCTGATTTCTTGAATCTGGTGTCTCTGGTTTTCATGATATCTCTCTTTTCTCGGTGCCAGTCTCTGTTGAACCCGTTCTACGTGGGCAGCGTTCCCCCGGTCTACGCCATCATGCTGCTGATGGCTGTCTGGGCCTTCTTCTCCTCTGGTGGCTCCCTGCACAACATCACTCTTCTCTGGACGTGTAAGACCCGCCTCAAGCCTATCTGATACAGCAGCTGTACTAAGCCCTGGGTCCTGTTCATTAGGCACCAAACAGAAGAACACTTCCTGAAACAGGGAGGGACTACCTTAAGTTGTCCGATAAGAAACCCCTCATTTTTTTTTGTTTTTGGTTGCAATATGTTTTGTAGCGGTGTGCCCAAATGAACACGGCTCTGTGGTTACCGGTCTGAAGGCTGCTGCTCCTCCCCAGGTCATTGTTCTCAGTCAACTTGCCTTGTAAAATAAGGGTTCATTAAAATGATAAATGAACCACCTGGCTGAAATAAACAATGAAACCATTGAGGTTATGTTCATGTGGACTGGCACTCTTCTTGTAATTAGAATGTACCTCTATTGGTTCATAAAAGTGGGCCTGACGACACCGCTGTTATATATGCATAAGACTTACTTAATACCCTTTCTACTGAATTGAGTGTCCACTATCACCATGGTAATATTTGACAGATGGGTGATTGGTGCAGTCTATGAACTATGTTAGCTATAAAGTTTGACCTTTACTAAGTAGAGCTATAAAGTTTAACCTTTAAGTAGAGCTATAAAGTTTTACCTTTACTAAGTAGAGCTATAAAGTTTAACCTTTACTAAGTAGAGCTATAAAGTTTTACCTTTACTAAGTAGAGCTATAAAGTTTAACCTTTACTAAGTAGAGCTATAAAGTTGGACCTTTTTACTAAGTAGAGCTATAAAGTTTAACCTTTTTACTAAGTAGAGCTATAAAGTTGAACCTTTAAGGAGAGCTATAAAGTTGGACCTTTAAGGAGAGCTATAAAGTTGGACCTTTAAGGAGAGCTATAAAGTTGGACCTTTAAGGAGAGCTATAAAGTTGAACCTTTTTACTAAGTAGAGTTATAAAGGTGGACCTTTACTAAGTAGAGCTATAAAGTTGGACCTTTAAGGAGAGCTATAAAGTTGGACCTTTACTAAGTAGAGCTATAAAGTTGAACCTTTTTACTAAGTAGAGCTAGGAAGTTGGACCTTTTTACTAAGTAGAGCTAGAAAGTTGGACCTTTACTAAGTAGAGCTCTAAAGTTTGACCTTTACTAAGTAGAGCTCTAAAGTTTGACCTTTACTAAGTAGAGCTCTAAAGTTTGACCTTTACTAAGTAGAGCTCTAAAGTTTGACCTTTACTAAGTAGAGCTCTAAAGTTTGACCTTTACTAAGTAGAGCTCTAAAGTTTGACCTTTACTAAGTAGAGCTCTAAAGTTGAACCTGTTTACTAAGTAGAGCTCTAAAGTTGGACCTTTTTACTAAGTAGAGCTAGAAAGTTTGACCTTTACTAAGTAGAGCTATAAAGTTTGACCTTTACTAAGTAGAGCTATAAAGTTTGACCTTTTTACTAAGTAGAGCTATAAAGTTGGACCTTTTATTAAGGAGAGCTATAAAGTTGAACATTTTACCAAGTTGAAACCGACGCACCAAACTGGAGTGAGGTGGTTACTGTGAGAGATCCTCTCTCAACTGGTCAGGAGCACATCAAATCCTGAAAAATTTGGTCACAAGTTTGGCCGTGGTCGGTCACTCATTGTATAGTCAGGTGGCGTTAAGACAACATGTTAATGTGTTAGTCTGTGACCCACCAGTCACCAAACATACCAAGCTTGTGATTTACTACCTAACCAGCATAACTGGATCAGGTCAATGTCATCTTAATTAGAAAGTACTTCTTGACCCCCAACCATACTGAGAGTTTTTTCTTTTGTCTGTCTGTTTTGCAGGTAGGAAAAGTAATACGGAGACCTCGTCATAATTCACATTCCATGTTGATTTCTCAGAGGTCAAAGGGCAATAGGAGCTTCTATCGCTGCAGTGCTGTGTACAAACCCAAGCAGCCAATCAAGAGATTACACCGTCTCCACATCTCCACATAATACGGATGGGCTGAATCGGAGCCCAGAAACCAGCACTCCACTGACCTATGGAGCTGACCAAGGGAAATCCTTCATACTGCATATAGCCTGAATGACACTAGTTTACACACACTTAGGCACGTGTAAGATCTTTTCAATGCAAGGAAACAACCGTTTTATTTTTTGTAACGTTTTTCATCTCTTTGCTGATTTTGATTTTGTGTGGACTTTCAATCGATTCTCTCCCTCGCATCAAGTATTGATCTTTGGTTTACTGAATTATGATTTTGATATATCAAAAAAAAACTCACGACTCACCATGTAAAAAAAGTAATGTAATCAATGGACAATGTTAACTTTTTTTTTATTTGAGCTATGACAGTCTATTACAAATCAGTCTGACAGTATTTCAATCTGAAGACCATGTGGTTTGAAGTGACTGAAATGTATTAGGAAATTCGGAAGATCATCAGGCAATTATGTATGATCTTCTGTGTAGAAAATAACCTTGTTGTTGATCATCAGTCTGATTCAGTGCCTGGTCTTGTCCCCTCGGTTCTAATGGCTTGTGGGCATAGGGAAACCGTACGTGTACCTAAGAGCCTTATCGTTCAGTGATGGGGTTATAAGATTTTGTAGTTTAAACCATTCAAAAGATGGAGCCACATTTGTAGGAAGGAAACGGACTTAACCATGGTTCTATGAACCAAGCGCCCCTAGTTTGGGAAACCCTGCTATACACACACATACAAAGGTATGCAACTTCACTATATTATGCATTATCTGCCCTGGCAGACCGATATAGGACACATGTACACATCACAGGAGGCTGGTGGTACCTTAATTGGGGAGGACGGGCTCGTGGTAATGGCTGGAGCGGAATCAGTGGAATGTTATCAAATACATCAAACACATGGTTTGATGCCATTCCATTTGCTCCATTCCAGCCATTTATTATGAGCTGTCCTCCCCTCAGCAGCCTCCACTGGTACACATTATGTAAGGTATTTAATGTTTTCTTATGCAGATAGCTGATAATGTTCTTGTCATTTGGCGGACGACCTTGATCCACCAAATACAGGTGAAAAAAAACAAATGAATAGTATTCACTAGACACTAGACGGAAGGAAAAGTGGCGGGACTACCTGAACCAATAAGAAACTCGTTTTCGTTCCAAAATGTTTTGCTACGGTGTGCACTAATGAATATGACCGTGCTCTAATAGTATTATGATTGGTCAGTCATTAAATGGTGGCCTTTTTCCAACCTTGACTGAGTGGTTATAGAGTAAAGATTATTACTACCATCGGCAGCAATACCGCAGCAGAGTTTTGTATCTTTTTTTTAAACCTCTGGGTCCTCAAAAAGCGTCTCAGAGTAGGACTTCTGCTGATCTAGGATCCGTTTTGTATTTTGGATCATAATGAATAGGATTATATGGATAGGGAAGACCTGATCCCAGATCAGCACCATACAGGCCCTGGTGGCTGACATGCAGCGTTTACCGTGAATACGATCTCGGCGAACGCAGGAACGTTGCCTTTTAAAGGCTGTGTTGTCTACAACCCTGCGATTTGTTTGAATCGTGGATGTTGTATACAAGTGTATATTTACCCTTTTTGTATTTCACCACAAAAGCTGCTTGGCCAAGTGTCTTGGACGATGCGTGTTAAGATGACTGCTTGTTGGATACAGCGTTTTATAAACTGTGTGGTTAGACCCCTGAATTCTGATTGGCTGACAGCCGTGGTATCTCAGACCGGGTTTGACAAAACATTTATTTGTACTGCGCTAATTACGTTGGTAACCAGTATATAATAGCAATAAGGCACCTCGGGGCGTTTGTGGTATATGGCCTCCTTGTTGCGTCGTGCCTAAGAACAGCCCTTAGCCATGGTACATTGGTCATATACCACACCCCCTCGTGCATTATTGCTTAAAAAATAGCCTTTCCACACTATTGTGCTGGCCAGCTCTGGTATTTTCTTTTCACACTGACTGGCCTTTCAAGCACAGTTCCAGCCACTAAGATCGGTTTAGTGTGAAAGGGCATTAGTCTCGATGTTCCCATTTTGAATGGATTAAGTTAGTTAGGATCCCCATTGGCGAGTTACTCCATTAAACCCATCATTTCACCATCTTTCCTAATGAAAGACTTGAGATGGGCTCAGCTCACCCCAATGCATTCAAGTCTCTGCAGTTTAACTATTGATGAACGGCAGGGTTTTCTAATAATATATCATTTAAAAAAACTATTGATGAACGGCAGGGTTTTCTGATATCATACAGCCAGTTCAATGCAGGTCCTCTCCATTGGTTTCATTATTATCTATTATTATTATTATTACTTATTTATGTTTGATTCTTGCTTTGTGCATACGTACCCATGTTGTGACACACAGTTGAAGTCAGAAGTTCCCATACACCTTAGCCAAAGACATTATGTCGATATAGGACTCGTTTAACTGTGGATATAGATACTTTTGTTTCCTCCAACATCTTCACAAGGTCCTTCGCTGTTCTGGGATTGATTTGCAATTTTCGCACCAAAGTACGTTCATCTCTAGGAAACAGAAGCATCTCCTTCCTGAGCGGTATGACGGCTGCGTAGTCCCATGGTGTTTATGCTTCGTACTATTGTTTGTACAGATGAACGTGGTACCTTCGGCGTTGGAAATTGCTTCCCAAGGATGAACAGACTTGTGGAGGTCTACACATTTTTTCTGAGGTCTTGGCTGATTTCTTTTGATTTTCCCATGATGTCAAGCAAAGAGGCATGAGTTTGAAGGTAGGCCTTGAAATACATCCACAGTACACCTCCAATTGACTCAAATGATGTAAATTAGCCTATCAGAAGCTTCTAAAGCCATGACATAATTTCTGGAATTTTCCAAGCTGTTAAAGGCACAGTCAATTTAGTGTATGTAAAATTCTGACCACTGGAATGTGATGCAGTGAATTATAAGTGAATAATCTGTAACAAATTGTTGGAAAACTTACTTGTCATCCAAAAAGTAGATGTCCTAACCGACTTGCCAAAACTATAGTTTGTTAACAAGAAATGTGTGGCGTGGTTGAAAAACAAGTTTTATGACCTAAGTGTATGTAAACTTCCGACTTCAACTGTAAGTGTGATTGGAGGGTGCTCTCGAGTACTGGGGGGGGCAAAGGTTAATGGTTTGGTAGACTTGCTCTGTTCAGGGTTTACCAGTCGAGCGATGGAGAGGTGCCAAGGTCTGCTTTGACGTAGTTTGGTTGGTGAGTCATTGTTTGGCCAGAAACCATTGCCAACCGCCAGGCACCAGCTCAACCGAGCCTGCAGTACAGCACAGTGCCGCTGGCCCCAGAAATGCAGTTTGTGTCCCAAACGGCACCCTGTTCTATGTAGTGCACTACTTAGCTCTATGGAATAGGGTGACATTTGGGACATAAACGTAGTTGTAAATCAAGAACCGTGTTCCATGGCTGCACTGAGAGAGGGCAGCGCTATCTCGCTGTGAAGTCACACTGAAGTGACCCCACACACACCAGCACTCACATTGTGGAAAAATCCCACTGATCACTACTGCGGTACTGTAGGGCGATCCAGCACTCCAAGATTGTGCATTTCTACAATGGTTTTCAAAATCACTGACACATGCATATGCCATCAAATCTTTCCAATGAGTATGTTTATTTGTGTTGTATACAGATGCAGTGTTACTACTCACCTCTGTATTGGAGTGTTAGTGGACCATGGGTGCCATCCCCGACAATTGGCAGGTCACACCGGGCGGATTGTCAGGAAATGGATTGCACCAAAGTCCCTAATTTCATGTTGTCATGATGTGATCCGCAAAACAAAGAATGAGGGAGAATTTTGCCCGGTACCAAATGTCTCATCTTATTGTATCGTCCGAGTTGACTCAATTTCCAGATATCTGTATTTAACTTTGATTATGCTATATCATATTTGATTACTATCCATCTTTGCATGTGAATATCTCTCATCGTCGATGCTTATAGGGATTTTGATCAATAAATATGATCCTTTAATGATGTAGAGAATGTATAATTAAATCTGCCAAATGGGTATACATTCTGACATTTGCTTTTTTGTTGTTGTAATAAATAAAGATGTATTGTACAAAAACATTATGATATTGTGTAGTATATCTGAGCTTTGTGTTGTGCATATAATTGACAGGACTCCATTCCACAATAGTAAATTCATTCTGTAGCCTAAGTATGGGCCGGTTTTCCAGACAGATCAAGGTTCAGTCTACTCCTGGACCCATATTCATGAAGGGCCGATTCCGACCTGGGTATGTCTACAGATACAGTTCCTTCGGAAAGTATTCAGACACCTTGACTTTTTCCACATTTTGTTACATTACAGCCTTATTCTAAAATGTATTAAAACGTTTTTTTCCCTCATCAATCAACACACAATACCCCATAATGACAAAGCAAAAACAGGTTTTTAGAAAGTTTTGCTAATTTATTAAAAATAAAAAACATTTACATAAATATTCAGACCCTTTACTCAATACTTTGTTGAAGCACCTTTGGCAGCGATTACAGCCTCAAGTCTTCTTGGGTATGACGCTACAAGCTTGGCACACCTGTATTTGGGGAGTTTCTCCCATTCTTCTTTGCAGATCCTCTGAAGCTCTGTCAGGTTGGATGGGGAGCGTTGCTGTACAGCTATTTTCAGGTCTCTCCAGAGATGTTCGATCGGTTCAAGTCCGGGATCTGGCTGGGCCACTGTTATGATGAATTTCTCGGGTATTCATGATGCAAGAAGATATTTAACACTTAGATGGAGAGTTCATACAAATATTTAATAGATTCGGTACCGGGTTCGTCTAACAAAAGGCACGTGCTTCGCCTCTTGCCATTCAAACTACTAGACAAAGAAAACCTCTCAGTTTATATAAGTCATGTTACACGTTTCTTCAACGCCATCTGTTAACCATCAGTGGGCACTCCCTTCTTTGATGTTATTACCTTGTACCCCAAGTCTGTATCTCATGTCCATCAATCATTCTAAGATAAACTTCAGTAAGCTGCCTTGACATACTGGACTCATTGGTATTCAGACTGTGCGGCACCCAGAATCACTTATCTACAAAATGTAACCTGGTTCCCACAACGCTATGAAATGACATCAGAACAATCCTTCATTTTTTTGATTTCTTTGTGGTAAGTAACATTATTCAGATATAACATTACTTAACTCAACTATTCACATAAAACTTCATATAAAATAAAATGTTCTCCAATCAGTAGTATACATGATTAGATCCTAAACTATGCTAGATAACTGAGTATTCATCCCCATCTACCTTCTATACCTGAATCCAACCAGATTCTCAATATATTTAATCAACAAAGGATTACATTCTCAGTCATCTATCTCATGCACAATCTAACCT